TTAGTCGAAATATCGAGTCTAACTAATTGAAGAAAAGTCAAAATAGGAGCAATAAGAATGAATACGGACATACGGTAAGAAATTGAGATAGAATGGGTCAAGAACGAGGCTGACGGCGGTGCAGGACAGGGCGGAAGTAGATACCCATGCCCCCGTCCCACGCTATTGCTGGTCGGTTAATACCCGCCCCATCACAGGTCGGGGCAGGTAATATCCGGCGGGACGAGTTCAAATTGTCATCTCTAATTCGCGTTCTCATCATCATCTGCAACATTAACAGTGGATTTAAGTATGTAATAGGTCAGATATGTACAATTTCAAGTCTCAGTTAATTTCTTTTCACGAGAATATTGTTTCAAAATTATATAAGATCTGTATATGAATTTTTTTCCAAACAACTTAATGGTATTAGAACCCGTCTTTCTATCACACCCTACGGTTCTTCCAATTATGTAAGTCTAGATGCTTGCCTAGCAATCAAAACAGCCCAATTTGGATACCATCCTAAAAATGCAAAAGCAAACAATCCAGCAGCATCTCTCCAACCAATCGATCCATGCCGGCAAACGTAGTAAAAACAAAAATGAAAGAAAATATTCAATGACTGATTGACGGCAAACAAGAGAAGCAATGGGAAGAATACGTTGTCTAATATATCTGATTAAACGAAATTTAATTCATATGTTTGATTCGAGTTGTTGAGAAACGTCATTTTGAGATTATTTGAATCGGGGACCTCCTACTATGCTTTGAAGTTACTATATCTTGACATTTTTTACCTGCTATACAGGTTTTATAGGTCGCATTACGTAAAACTAATGTTTATTACGTAACAATTACGTAATGCTTGTTAGTCTTACGTAACAGTTAAACTAGAAGCGTTACGGAAGGTTTCCGTAACGCTTTATCAGTTTACGTAACACTAGGTAAATATTCATTACGTAAAAGCATTGTCTATTACGTAAGGCTTCCGTAATGACATTTTACAACGGTTACATAAAATACACTCATTACATAAAATACACACTATTTTTATGTTGTGTAATAGTTATGAAGTATTATTATATATATATATATATATATATATATATATATATATATATATATGGTGACTACTTCGGTGCACTCACTTTTTTGAGTGCACTCAGTGCACCTAACTCAAAAAGCGTCCATAAGACATCAAATTTTGAACTTTAATTAGTACTCTTAATATAATATGATGATATGACATAGAATCATAACAAATCAATCCATTACCCTAATCCCTTAACCTTCAATTTTGAATCCCAACCCAAAATCCCAAATCGTAAACCTAAACCCTAACCCTAAATCCCTAAATCCTAAATCCTTTGAATTAAAGTAAAATTTGAATGAATTTTTTTCAAATTCATGTGCTTCTTGTTCATAATATCATAAGCAACAATTGATAGTGTTTTGACATGAATCGCATGGTCAGAATGACGATTATGAGGCGGGTGCATTGAGTGCACCCCAAAAAGTGGGTGCACCGAATACGCCACCATATATATATATATATGTGTGTGTGTGTGTGTGTGTGTGTGTGTGGGGAGTTCTACGGTACTCAGGGTGAAATCCGGAGTACCGCATACCTTGAGTAAGAAAACGCTATCCAGAACTTGAATTAACTGATCTTTCGGATATGATACTATACTCTAACCCTTAAAGATCAAAATTTATGTCTTAATTCTCTAAATCTTATATCCCAATATCAATTTAGTTAGAAATAATATTCGACGGTTATGATTCGTCCAAATATAAGCAAAAAAATTAATGCACCATCTTAGGGTTTGTAGTTTATGATTTAGATAATTAGGACCTAGGGTTCACTCGTTGAGGGTTAGGGTGTAGTATCATGCCCAAAATTCCTGCTAATTCGAGGTCTAGATAGCGTTTTCATACTCAAGGTATGCGGTACTCCGGATTTCACCTGGGGTACCGTAGAAGGCACCATATATATGTAGTAATAAAGATTAGGGCGCCGCACCTCTCTCATATATAATATACGGCAAAACATGTGATACATCTCTTTTAACATCGTTATCATCCACAAAAATATATAGACAAAGAGTCGAGAAAACTCCGCATTCTGCTGGAATCAAGATCACGCGTTCAAGTTCTTACAACCTGTAATATATATTAACCGTTGATTTAATTTCGTAGTAGATCAGATTTGTACAAATTGTAAATCTATCCATTATTTTCATTTTACGAGAATATTTTGAAATTATATATGATTTTTTTCCCAAACAACTTAAAGGTATTAGAACCCGTCTTTCTATCACACCCTACGGTTCTTCCAATTATGTATGTCTAGATGCTTGCCTAGCAATCAAAACAACCCAATTTGGATACCATCCGAAAAATGCAAAAGCAAACAATCCAGCAGCATCCCTCCAACCGATCGATCCATGCCGGCAAACGTAGTAAAAACAAAAATGAAAGAAAATGTTTAATCCATTTTTTTTTATGGTGGTGATATAGTATTAATTTAAATAGAAAATTAGATTTTACAAGAACTAAACATTTTGATCGAAATCACATCAAAGAATATGCATATAATAGTGACAAATAAACTAGCAGTAGAAAAGATACAAACTGTAGCCTAATTATCATAAATGGTTACAATAGAATGAGGGTATATTTATAATTCGGGTCTTCGGTTGGGTTATCAGTTCAATTGGGTCTGTTCATTAAATTTTTTATTAATATCTTAAATGACGTGGGATGCTGACTGGTTGGAAGTAACGATTAATAGTCTCACTTCGTCGGCACAACTCTCAGCGATTAGCAAGTTTCCAAACATCTTTTCTTCCGGTTGTCGCGAAAGTGAGAACTTTCTTGTGGAAGAGCAAAGCCAGAGAAAACCACTGATTTTGTTAGGGGAGGCTTGGGTATGGATTTTATATTACTTTTTTTATATGTCCATTTAAATAATATTTACCTCATATATGCTTGATTCGAGTTGTTGAGAGATGGTATTGTATGGATCATATATTACTATCAATTACGGAACGTCACTTGTTGAGTAGCTGTGACCGTTCATGGATCCCACTTAGAAATATTGGCACTTTGATATAGGCTTGTCGAAACTAAGATGTCGAAGCTCAACTTTCTTTATTAGAAAACATACATTGAAAAATGAAACACACAAAGTGGTACATCGAGATATCAGGCTGCAGCCTCGACGAGGCCCAACAAGGCCCAACAATACTAACACGGTTTAAGTAACCGCAACAAATATAATAGATCCTTATTTCATTCACGTAAGAAAAGAAAGAAAGAAACTATATATAAAACTCATACAAAGCAGTCCCAACTCATCACTGTGAAGGAAAACCGTCGGAGGAAAACATACATTGAAAATGAAACACACAAGATCGAGATATCAGGCTGCAGCCTCGACGACGACGATGGATGCACTTCTATGGATCTCAAGTTGATTGAATATAACGTGTTTATGCACCAGGGCACAGGCAAGCACAATCCTTGTAGTCACAAGAGCAACCCACATAGCATATATTAGGGTTTATACCATCGCAGTAAGTTGGGTGGTCAATCTGACACTGATAGTCGTCGCAATAATCTTTGCACGTTTCCTGTAATGAAGCCGTATTGTTGTTGGAGGCTCGAGGTCTCATGATTACATGTGATCCTCTTTTAGGCGGCAGCTGAGAGGCCGAGTTCTCGTGGTTGCTGCTGCAATGTTCGATGGAAAATTTTTGTTTGTCTGAAACGTTGAGATAAACTACGCCTATCATTTAATGATAAACTGAATATACTATACCTGACGTTAGTCGGAGCATCGTCGACTCCGTCGACGTTCTCTGACCGCGGGCTAACTGCTCTCGAGTTGATACATGGAAGGACGAGAAGCAAGACGACTGCCAGCTTAGTGATAGTAATGATGGGGATCGCCATGGCTATATATATGCTCTGCTTCTTTCTTTCTTTCGTGCCTTCTTTTGAAGATTGTATTTTCGAAGTTAGTTTGGTGAATATATGCATATTAATGTTGTGCTGCTTACATGTAATATATAGTAATAAAGAGTACGCCGCCAATTCTCTCATATATAATATACGGCAAAAGATGTGATATCACCTCCCTTTTAAGTTTTAACATCAATATCATCCACACAATATAATATATATACAGAGACTTTGAGAAAACTCTGCTTTTTGCTTGCATTGAGATCACTTTAATTATGAATGAAACATAATAAGAATAGAATGGGTAATTGAGTCTAATTAGTCGAAAGATTGAGTCTATCGCCTAATTGAAGAAAAAGTCAAAATAGGAGCAACATGAATAAATACGGACATACGGTAAGAAATTGAGATAGAATGGGTCAAGAACGAGGCTGGCGGCGGGGCAGGACAGGGCAGAAGTAGATACCCATGCCCCCGTCCCACGCTATTGCTGGTCGGTTAATTCCCGCCCCATCACGGGTCGGGTCAGGTAATATCCGGCGGGACGGGTTCAAATTGTCATCTCTAATTCGCGTTCTCATCATCTGCAACATTAACCGTTGATTTAAGTATGTAATAGGTCAGATATGTACAATTTCAAGTGTCAGTTAATTTCTTTTTACGAGTTAATTTCTCATCATATATACCATGAATGCTAAGTACCAAAATATTACCATCGTGCTACCGAATAATAAACGGTATATACCTGACGCTAATCGGATCATCGTCGACATTCTTCGACTGCGAACTAACTGCTCTCGAATTAACACATGGAAGGATGAGAAGCAAGACGACTGCCAACTTAGCGATAGTACTGATGGATATTGCCATGGCTATATGCTCTGCTTCCTTGTTTAGGTGTATAAATGCAATGTTTCTGCTGCTTGCATGTATATATAGTAATAAAGAGTACGACTCAAACTCTCTGCAAAAGATGTGATACCTCTCTTTTTTAATATCGATGGTTATCATCCACAAGAATATATAGAGAGATACTTGAGAAAATTCTACATTATGCTGACATTGAGATAACATGCTGGAATATTAACAGTTAATTTAACCATAGGTCGGATTTTTGTGCAAATTTTTGAGTCTCTCATTTGATTTTTGTTTATGAAAAATATTTAAAATTTATATCATATATATGCATATATTATATGGTAATGACTGGTATACTTCAAGAGTACAGTATACTCCAGGTGATCTGACCGTTAGATGTGTGCTTCGATGAGTTCCGACCAATCTCAACGGTCAATTATTATTTTCTATTAAATTGAACTTCTCGGGTTTGCATTTATAGAATCTGAGTCCGAGGTTTATCCATTAGAGGTTAGGGTATAGTATCATACTCCAAACTCGGTTTAATTCATTGTCTAAATAATAAATATAGATATCTCACTAGTAATACGTGAAGTATAATCCAGGAATACACCAGTCCCCTCCTATATTATATATATATATATATATATATATATATATATATATATATATATATATATATATATTTCCCAGGCAACTAATTAATTATGTTTGTCTAGCTGCATGCCTAGCAATTATCAACCAAAACAACCCAATTTGGATACCATCCGAAAATGCAAAAAACAAACAATCCAGCAGTATCTCTTCAACCGATCGAACTGTGCCGGCAAAGAATATGTCGTATAATCAATTAAAAGTGGTATTCCAAATAATCCATCCAGTCCTAATTTTTTTTTTTTGGTAAATACCCTTATAATTTATTATTCTCAAATGAATACGAACACAATGAACTAGGCCTTTAAAGTCGCCATAGTCAGGGTGCATATCCGCCAAATCGGTTCAAATATTTACGACCTCCAATATTAATTAATAGTTAGTTTAATCACATGTTAAGTTGAGCCTATGTATGCAAATTTCGAACCCAGATTTGACTTTCATTTCTAGGGATATCTAAGAACGTCAATCTAGCTACTGTGAGCTAAAATTTGCTGAGGGCGACAATAAAGAGTAAATATATACTTGCACTAATAAACCACAACAGCGTAAATATATCCCAGGTAAGATGAAATTGGATGCAGAGTCTCCAGAGCTTATTCAAACAACTTTCTTAGACCAATTCAGATCGATAATATTAATAATGAAATAAACTATGACTATTCTCAAACATAACAACAAGAATTGACACCAAGGATTTATGTGGTATACCCTTGATTTTGGACCAGTTCACGAGAACAACAACTCCGAAATACTTCTTCCCTATAACAATAGTAGGTTAAAGAGATTTTCAAGGTACAAAGAAATAGAACACATGTTGTTTCTCAAACAATCTGACTATTTCATTCACAAAAAAAATCTTATGTTTACCCCTGCTAGTGAAAACGTTCCACAAATCAAAACCCACAAAAAAAAATACGAACAGGATAAGAGCAAGAAACATGGGAGGGTTCTTCCAGGCCCGGCCCAGGCCCTGTGCTGGTCAGACCCACAGCACAGGGCCTCAACTTTTCGGGGGCCTCATAAGTCACAATCCATTAAATCGGGAATTCGGAGGCAGATCGGACTTGGGCTTCGACGTGGGCCTCATAATCGCAGGCGGAGCAGACCCCTTGGGCTTGCAAAGCGGCCCACATAAAAACAGACATGCACAAGAGTATCTTGTGACGGGATGGAGAATCAAACCGTTGACCTCCATTTCATTAAAAAGAGAATCAACCACTTAGCTCAAAGTCATTTGATGAAACAAAATTAACAATAAAGATCTTTAACGTCTCTCTTCTTCTATTCCCCAAAAATTTTCAACTTTCTTAAACCATCCAACGCCTAAATATTAATTATTCACACTCAATTCTAATGAACTTCTAATCAATGTCCATCCCTATTATCCAAGCACATAATCGACTTATCTTAATTTTTAAGTTCTTTTTTCTTTCTCTTTTGCAGGGAACTTAATATTGATTGGAAATTTGGAATCACTAATCTTTGGTTATCATTTTTAGTTATGTGAACCCAAAATTTTGAAAAAGGTAGTTCTAACAGTAAAAGAAAACAGAGAATTAAGGAGTCTGGATACATGTGATTCGAAAATTAAAAGTGAAGCTAAATCATTGGATTGTAAATGTTTAGTAACCGAATTTTTGGGGCCACATTTTAAATTCTTGAACAGGGCCTCCAAATATCATGGGACGGCCCTGGTTTCTTCATCTCTGTTGCTTGTTGACATAACTCAAACTTTGCATGTCATAGACCAAGCTATATTCGTTTTTGTTGGAACTTAAGTTTTTTCAATAACTTCTTCATCCATAGCATCTACTTACACGTGTATGTTATCGCCTTGTACTTTGCTTCTATCCTGGAAAAAAGCTACATACTTTTGTTGCCTTGACTGCCACCGTATTGCTCCAATGCTCCCCTTGAAAAAGTAATCAGGTATATATCCAGAAGTAGGCCTCCTCATTTCAACATTGCTTGTCATGTTAGTATATGTATAACCAACTCAGAAATGTTCTTCATCTCCCAAAAAGACTCATTTTGGAGCTATCTTCAGGGTATTTGAAAATCCACTTCACAACTTCCCAGTGTTTCTTTCTTGCTCTGGGAAGAAGAAACCAATTGAAGTCTCAGACACTGTGAGCAATATATGGTCTTGTACATATCATGGCATACACCAAATTGTCTGTAAGTGTGCTCAACTTGGATGTCTGCATAAAGTAGTTAGATAGAGGACAGCTAACCGGCTTAGATGTCACGCCATTACATGATTGATTGATGATCTTAATATGTAAGCCTTTCATTACATAAGATGTAGGTAGCACCATTTTATAACTACTAGGTAAGATATACGCATTTATAGTTTCGTAATAATCATGTAATATGACGTGCGATTACAAAATCATTTATAATCGGAGCAAAATTTCGGTTCATTGTTACTCATAATAACTTAAACAAGCGGTAGACACCATTCCAATAATAGAGATACCTCGCTATTATCACTATACTCTGGCACTGCATGTAACTAATTTTCTTAGAGTTGTAAGTTTAGCTCTAAATATCCACTGACCCGACCCGACCCAATTTTGAGGTTTGACCTGGGTCAGTTTACGGTCGAGTCGTCTTTTGATCTTGTAAGGATCATATTTCTTGGCTATTTGTAAAGAAAAATTAATTTAGCTACTAAAGAAGAAGAAAATTGGATGCTAAAATGTAATCTTTAGAAAATTATTGTCTTGATTTGAGCCGACCAAATTTGACGACCAAATTTGAGCCCATATATTATTGAATTATTCATTTAAGATTACAAGATCCATCCTTATTTCACTCACGAAGAAAAGAAATGAAGAAACTAAAACCCATATAAAGCAGTCTCAACACATCACTAGGAAGGCAAACCGCTTGGGGAAATAAACAACAAGAGCAAACCATACAGGCAAATGAAAACATGGAGAACGGCCGGTGTTGGCCGGCAAAAAAAAAGGAAAAACACACCAAATCATCTGAAAGAGCACAACAAAGTGGTAGATCGAGATATTAAGCTCCAACTCCGACGATGATGCATGCACTTCTCATGGATATCCATTTAAATGAAGATGACAAGTTTATTCGGTGCACAGGCAACGACATGTATAGCGAGGCTCTGGACAGTCGCAGCCCACGACGCATTTAAGAGGATCTTGACCATCGCACAGATGTGGGTACCAAAACCGACAATTAATGTCGTTGCATCTCTCATCGCACCATCCCTGTACTGAAGTCGTATTGTTGTTATTAGGTGCTTGAGGTATCGTGATTACATCTGATGATCCTCCTTTATGTGGCACCTGGGAGGTCAAGTTCTCGTGGTTTCTGCAATGATTGATGGAATTTGTTTGTTTAATTGATGAGATTAAACCGTGCGCGCGGGAAAAAATTACCGAACAATAAAATTACAACTACGTATGATTTATCTTCCATTAATTAACTTATTCACAACTACATGTACTGCATATAATTTATCATCGTGACTACCTAATAATAAACTGTATATACCTGACCTTAATCGGAGCATCGTCGACCACGTTCTCTACTGACTGCGGACTAACTACTCTCGAATTAACACATGGAAGGATGAGAAGCAAGACGACTGCCAACTTTGCAACATTACTGATGGAGATTGCCATGGCTAATATGCTCTGCTGCTTCCTTGTTTAGGTGTGTATATATATATATATGCAATGTTCTGTTTGCTTGCTTGCATGTATATATAGCAATAAAGGATTAGGGCGCCGCACCTCTCTCATGCATAATATACGGCAAAAAGATGTGATACCTCAATTTTATCATCGTTATCATCCACAAGAATATATAGGCAGAGACTTGAGAAAATTCCTCATTCTGCTGGCATTGAGATAAGACGTTTCTTACAGAGCATCTCTTCGACCGATACGATGGCACATGAAAAGCAACTGATGTCAATTATAATTCAATAAATATGTTCATAATCCAGCAGCATCTCTTCACCAAACGACGGCGGTAAAAGTAGTCCAAATACAAGAATTAAAAGGAAATATTCAATGACGGCCGGCAAACCCCATATATGCACGAAACAAGAGAGGAGCAATGTGAAGTATGTTGTTTCATTAATATTAATATGAGTATGTTTATCTAACTAACACAAATTAACGAAATTGACATCAAGCAAAGGGAGAAGTCATTACCGAGTGTTTATGTAACAAGTATGCTCTAATTATTACGTCCGAAGAAATAAATGTTATTTTATGTAATCATTTAGCAGCATCTCTCTTCATCCGAATCACGCCGGTAAAAGTAATCCAAAAACATAAAAGAAAAGAACGTTCCATGATATGACAGCAAATCCCACGATCGAAACAAGAGAAATTAAGCAATGGGAAGAGTGTTTTTTGATTGATAGAAGTCGGGATTCCAATTAATTAATCGATTAGCTACAACACTACAGGAAAATCTATTTTTAACCACCGTAACTTCACTACAGTATAATATACGGTGGTTAATACTGATTAATCAAATCAACTACCGTATCGAGTACGATAGTTAATAATGCATTATTAACCATGGACTAGTTATCTAGGGAACTCTATTAGGCCTTTGAAATTCCTATTGTAAATACGAACATAAGGGTTGGTCTTGTAGTAATAACACTGGTCTTCAACTTGAAGTTTTCAAGTTCGCATTTCTTAAGCAAGTCACTAATCACAAAAAGTAAAACATATATCATCCTTATCTAAAAAAATTACTAATGTAAATAGTGCCTTGCAATTTTTTTTACGCTTATATATAACAGGTTCGGCAGATCACATGTATTTATTTTATGTAATAATTGTACTATGTTATTAATGTAATAGATTTTATATTTTGTATAATAGTTGTAAAATGACATTATGTAAACCAGATAATTTTTTTCAATAGTAACAACGTATTCTTACATACCCTATGTTTGGCCCGGCTTTTAAAAGTGTTTTTCGGGTTCAAAAGCTGAAGTAGGGCCAAACACCTGTAAAAGCTCGGCTTTTGAAAAGCCGAAAAGTGCTTTTGTATAACATAAAAGCAGAAGTTTTGATTTGGAGCTTCTGCGAAAAGCTGTTTTGAAAATACAAGATTATCCTTACCATATTTTAATTTTATTTCAGAAAATATAATTTTCCTTCATTTATATTTTTTAAAAATAAAATATAAAATCATATTATTTAATATAAAAGAAATCTAACAAGATCCATTTTGACTACTTTTTATTGTTTAGAATTTTTATTCATATTTTATATTATAAGTCCTTTATAGTCATTTTACACAACCTCTTATATAAAAAAAAACACTTCTAATAGTTTTACAGCCAAACACTCAACTGTTTTTTTTTTTTTAGTACTTATCTAAAAGCTCCAGCCAGAAGTTGCTTCTGCAAAAACTACCGTAGGGCCAAACTAAACTATAGAGTGAGAAGAAGTTTCCAAAATCATCATGCAACCCTTCTTATTTAATTGTCATTACGCTATGCAATTATCATTAACTACCAAACCGGCTTAACGTTTAGGGGAAGAAATCGAAGCATGTATGTCCCTGGGCTAATCTGTTTTCCTTTTAAGAAGCCCAAGCCCAGTAGCCCATCAAAGGACGCAGCCCGTCCGAGTCTTGAAATTTCGGCCCTCTTTAAGACCCTAAAATAATGCCTGCCTGCTATTGTATATATCCTCTTCCTTCTTTGCTTGGGGACTGCTACTAGACAGTGGCGGTTCCAGGAATTCTTTGTAGGTTGTCCTCTATAAAAAAAATTAAATTAAATATTAGAATTAAATTAAATAATTATTAAATATAAAAATATCTAACTAATAAAAGTTTCATTAAAAGTTCAGACATGTTTCATCAAATGATAAAATGCATTCGGTGTTTATACTGCTCAACAAATATCTCTCGACAGGTCTTTCTAGACAAGGATATCCCGTAATTGAGTTTAATCGTTAGGTTTTGAAAATAATTTGAGATAAGAATAACATTTTACTATTATATTTGGATCTAAAACACAATAACAAATGAGTTGTAGCGTAATTGAAAATATATTAACTAATAGTGGCAGTGTCCCAAATTTAAATCACATAAACTACTACTTAAATATTATTTATACCTACTACGGGAAATTGGATAATCATTTTCCCAAATTTTAAAGGTGTCCCGCTACCACTTAAACATTTTTTTCTCATATGCATATTACTATCGTATGTTGAATAATCGTGTTTCCAAATTTTAGGGGTGTCCCGGGACACCCCTAACCATACATGTATCCGCCACTGCTACTAGATTAACATAAATCATCAAATATTATTTTAGAAAGCACACCTACCTAATCCTCGTCAAGCAAGATATTTATGAAGCAGTAAGGACGATGTTGCGCGTTTGATGACTTACAAGAGTTACGATATACCGTATGGACTCAGCCACAATCAACTATCGTTTTCTCAGTAAACAAATAATGAATCCGAATTGTCGCTTACTATATACAAGATCGCAACTGTATCATGAAGTAAACGATAACATTACCTAAAACAGAATACCATTGAAGAACATCCGATGGCTTTGGAAAGGTAAATAAGAGCAACCTGAGATTTTTTTTAAAATTAAAGAAAGGAAAAGATGAAATGGCACAAGCATGAAAACTGAAGAAAACAGGATGTGATAGACAGACAGGAGGGGGGAAATATATTCTAGGATGCAACTTGTGGGGATGGGCCACATGCTTTTTTTTCCAGCTAAATTTTTCTAATATGCAAGTGGCTTGGCTCTCTCTGACACATAGATCACAACAATTTTGTTCAAAATAGTCATTAAATAATTAAGTTTACACGAAATGGCCCCAAAAGTTTTTTTAATACATATCCAAGAGGTCAGTTTGATCCAAATTATGACAAGATATGCTTCCCAAGTTCCACCCACCTCTATCCAACACCCTACTGAACTAATGACAAAGTTGATGTTGTTATGAGTTTAAGATAGATACTCTGTTATAGGGGTAAAGTAACATTTTCCTTTTCAAGAAGCTGGATTAGAGTTTTAGGTCATTTGAAGAATGCATTATATCTGTACTCAAGCAAATGACTCGACATATAACACTCGATCAACATAAATGTCCATCTAGAGCGTAAAACTACGGATCGAATCGGATGATCACAGAGAAAATACAATAAGGGCGTAAACACACCCATTCCCCCTTCTACTCTCATCATTTACCTCATCTCATCTCATCTCCTATCAAGTACGACTTGGTGTCAATCAAATATGCGATCAGGTTACGGATAAACAGCATCATAAGGAGGGCAAGAGAGGACGTATACTAGATGATTCAGCAACGAGAATAACGAGACCGAAACGACAAGGTAACACGACAGCACAAAAACTTTCATTTCATTTCACTCTCTTCGCCAAAACCTAAATCTAAGCATTCACGTGGTGTTTCAACAAAAAACCCCACGATAATCAAGTGACCATTTCGTACAAGCTTCATAAATCAGCTGACCATTCTCAATAATTTCTCCCCCCACACACACGACAGAAATAGAACAACAGATAAGAAACGACCCGCCGGTGACTTTAGCAGCAGCACTTCCTCAGACTTTTCCACAAAGCGTCTCGTCTCCTTCTCCTCTCCTAATATTCCTGTTGGCCAATACTCCCAATCCAAAACCTCAAAACCGCCTCCTTTCTTTCTTTCTTCTCCCCTCCAAAAAAAAAAAAAAAAAACCTTCCCTTTCTCCCTCTTTCTCCGATCCATGTATCCGCCGCCGCCGTCGTCGTCGACGACCTCCTCCTCCTCCAACGCGGCGCAGCAGCAGAAGCCGGGCGGGCTCCAGGGCGGGCTGACCCGGTACTGCTCCGCCCCGGGCTCGTTCCTCACCAAGGCCGTCGACTCCGTCATCGGCTCCGCCGAGGAGGGCCGTCAGTTCTACGCCGCAAACACCGGCAACCACAACAAGTACTTCTCCGGCGGCGGCGAGTCGTTCTCGTCGTCGCAGCTCACCTCCGAGTCGGGATGCCGGGTCAACTCGTCGTCCGTCGAGCACAAATCAGGCGGTGGTGGTGAGCAGCTCAAGAGATCCGACGCGTTGAACGCCATAGCTCGCGGGGCGTCGCCGTCTTCGTCGTCGTTGCTCCGGCAGAGGAGCTCTCCCGCCGGGTTTCTATCCAATCTCGTTTCGGAAAGCGGTAAGTTTATTTATTTATTTATTCCTCGATCAATATTCCCCTGTCCCCATTTCTTGTTTCTTTGTATGTTTTTTTTATTTTTATTAGCTCAGCCGATCGATTGGAATCCTTAGGGCGTTAGCTTAGGCGGCTGCTTGTTTGGTTGCTGGGAAAATGGCGAGAAAATTGTTTCGTATGCAATGTTTTGCTTTTGCAGTCTTTTTCTCCATTAGAGATTTGAGAGCTGCTATTGGCTATCTTAGAATCGTAATGCTGGATTATGGAACATAGGAAAGGGGTACGTTTTTTTTTTTTTTTGTATTTTTCGTCACTGAACTTTCACCAAACTTACAAATTGGTCTAGTGGGATGCTACTTCTTTCTGTCTTTGCTACCTTGTGAATCGAACATGGAACCAGGTTCGTACTAGATCGATGGCTCGTATAGGTATCAGAGGTCGAACGTGTATCATTTCGGCAAAGTTTATGTTCATCGCGTAACACATAATTATTTTGGTTCTTTAACTTACAATTGAGTCTCGACAATATTTTTATCTTCGAAAACGTCATTAGCATTGAATTTTATCCGTGTAGTCAGATGACGTAGTTTCTCTAAGATATGAATCGAGCACGCATGGTGATCCTCACATTCTATCCCTACTCAATTCGTGTGAATCATCTCCTCAAGCTTGTCATAGATCAAATGCTAAGTATGAGTTTATCAGATCCGATGATGATTTTATAACAGTTATTTACGATTTTAGTTCTAAATCTTGTGACATAAGAACATTGGATTATGCAATTTGGACGCTAAAAAGAAGAAACCTTTGTCAACATTAAACGGTTTTATCGTCATATTTCACTAGGTCATAATCAGACATATAAAATCTAGCTTTTATCAGAATTTTGGAAATTATTGAATGAATGAATGGAAAATTGTAGAGCATTGTCGACATGGAAATACAGAAGATTCTTTATAAAAAAAAAATACAGAAGATTCCTTACTCCTTAGCCTATTAGGATTACCATTTTGCAACTTAAGCGAATGGCCAGTGACTGATCCTGTAATTTACCAAGGCATTTAGTCCTTCTTATTACTCCAGCAATCCTGATTGGTGGCCCTATCAATAACTAAAGGAAATTCCTGATTGGTACATTCTTTTGTTTGTTCTTTTCTTCCTCCTTTATTTTTTTTATCTCGATTGTGATTGTTCGTTGTTCTTATATACGATTCATTTCCTCCAATAGATAATCGTTGACTGACTTGGTAGTAAAGTGAACTTTACCACCACCCAACTTAGTTGAATATTACATAATCACCCTTCACGTCCACGTGTGTTTGTCGCCCCACTTGCTCCTAACTTTTTGGTAAATTACCACCTAATTAGGAAGTAGTCTTTAATTCTCCATTTATGAACCGGTTTTTGGTCATTATTTTGTTTTTCTAATACAAATATCCGATATTTTGTATAATAATCACATCCATTGGGGATTGGATGAATTCATTGAACAAAACCCCAAATTGAGTGCCTATTCTCGCGTGGAATATTCTATTTATTTTATTAGGGATTTGGGTCCTCCATATCCATCCACTTGGCCAAGTTGAAGATAACAATTATTATTTATCAATAAGTGCAGTCGATCTGGAAAATAAAAAGGTTCTGGTGGTTTACCTTTTGAGCACATAGATTGGCTGAATCTGCTGCCTGTTTGGATGAAAGCTCAGTTCCTCTTGTTTCTTGAGCTTCTCCACAAGTTACAAAATTCACATCGTTTAATGTTTATTTTGTTAGGATATTAGGTATAAGTTCGTCGTCACGGCCTCACGGGTAATTAAATAGTACAAGATTTGTCATGTTTAACCAATTTGATGTTGATTTACTTGTTCGAATTTGTGAAACTTGATGACGATAGATATGTTATCAAATACTATGTTTCGCGTCGTCTTAGTATTTTGATAGACCGTCTTATTCAAGAACAACGCAAAATATTGTATCATTTACATTTCTCATCACTATGTTCAAGTAGCGATTCATCGGGGAACTATTTGCATATTAGATTTGGCTAATGATCACGAGCTTATATCTGATTTAATGGTGATTAAACCAGGGTTTTCGATAACAAGAGGTGGTTCCGGTGGCTACGATTCACACAATAATAACGCCGGCGCAGCAAACGGCGGCGGCGGAGGGTACCAGCCGGTTCAGAGGTTGAAATCGCAGCTGAGCTTCACCGGCCCAGAATCGGCACTTTCTCATATATCAGAAGCCAGCGAGAGCGACGTCGACGTGGACGTAGAGACCGGCCGCGGCCGCCACCACAGTTCCTATAACAATCCGGCGTCGTCTGGGTTCGTCATGGATTGGGACAACAGCCCCAACTCCATCACGTTCTCGTCAGGACAACCAAGCAAGAAGTTCCGAGCCGTGGATGGAGATATTTACACTTGCTACAACGGCTTGGACACTCAGGTAAGTTTTTTTTGTTATTCGTCGTAAGTTATTGGAACGAACTGGTTCTGATACCGTCGCGTTTTATGGTGCATGCAGTTTAGCATGCCGCAGACGACGCTAGAGATGGCGACGGTGGACAAGCTGATGCATATACCGGAAGACTCTGTCCCGTGCAGAGTCCGAGCTAAGCGTGGGTTCGCCACCCACCCTCGAAGCATTGCTGAAAGGGTTAGTGATGAAGATTTGTTTAATGACTATGGAGGGTTGTTTAATTACGTAGTCTAATCATGATTAAGTTGGGATAACATGTTATCATTAGTAATGGTGGTTGATGATAATGCGAACAGGAAAGGCGGACCAGAATAAGTGGGAGGTTGAAGAAGCTTCAAGATCTCGTTCCTAACATGGATAAGGTAATTAAGTTAAGCAGATTGCACTATGAATTCGGTTTATTAAGGGTCTCCACTATGCGATGAAATTTAACGTAGTGAACTAGTGATCATGGAAATATTTTCTTTGTTTGTACGTAGCAAACGAGCTATTCGGACATGTTGGACTTGGCGGTTCAGCACATCAAAGGCCTCCAAAATGAACTTGAGGTGCGTGTTCTTGAAATACATTATACGTGCAATACGCGTCGAATACTCTGATACAATGTAGTCACAAGCGAGTTTCTACGTAAAAATGTTTTGGTGATCTAAAAGCGTAAAATCATAAGTTTTTAAGTTTTAAAATGGAGTTTTTAACTACATAAGTTATAAAAACTAAGATTTTGAGTAGAAGCGTTTTAGTGACCTGAAAATATAAAATCGTAAGTTTTTAAGTTTTAAAGCGCGATTTTAACTACATTGCTCTCATATCGCGTGAAGATTCATTCTTTGAACTCAAGATCATTATCGTTTTGCTTTGCGCAGAAACTTCACGAGGATATGGAGAATTGCACCTGTGGATGCCGACCAAGCAAATGACATCTTGACTTGACAGATAGACATCTACAAGAGAACCAGCTTTCTGTATTCAAATTTTTTTTTCCTTCTAAATACCCCAAAAATTGTTGTTGGTTAATTTAGCTGAATAATTATTTATACAATAGGGGGAAAATAGTCCAAGTTCAAAGTTTTTGTTCTTTTGTTTCTTGCTTTGTTTGTGTACATAATATGGGGAAGCATCAAACAAGTGTTAGATATTTTTCTATTTACTTTCCGAAAATATTTTTCTTTGATTGTACATTGATATCTACCACCATCGACAACAACGACTAACCTCGCTATAAAAAAAATCGACGAACAATGATTTGGTCTAGATAATACAACTGACCTAATCACAAAAAATTTAAACTTATATCACCCTTATAAAAAAAATATCGGTTCTATTTCGTTTTGTAGCTCTGATTTGGGGCTTATAATTGGAACGGATCGAGCTCGGGCTTTTGTCGCGGAAATTTGGCTTCAGACCGTCTTTCCCTTTTCGGCCCAATATTCAGCAAGCCCGGCCCAACTTTATCATGCAATCTTATTTAGAGCTTCTATTGAGAATAAACAAATATGGGTGATTGAAGTGAAAGAAATAATGACTTGAGGGACTAAAACGGAGAAGGTAAGAAAAAGAGAAACAAAGGGTGGCCGTCGTTTCTATCTTAGCTAAAGGGTTTCAGCTGCCGGGGACGGTCTGAGAGACAATTGAAAGGAAAAAAAAGGTCGTCGGAAACAGAGAAGAAGAAGCTACTGCTTCCCCGCTCCGACGTCTACTGAATGGTCATCATTTCCCCATCGCCGGGGGAGAGAGGCAGGGAGTTCTAGCACTTGTTCCTTGTCACTTGTCAGCTGTCGCATAGATAAAGAAATTGGAAGGAGAAGGGGAAAAAGCAGGTCCTTGGATTCCGATCTCGATTGTGAAAGAGAGACCAGTCATCGGAATCTGCCATTCCTGCGGAGAAATTGCCCCAGCGTCGAGCTACTTTGTTGGGGAGGAAGCGAGAGGCTGTCCGTTGTGAAAAGTCGAGTACTTGTCTTTATTGCTGTGAATTGAGGGGATAGCTGCAATCAAATCATCTTCTGCCGTCAAGTCTGGGTATCTTTCTTCTTCTTCTTCTTTATATCTGATTCTCTGTAATATAAGAACATGATTGCTGATGCCTGATAGAACGTAGTTATTATGATTGGTGAATTTAAGAATTAGGAACAGAATTGGGCGGGGGCAGTAGGCTAGCTGGTTGTTCTTGCATTGGTGCTTGTTAAAAAGACACAAGGGAAAGAAAAGCCCTCTTTTCGTTGCAATTTCATGAAAAATGTTTCAGTGAAGTGAGCTTAGCTTAGCTCCTGTTTTGGTAGTCTTGTAGTGATAGGGATTCTCAGAGGACCGATGGCATTGACAATTCTATGCATGTTCCTTGTTGCAAAGATGAGAAATGGAACATAAATGGGCGTCTGGAAATTATTTACTATCGCGGAATTTTGCGAATGACAAATCAACACTATGTTGGGAGCCTCAAGGCTTTGAATTTTAGTGATTGAAAGTTGTGATCGATTCTCTGTCTGGCCATTCGCGACAATGACGGTTTGATCTTGAAAATTTTGATAGGAGGACTCTGGTTTTTGTTTCTGATCTTGATGAGATATGTTGATTGGGTATTTGCAGATAGCAATAAGTAATGGTATCATCTACCAGCGATGTAGATGAAGCAGTTGAAATGGAGGAGGAGGAGACTACAGATGACGGGCAGGACACAGCTGCACCACCAGAAGCTGTAGAAATGCAGGAGGAGACTTCAGATGATGGACAGGAGACAGCTGCACCACCAGAACAACAGGAAGAAGATGATGAGTCAATCCTAGAACCATGTGAGGGTATGGAATTCGATTCAGAAGACGCTGCTAAGATATTCTACGATGAATATGCACGAAAACTGGGGTTCGTCATGCGCGTGATGTCATGCCGTCGGTCTGAAAGGGACGGGAGAATTCTTGCACGTCGGTTCGGTTGTAACAAGGAAGGTCACTGTGTTAGCGTTCGAGGCAAACAAGGGAACGTTCGAAAGCCACGACCCAGCACGAGGGAAGGATGCAAGGCTATGATTCATGTCAAGTTTGATAAATCCGGGAAGTGGGTGATCACGAAGTTTGTGAAGGAACACAATCACCCACTCGTTGTTGTTGCGCACCGAGAAGCCCGCCAGACATTGGTTAGTTAGTTAGTTCATATTCTCTCCCTGCTGACTCACTGCAGGATATATAATCTCTTGTTTTCTTTTACAATGTTTTGAAAGGATCCACTTCTCTAGGTGTTGGTAGGTCATGAAAACTAAGTCCATAGTTTAGTTTCTATTCTGGTTGATTTGATCATGCGTTGCTTTTGCTTGAGTCAGCCATATGGTTGTCATTAGCCACGAAATCAGTAATTCTATGTCAATTAGGGACTTATAGCTGGCTTGACATGGCCGTATGTTCAACAGAAATGGTGGTATATTTATGTTTTTCATTTGCATATAAGCTTTTAGCTGAGATGAAACTTCTGTAAATTGCTGTACCAGGATGAGAAGGACAAACGGATTCAAGAGCTGAGCATGGAATTACGAAACAAGAAGAGGTTATGCACGGTGTATCAGGAACAGCTATCTTCATTCATGAAGATTGTCGAAGAGCACTGCGATCAGATATCGATGAAAGTGCAGAATGTGGTGAGAAACATCAAGGAGTTGGAATCTATAGAGTAGGTGGGAGTTTCTTCTTCTGCAGGATTAGATAGTTTGCAGGGAATATCCAAATCAGCTTATACGATTGTTTTCTTGTAAGTAAATGCAATGTGAATTTGTCAGTCTGCTAAACAGAAGACTTGTAACAACAAATGACAGAATTCATTAGCCTTGTAGTTACAGTGCAAGTGAATATGTTTAATTTCAACTGATCTTACTTGCTACTTACCACTTCTTTTCGTGTAAAATTCTCAAGTTTTGACATGAGTGATAGAACTGATGGGTGTGATTTAGTGTTGGTTTCATCATTGATGTGAGAGCTATTCCATAATAATTTGGTCACTATTGTTCTCACATTTGATCCAAACCATACTCTTTACTCAACTCTAATTCGATCTTTATGACTTGAAATGACATCATTTTCAATCTCTCTTCAGCGGATTACGTCGAAGATAATCAAATCCAACGAAAAGGAAACACTAAAGGCTCTACGAGATATTTTTATTGTTATTAATTTATATGAATTTCTATGTTTGATCTAGACGAGTGGAACAATTAGTAATGGACGACACCATCGTCTTGTTACTCGCTCTAAATTTCGGTACAAAAGTTCATGAAAAAATGATAAAGTTTAGTGATCGATTTACCAGTAACACTAAAGTACAGTGACTGGTTATGTAGTTGAGCAATAATAATCATGAGCCCCCAAGGAAATAGTTTTGTCTCCCACCCACTAATGGATCCTTTTCATTCAATTTTTAGATTTTATTATACCAGCTCCCTAAAAATAATTAGATTCCATATCTTCAAAAGTAATGCTCTCTTTTTGGCTTTTCATGCAAATGCAAACCCATAATAACCCTAAAATCTTAATTAGACACTCACCATCATTGATTCAATTGTTCATCATGAAGCTACCTTTATCGATCCCTCCATATTGTATCAAAATCAGTTCGAATTAATCCGTCCACAAAACTCTAACCAAATACTCTAGAAGTTACAATTAGAAATGTTTAATAAGAACCAAAGACACTCGAATCCAATACGGGAGCGATTCATCCTTCCCGAACGCAGCATACAACTCTCCGTTGTACTGCGCTCTCCAAATGTGTATGTTCCCCCTTCTTCCTTACCATGGGAGTTTTGAAATAACTCCGATGCGAAGAAATCACTAAAAATTATAATGTAAACTGCGAAATGGAGAAAACATTATCATTCAACCGTCAAATTTTAAACTTTGACGGCCAGTCTTCCTTAGAAAATTCCCCCAAATTCAGCTCCAATTCAGGAAGAAGAAGAAGAAAGCAAATTATCACAAGAAAAATTATTATTTGATATTATAATAGACCAGGAAAAAAGGAAGGTGTTCTGTTCTGTTCTGTCTTTCATACCGCAGCATGTCTCTGCCTTGACTCCCTCTTTACCATTACAGACTTTCCCCTTCTTCTTCTTCTTCCTCCTCCTCTCTTTCACTCTTTCCACTCTCAAACCCATTCTCTCTCCGCCGCCTTCTGCCAGGAAAAGACCATCGAAGCGAGATAAGGCATGTCGTCGTCGGACGAGGAGGGAGGCGAGGAGTACCTATTCAAGATCGTCATAATCGGCGACTCTGCCGTCGGCAAGTCCAACCTCCTGTCCCGCTACGCCCGGAACGAGTTCAACCTCCACTCCAAGGCCACCATCGGCGTGGAGTTCCAGACCCAGAGCATGGAAATCGACGGCAAGGAGGTCAAGGCCCAGATTTGGGACACCGCCGGCCAGGAGAGGTTCCGCGCCGTCACCTCTGCTTACTACAGGGGCGCCGTCGGCGCGCTCGTCGTCTACGACATCAGCCGCAAGACCACCTTCGAGAGCGTCGGACGCTGGCTGGACGAGCTCAAAAGTAAGTATTTCCCAGCTGGGCTCATTTCATTTTCTACTCTTTCTTCCGCATTCATTGATTGAATTGGGGAGCTTGGAAGTAGATCTGAAGCTTTGAACTGAAATTGAGCAATAATCGAATCTTTCGATTCCGGGGACTTTTAATTAGGTTATAATATCGCTTCAGATGGGGAATTTGAGTTCTTGGCATTGAGCTAGCTAGCATTTGTCTGGATGTGTTTGCTTCTATCTGTTACTGTCCTGATGGAACTTTGCTGCTAAAAGTGAAGTGGCTTTGAGTGTAGATCCTTTGATTCGTGTGAGATTCGATCTTCGTTAGCTCCGATGCTAGGGGATTCGGTATGCTTAAGCTGCTCTGAATGAGCTTTAAGATTAGAGAACTTGCATTGTTCATCTTAATTTTAGTTCAGGATGGGACGGGGAAGAAGGAAGTTGAAGTTTATTTCTTTTGTTGATTTGTGATTGAAGTCTTTAGCTTTATGGATGCAACTCCACCTAGTAACTTTCAAGGTAGTAGTTTGGGGCAGAGTGTCTTTGCTTGGAGGAGAGACCATTGGAACTTTGGAAGTTCCTTGGCATGATTTGAAGAATAGTTAGAAGAAAAAGATAGCTGCTTTTTGGTAAACAAGATGGAGAACTGAAATATGACCATATATTCGCTTTTGGAATCTTACATGAGAGTTAGTTGAGTTGGTGCCTAACTAGCAACGATATATTTTTTTTTGAAAAGTTATTGCCTTTTTTCGTTCATCTTGCCCCAATGGTTACAGAACTCGGTATTGAGACGAACCAGGCATCGAAGCTTTGTGCTAATAAAGCAGCGTGAGCATTTCCTATTTTCTCGGCCAGTTTTTGCCATTGTGATGCTGATGTGAAACCACTGTACACAACCACATCACTAATATAATGGCAAATACTGTAGGAGGTCGGGAAACAGAAATGCTAAAGTGATTACATATTAGTGCGAGCTCCTGTGTTTTGATTTGTCTTGCTATCGAGTTCAGTGTCCAGTATAATGTTCGATCACCAAATCGGTACTTAAACTCTCTTACCACCCTACCACTTTTATCCAACTTGGTGACTAGCATGAACAAATAAGTGACTTCTCATCTCGATTAAAGGACTGGTGTGTTCTGATTAGTCATTTTCTTATCTTGTTATCGTTTTGGGCGTAGTTGAGAAGTATAATGGTCTGGCTTTCTGAATCCTTACCAGCTTCTGTCTGTTTTCTCATTGGAGAGACATGCTTGCTTACTTATATCATGCTGCAGGTAGTTTTGAGTGCTTTGGTTCTGTTATGAACAATAATGATATATAACTAGAAAGAAGAACTGTGTAGGTTGATTTGTTATTCTACAGTCAACCTATTGATGTACAATAGATTCAGGGGAAGTATTTCCTAGTGTTGTAGCAGAATCAAGTTGAAAATTGGAGACTTTACGTAGTATACAGGACACCCAGATGATCGTTTTGTTTGCCATCTTTTACTTTATATTGGGTTTGTCAATGCGTTTGACCACTGCTGATTGTGAATGCGATGTCTTTTACTTTATTAGAAACCTTTGATCCCATCATTTACCCTATTATTATGGCTAAAATTCAGCCGACATGTTGGTGCAGTGCATTCTGATACCACGGTAGCCAAAATGCTTGTGGGCAATAAATGTGACTTGGACAACATTAGAGATGTGAGCATTGAAGATGGCAAGACCCTCGCAGAAGAAGAAGGCCTATTCTTCATGGAGACATCTGCACTCGATTCGACCAACGTTAAAAAGGCCTTCGAGATCGTGATCCGAGAGATCTACAACAATGTGAGCAGAAAGGTCCTTAACTCAGATGCATACAAGGCTGAATTGTCCTTAAACAGGGTCACCATATCCAACGATGGAAACGACGGATCAAAGAAATCTGGTGGCTTTGCATCCTGCTGTTCCAGGTGACCACCTTCTTCCTCGTCCGATTACTTCTCTGGACATCAAGAAGTGTAGAATCTTCAGGCTGCCCTTGTTAGTTCGACCCTTGGTCTGTTGATTCAATTTGGGTCCAATGTTTTGGTCAGTTTGTTTCTGCTGTTGCTTAGTTTAAAGAACAGACACTTTGTTTCAGTTTGCAACCAAATCAAGTGGAATATCGTATAGATGAAAATACGATTATTGGTTCGGAAGATATGCAGATGTCAATCAGTTGGCAACTAAATGTTGCACCATCCAACCACAAAAACAAATGTCAATCTCCACTTCCAGAACATAGGCACCAAATACAGAGAGTCTTAGGAAAACGAAAACGACAACATTATTTTGTGTCCACTTCAGTAAGCCAGCATCCATCAAGCAGCAGTTGCATCGCTGCCACCTAGTGAAAACAACAACAGCAGCAGCAACGAAAACAACAACAAAGAGGGATCAGGAACCTCGTCAAAGACAATCTCATAGGCACCAAATACAGAGAGAAGAAAAGGATGACACCATTTTGCATTCTTCTGAAATGGTTTTGTATCATGTTCGGTAAAAAAAAATTGTTGTACACTTCCTCCTACAAAGCTCATAATTCTCCTTCCTTTTTTATCCAATTGATCTGTGCATTTCCTCCATGTTCATCTTCTGCTCAACAATCATCTGGTCATATATTTCCCTCTGTTTGAAGGTTTTGCGAAATTACATCGAAGATCGAATTGGTGAGCCTGATAGTTCAACCATAAATTTAAAGATTATGAGAAAAAACAAAAGCAATATCATGATAGAATCATATTGGTTTCATCTATGATATTTTTTTATTCAACTAATATAGGAAGAACGGATGATCTCATATCATTTTATTTCTGTTATCTGCAAATACAATAGCTCAACATGGCTCTACATTATTTCCAACTTCTTCTCCACTTTTACCTTCGATAATTCTGATAGACACATGAAACAACTCATTATAAAGATCCAAAGTCCGATGTGGATCAAGCAAAGTAAAGATAGAGAACAATAATAGTCGCATTATTACTAACAATTTTTTTTTTTTTAAATTTCAAACACGAGACATGACGAGCTGAAAGTGTTTCATAGTCAAACTCATTCGTGATTGCGCACTCTCAAACCTCAAATATGAGAATAGAAGGAATAACAAGCGCATAGGAGAGCAACAACAGGTGTAGGTTACCAAGCTACCTATCAAGACATGGGCAGCCACATACATGAACTTGAAGTTGTCAAGCATTCGAACAACTTTCTGTCCAAGCCACAATACCAGAAAAGGAAATGCTCAGCAATCACAACCAATGTTCGTTCAAAAAACCCAACCTACTCATCGAAATCATCATTCATAACATCATCACATGTCACTGGGAAGTGGCTACTTACAGTTGTGCTCAGAGCTCCAGGTAGCGTCTGTGGAAGGCAAGTCGAGCAGCTCCTGCACATGCTCCGGAAGCTCCATGATCTCGTCGATCAGGGCGGTGCTCCAGTTAAAGAGTGTTTGGGCGATCCTGTCCTTCATGGTTTCAAAGACAGGTAATTCCTGCCTGTATTCCTCCGCCAATTCATTCAGTGAGTTCGTCCCACCGGTTGTATCGCAAATGGATTTCAGCTTCTTGTTTATGGTATCGAAGGACAACATCATAGAGACCATGTTGTTCTTGAGAAGTCCGTCATCTGAAAATCACAACGCCGCAAAAATCATGCCCCAAGGAGAAGCGGGGGAGGGGTGGAGTTAGGGTTTTAGAGAAAATCTTACGTACCCGTCGCCTCCGGGTGGTATTCGAGTGAGGGCTTCGGTAGCTCTACCTCCAGCTCCGGCGTGTATTTTTCGATCAATGTCCTCACATAATCCGTCATCGTGAATAACCCAAGATAGATGTGCTTTTTGCGGCTTTCGAACAAACCTGTGTATACATTAATCGTCTCTACCTCGAAATAAATTTTCCACTTCAACATGGATCCATGATATTGGAGGCCTTCTCCCATCCTATTGAAAATGGAAAGCGTCTTCAGACGGAGTGAAATCTGCAGCCTATAATCGATCAAAGCATCTGCGTCTTCACACTTTAGATACCTGATCTCCATTAAAAGCAAGGGATTGGGGGAAAGAGGCTTGTGGTGGGAGGAATGGGCGAAGAAGCTCGAAACAAAGATTTTAGGGTTTGTGGTAGGAGGAATGGGGGAATGAAACGAAAAGCTCAGTTTTTTTTTTCCTTTTCTTTTTTCTTTTAAAGAAGCTCAGCTAAATCTGCCCCATCTTCCTATCTTGCGGTTACTCCGGCTTTTTATCCACACCTTATGCCTCTCTGAGATAACGGTGGTATAACCAATATTTATGTCGGTTATACCAATTTTAATAAAGTATACGAGAAAAATGAAAATCCTCAATATTCAATACCAAATAACCTTGTTAGGAATAAGCAATAGACAGAGTTAATTTGCACAAAATAGTATATATATATATATACTATAGGAATTGGTTGTCACACCCGCTCTTTCTTAAACTGTTTATTTACGTCTATGTCATGAGTAAGGATTTAAATATGTGCCACATTTGATTAACTAGTGCTCAGTGATGGTGACGAACGCATTTCGAGACTAGTTATTTACCTAAGATTACAAATAATAGGAGAATCATCGTAATAAATTAGAATCAAAATAGAAATTATATTGTTATGTTACAATCTCCCTAGACTATGTCAACCTGTATTTGAATTTGGTTAAGTGTAGCTAGGGGAGTGGGAAAAGAGCCAACTTCATTTTTTTTTATTTCTGAGAAAGAACGAACTTCATTTGGTTAAGGAAGTAGTTGCATAATCTGAATGGCTAAACGTCACCCTAGTTTATTATTATCGCCCTAACTTAAAATTAGTAAATTACTAAATTACCCTTAATGAGCAATAAAAAAATCACAAAACAAACAACCCTAAAATCTCTAATCCTCCATCATCTTCTATTCTTCTTCTTCCAACGAGAGCGGTCTCGCCCCACTTCACGTGTACGCCGACCGACTGCAATCCAAACCAACTCCGACGCTAAAAATCCACAGTCCATACGTCGCTCCGCCGTTAAAAATGATTGCTCCAAACAACCCTCCTCTGTCTTGCTACCGTCCTACTCCTCCAACAGCCGCTTCTCCTCTGTCGTACCGCCGTGGAAGTTCGTTTCAGCAACCCTTTTTTATCTGCTACAAAAAATTCTTAAATTATTTACTCATTTTGATATTTTCTAATCGCTGTAATCGTAAGAACCATATATACACCCCTCCAGCCGCTAATACCACCGCCGTGGAAGCTCGTTTCAGCAACCATTTTTTATCTTCTCCAAATGTAGCACCGAGGTTCAGATTTGATTAACAAATGAACGTCTGGTGGCCAATGGGTTGATGCCCATCTCAATTTGTCTACTTGCTCCGTAGCATTTTTGCTTGTGTGAAACTTAAGAACTGCTCCCTTCTCCTTTTCAATAGAATTTGTTAAATAAACGAAAAAGTAGATTACGAATAGGTATGATGATGGTTACCTTCTATAGAAAAGGTTGAGTGAAGCTCGTTTCAACTTATCGGTATCGTCCCTCCTCCCCAGTCGACTTTGTTCTAGGTGACCGGAAAATTTCACGCGGGAGGTGACTCGTTGTTGATTGTGTTTTGTTTCAATAGAATATTCTCTAACAATAAAAATATTAAAGGGGTAAAGAAGTACTTTTAACATTTTTAGTTAGGGCGATTATATAAATTTAGGGCGACATTTAGCAATCCCCCAATTAAAATAGCTATTATGGATTTAAAGCCAATTAATTAGTTGTGTAGACGTGTGAGAATGAGGTATGTTTATGCATGGTTTTCAATGGGAGCTGTCACATGTGACAGATGACATGATGCCAACAAGGTGAAAACATGGCGGCTGCACATGTGGCGTGTATGGAAGACTAGTAGCATAGATATGCTCCTAGGATTTTCCACCTTAAGAGAGGTTTTTTTTTTGCAATAAAGGAGGCCGAGGCCAAGAAAGCAGAAGAGGGAGTTACAAAGCAACAAGCGCCCTCACTTGGCGCTCAAAAGAAACACCCATATCATCATCTCTAAGGATCTGAATGAGCTCACTCGGCGGATTAGAGAGTTCATGCGTACCGTAGGGATAGACGAGACTGTGCTTCGAGAGCTCACTCTATTCCCTTCTCGATACGTATGAACTATCCTGACCAGCCAACTCTGAGCCAACATCCTCCTGATAGCATCAAGAAGGGAGGCGTAAGGATGCACCGGGTCTCTCCGGTTGTTTATCAACTGGATAGCTAATTGCGAGTCCGACTCGATCACCAAGCTGTCACACCCAATTTTCCAGGCCAGGTTCAGCCCATGGTAGAAAGCCCATAGCTCCGCTAGCGCTGCAGTCGCTTCACCAATCTTTGCCACAAAACCAGCAATCCATCTCCCTTGCTCGTCCCTTATCACCCTACCAGCACCGGCCGTCCCTGGGTTTCCAGCTGAAGCTCCATCAATATTAAGCTTACGCCAACCTGTGCTAGGAGGTTGCCACCTGATCTGCTCGGTGATCCTGTCCCCCTGCAAGATTGACCGACCTGGCTTAAAAGAGGGAGCTGCCCACGCCTTGTGCCAGAGAAGGGATTTGTGTTGTATCGAATGAGCCAAAGTCGGAGCTGTGAACGCTCTGCTTGCCCCTTTGAAACACACCGTGCACCTGTTCTTCCAAATCAGCCAAATAGCAATGCTGAAGAACTCGTTCCACACCAAACCAGACTCCATCATATCCTCGTTGCTGAGATTGCTGCGGAGCCAATCCTCTTGGTCTCTGTGAAAGAACTCCGTTTGTCTGTCGATCGGAACCCACCGAGCCCAACAAAATCGCGCCGGCGGGCAATCGCGTAGCACGTGGAGCACCGTCTCGGGGGTGTCTACACACCTGTCGCATGCCGGTGTGTCACTGCATCTCCTGCAAAAACGTAAGGCATTGGTAGCAATCCGACTGAGAAAAACCAACCAGACAAAACATCTGACCCGTTCAGGAATTGGCAGCTTCCAAATGTCCTTCCAAATCTGGTCATTCTGACCCATGCGTCCGGCCTGATTCAGCTGGTAGGCACTCTTCGTCGTGAACCGGCCATCAGCTGACACCTTCCAGAAAATTTGGTCCGCATTTGGAGACAGAGGGTCCACCATAACAGCAGTGATCTTCTGGAGAATGTCCGTCGAGAGCCACCGGGAGAGGTGAGTGATATCCCACCGACCATCAATATCCAAATAAGAGTGCATTATGAGTCACATAATGGGTGACATTTATAGAGTGCATTATGGGGGGACGTTATGGATGTATTGATGTGGGGTAGTGATGAGGGGCATTGATGCCTTGTATGTGGAGAGGCCTATATAAGGAGTCATCTCCCTCATTTGTACTCATTCCATCATTTTTTAGAGTAATACACACTAGAGAGTTCTCCCATCTTCTTTATCTTGTTCTTGCTTCTTTGCTTGCTTGTGAGTTTGAGAGAAGGCTTCCTAGCGCTCTAACGAAATTGAGAGTTATGGTCGTACGATCGAGAATAAGGTCGTGACAGAGCTCTCTGGGAAGACTTTGTGCACAGTGCAGGGTTATATATAATCTATGTTCGTGTATTGTGGCATGTGGGATATATATAGTGATGGCAATGGGGCGGGGCGGGGCGGGTACCTCAATTCCCATTCCCCGTTCCACGCTACTACGGGTCGGGGCGGGTAAACTTGTGCGGGTACGGGGCAGGGTGGGTCGACCCACTCTTACATGTTGTTCAAAAAAAAATACAAGTAAATTTTACTTTTTACAATAAAACGTAGGAAAAAACACTTTAAGATTGAAAAATATTGATAATAGAATGGATAATTGAGCCTAACAAGTTGAAAGATCGACTCTAACTAGTTGAAGAAAAGTTAAAATAGGAGAAATATGTATAGATATTGTAAGAAATTGAGATAAAATGAGTCTAGAACGGGGCGGGGCGGGGCAGGGTGGGTCAGAAGTAGATACCCATGCCCCGCCCCACGCTACTGCGGGTCGGGTAATACCCGCCCCATCGCGGGTCAGGTCGGGTAATCTCCGCGGGGCGGGTTGAAATTGCCATCACTAGATATATATATTAGTGGTGATAATTAATCAAAGTGGGTTGTTAGAGGGTAATTAATAACATGCATAATCATTATCTTACGACAAGTGCGAGCACAACTAAAGTGATGGAATTAAATGTAATTTATGGGTGGATTAAGGGTAAATATTTTGTATACAATTAGATTGGGGCCCGACCGTTGGCCGATGATTTATGTAAATGGTATAAACAATAATAGTAATTGCTCAAATCAAGTTACGTTTTATTCGGTACGATGAAATAATCTAAATTATTCACTTACTTAAATTACGAAAGTCATGTAAGGTAACCAATTCCTTAAAAAGATTAATAAGATTGCACTTGAAATTTACTCTCCCTGTTAGAAACTATTGAATTTTTTTATTTTTTGAGATATAACTACAAAAGTTCTTTTGGACATTTTTTTAGATTGCTTCACCATCAAAAGATTCTCTCATGTGACTTCGTTTTCACTCACCTTTATATTCATCATTAATAGTTTTTTCTTTATCTCCTGCTTTTCATTGAATCTCAAAATATAGTTGTAAATTTTTTGAAAATGTGAAACATTATTTTAACGTTAGTAGAATGACTTCACCCAAATCGTAAATATTATCAGCGATTCACTCTCTTCTCCCATCATTAATATTTATATATCCGCTATCAACAATCTCTTCCTTCTTCTCAACAATGTCATTATCCATCACCGAATCCACTATCTCTACCATTAGCATACTCTTTCTCTCCTCCCTCATTTTACAGAAACAAAAAATTTAATGGAACAAAATTTTACATTTGTGAAACACCATTTTCAACAACATTATACTTTAGTAGGTATGATTTATTTTCCTCCAATGAAAGAATTTGAAGTTAAAAATAGTGAAAGAGTAAAGGAATATTGTTACCTAGCCTCTGACGTCTTTAATCTTGATGTATAATTCTTATAAAAGTACTATATGAGAGAACCTCTTATAAGAGTAATGTGAATAACTCTTTCTTTTTAGCAAAAATCTAATGGTGAAATATTGTCGAATGTGAAATATATTTCTAGTGGAAGTAAAGTTCCACTTCCTTATCTTCAAAATTGTGTAGCTACTTATAGGGTTTGGGATGTTGTAATCAGTGTGTTTAATGTCGAACGTCACAATAGACATTCCAAAAAATCTAACTTCTTGTGATCCAATACAACAAAGTTAGAATAAGCAATTTTGTCCACGGAGTTGAATTCTGAAATTATAAAATGCAAAAAAAAGAGAGAGAGAGAGAGATTCACTATGTAGTGCATTTTTTAAATGTTTAGTGGGTATTATATTTTTTCTCAGATGAATGAGTTGAAAATAGGGAAAAAGTAGAGATTGATTATTACGAAGTGGGAATGACATTTAAAATTTAATGGTATAATTATCTTGCCATCGAATAACCTTCATAATTTTGAAATTGATAGTATTTTATTGTGTCTTACCTACACATATGATAAAACATAACGGCTATAAATGAAAGGTTATTGATATCCAACAAATCTACTAACAATTGAACTTTAAAATTTTGTATGTAACTAAGACTACAATTTAAGTTGGCATTGTTTTAAAAGACCAATATGATTTGAATGTATGGATTCTTTTAAATGTGTTTAAACACCAAGAGTGACCAAGTAATAAATTAAGTCCAAGCTAAGCCCATATATCATCTCAAGGAAGCAAGCTCAAGCAGCGGAAGTGAGATTGCATGCGAAATAAATGGTTCCATCAAAATGACCAGATAGTCCTTCCTTGAATTGCGCAGCTAGCATAAATTTTGCATCCCCGTATGTTCTCATGGGGAATATCTATATAGTATTGGGAGGATAGTGGGGTAGAATTTATTTATGTATGCGTTGGGAGTTCAATGAAGTATTTTTTGTTTTAGGAATAATTATACCTTGAATACATGAGATTGGTTCTTAATTATGACAAGTATATATAATAATTTTTAGTAATACTAAATCATCCGTATATGACTTCTTGAAGGAAAAGGGCAAGTTGCAGAATCCTCTAGAGGCAAGAGTATAGCCGAGTAGCAAGTGAGTAAATTCTAAACTAGTAACTTAATTAATACGAGCATGGTATTTGGGTCATGAAGCGGCCCAAATCCGAGGTAGCGGATTAATTATGGTAAATTGTGATTGTGTGTTTAAGCATATGTGTTAATGATTATATGATATGATGATGTGGTGTGATTTCTATGTAATGCATGGATATAGAAGTGGCATGTGGAATTTCAATGTGAAGAATGATAAGAATATTGATGAGATGAGTATAAAGAGGCATGAAAGGCCTCTGTGATGAAGTCAATGATGACAATGATGTTGTTATTGATAATGATGATGCATGTGATGTAGATGATGATTATGGATTTGATTTGATATGAACTTGTGTTTCTTTGTATGCGTATGTTAAATGGTTAGTCATGCACCCGGAGAATATGATGATGCATGTGATAAGTCCTCAGTAAGGACTTTGTGTATATATTCGGTTATGTGCCGATTGCCTGGGCTATGGGAGGAAGTCACCGATGCTTTAGATCGGCGGAGGTGGGGGAGCCTAGAAGCGTTGTGGTGACCCAAAAAGGTAAAAGCGTAAGCTTTTAAGTTTTAAAGCGCGATTTTGACTGCATTACTTCATATCAACAATAAAGCAGTAAATATATGACCCCCAGAAAATATTGCCACTTTCTCCCTTCTAAGAATATTCCATGCAACCATTCATTGTCTTCCAAAGAATATTTAGTAAGCATTAGTATCCCAAGCTTGATCTCATTCATCCTCATCTTCGTAATCAAATACACAAGCACCAAAGTCACCAACAAATGGCTTGGATGAATGAAATACATGACTTAAATGTGTAACAACATTTTGATAAATATGTCAAACACATAAACGATGATGAGTCCCTCTTCAATTACTCTCACCATGGCGGCTGATTGATATGTTAATATGGTCTTAGGTTGCTTTCCTCCAATTATTGCACTAAAAAAACTTCAAACAACCATTTGAACGATGGGATGGTTTCATCTTAAAGCAACGCCGCCTGAAAAATTATCGTCTCTTTCAAGTGATTAACCCTAACAAATGGAGCAAAAGGTATGTTGTACTTATTTGTTCTATAAGTTGTATCAAAACGTAAAACATCTCGAAAAGTGCTTTCAATCAATTATTGACCTGCCATCTGCCCAAAAGATATTCATAAGAAGATCATCATCATCAAATTTCCTATTGGACCTCAATATATGTTTCATCGGAGTAGGGTAAGCTCATGGTTATGGGTTGCTTCAAGTTTAACAATCTCAAGCATGTCATCATTTTTCAGCTGACATGTCATCTCCGCTAAACAACCCACTCTTGTCATTGGCCTTTCGTAAGTTACCTTCTCAGACCTTTTATCAATACCCTTTTTTCCTTGCTTAGAACAACTAAATATCCTTCTTTTCACCTGTCTAGACTTTGTATGTTTGATGAAGTTCTTTTTTACAAGGTAAAATACATTTATATAGCCAAAATTTTTGCACTTGTGCCAATAATAGCCAAATTTGGAGAAATACCACTTATAGCCAAAATTTTGAAACTTTTGTGCCAAATATAGCCATTTCCGTTACAAATTTTAACGGTGTCAGAGAATCCGTCAGTTAGTTTAACGTTAGGATGATGAGGACGCCAAATCATCGCACACGTCAGCGACAAATCAGCCACATTCGCCACGTAGGTGACACGTCATATTTTTAATTTCAAAACAAACGAAAACTTCATATATTAAAAATAATATTAAGTAAAAAATAATCAAAATTTTATCCTTTACTTTAATCAAATTAAATAAAAAATCATAAAAACAATAAAAGCATTAATCACTTCTCCCACCCACCGCCTAATCCTATTCACCTTCATCAACCCTAAACTCCCAAAAGCTTACTCTACTCTCATTACCATCATCGCCTGTTCATCTTCATCGTAACGCCTGCCGAAGCCAGAGCTGCCGCGAGTCGTTGCTCTCACCCTCAGAATCTCCAGCAACTCTGTCACTGCCTTGTCTGTCATCCCTCCGATTCTTAATCAACACCTCGCTCACAGACGCGGGGTCATCTCCGCCTCAATCTCCTTCCAAACACTGACGTTTCCTCCAGTGGCTCCTCCTCTCATCTCCGCCGCCTCCGCCTTGTAGAAGCCTGGCGAGCCTCCTCTGTTTCCGCGCCGCTCGAGCTGCCCTTCTTACGATTCCCGATCGGCACCGCGCGTCTTCTCTGCATCAACCAGAGCAGCACCAATATCATAACATAGCCATCCCCATCACCTTCGACTCACGCACCGCCTTCTGGAAATCAGTGATCGTCGTCGAGCCCATGTAACCCTCGTCGCCCAACTTGCTGTCGCTACTATTTATGTACCCCCGCCCAGATCTGGGTTTGGGGATTACAAATTTGGTCAACGCTGTTGTGGATTATAATCGTCGCGGCAATGCAAGTTTGGGGGAAGATCAGTGGGAAGAGAGAGGTGGAAGATCGGAGATCGGAGATTGGCAATGGTGGGTGTGAGGGGATGATCGGAGGACGGAGGGAGATTGAACCCCATATTTCATCTTCTTTTCCCCTGACTTCATCTTCTCGATTAAAACCCCGATTTGACGCTTTCAAGATCCAACTTTGGAAACCCAGATTTGCAGCGAAGGGAGAAAGTTGATGCCCTTCGATTGATTGATCCGAGGGAGCACCGACGGTGGAACTGGAACTTTGGGAGGTGGAAGACAGAAGCACGATCCTTTCCTTCTCCCTCTGCTCGGGAATCATCCTCGATCTTAATGGCGAGTTCAGAGATTATGTAAATGGCGATTCTCCAGCGGTGATGGAAGAATTGTGAGAGTTTGAAGAATAGAGAATCGAGAGGGTTCAACTACAGAAAATCCCAATCGGATTTTAATTGAATGAGAGTTTCGTCTGGGGAAGGAATGGGGAAGAAGAGAGATGGGGAGAGAAAATGAAAATTATTTATTTTATTTATTTTTAGTTTCCACCTCACATTTTTAATTGACTAACGGTCGTCAACTCAGCAATGCCGTTAGTACAGTCTGCCCGTTACTTGACACCGTCAAAGAATTGGACGGAAGTGGCTATTTTTGGTATTTCCCCAAAAGTGGCTATATTTGGCAAAACCGTCAAAGTTTCGGCTACACAAGTGTATTTTGCCTTTTTACTATGAAACCAAACTTGTGCACATTTTATAGAATTCATAAGCACTTTCATCACAATGAAACTTCATGTATATACATGACACTTCATAATTTGCATTCATCTCTAGTATCTAGAGAGTCACATAATATATTTTCAGTCAAATTTATAAAAATAAAACAATAATAGTGTGAAAGAAAAAAGGTATCTTATACTGAAACTTGTACAAATCTCTAATAAAGTAAAGAAGGCCGTTAACTATGATTAGTCATCACAACAATTTCAGCCAAACAAAAACAACTTGCAAGTACGTTGACTAAAACATACAACTCTAAGTCCTTCTTCAACTAATTTCACTATAATAAATTAACTTATCTACTTGTCTGAGAATAAATTAAAAAAAATAAGAGGAGAAGCCATATCTGAGCAATCCGCAATTGCTATGTACCAACAAAACAGCTATAGCAGCCCACAATACGTTTGAAAGAAATCTCACAATCCATACACAACTGAACCCTATATATAGAGTCCCAAATCCCTTTTTTAGTTTGGGACACGATTACCTTTTTTGGATGAAAGAGAATAAGAGAAGGTGAAAATATATAATAAATGAGATCCATGACACACACCCCCTAGTTGGGAGATCTTAGAATGCTAAAACATTTTTTTAATATGGTGCTAACACTTACTCCATCCAATAAGAACATTTTGTTTGGATGAATTTTTTTAATTTATATAAAAAATGGGGTGGGGGTGCCCTATAGACTGCCCATGATAGGGATAGAAAAAAGTAAGAAAATTTTCTAGTTTTCATGTATATCCAACTGTAGATATTAATTAGAGATAGTTTTGGAATTTAAACATTAAGTCAACTTTAAATTTAAATTTCAAAATAAAAAATACTAACAAATTTTCTCTCTCTATCCCTCTTCCTCTTCCCTCAAGCATCTCTTTCTCTTATTCTCTTTCATCCAAATTTTTTTTTCTAGTTTTCATGTATATCCAACTGTAGATATTAATTAGAGTTAGTTTAAATTTCTCTAAAACTACTAACTGATTTTTTCCCCTCACGACTCTCTTTCTCTTTCCTCTCCTTTTCTTCTCTCTTCACATAAAGGTTGCCAAATTAAACCCAAAGCAGCATTGCTAGAACATTTGATTGGTGAGAGGAATAATGTTGATCCTCATGGATTTGTTGGTTTCGAGTTCGAAAGAAATATAACTCACATTATGTAATCAATAAATCAGCTTAGAGACGAGTTTGAATCAAGGAAGAGGACCATATGTTCTTTTCCGAGTGCCTCCATGGACTACCTCATCCATTGACACTAGGGGTAATCAGACCCTCTATTGAGCTGTCAATCATTAACATAGGTAAGCATTGATGTTTTATACTTTCTTTCGACTTGTTGTCTTTCCTTACTTTATTTGGATTTTTTTGCATAGGTAAGCATTGATCGTTCAAATTCAAGCAGTTGCACAGGGCAGGGGTCATGGTGGAGGTGGTGGAGGCTTGGTCGCTTTAATTGAAGCAGCTGCACAGGTAGGGAACATGGTGGTAGACGTGGGGCTGCAGTTGTTCAGCAGCAAGTGATTGTTCTGGACTTTCAGCAGCAGTTGGAAGTGCTTCCGGATTTGCATGAAGACATTGCAGAGTTGATTAAAGAAATTCTTGATCCTAAGGAGGCAACACACATTTGAAATCTTCCAGATATATTGTTCAAACCCTTTTTTCTATATTATGTGTTAGAGAAAGAGGGGATTAGATACTTAATGTTGTAGAGAATTGAAGAAGTATAAGAATTCGGGTTTAGCGTATTTGGAAGTTCATCGACTAGCATTTCTTGGGGATATTCGCTTGACAATTGAACACGTCTCTATAGTTACCCAACCCAATCCGACCATGTCATCACACGAAAAAATTTGTGTTGACAACTTTTGGTTCGGTATAAGTTTTACCAGGTTTGGGTTTTGTCAAAAGTCAAGACGCTTCCACTTAGCCAGCATTGAAAAATCAAAATTATATTGTTTTAAATTTAGCCGTATTAATAATATAGATAATTTATGACAATTGAACCAAACTTATGGTTACCTAACCAAATCCTACTCGGTCAAAGCGAGAAACCCGTAAGTTTGGTTCATTGTGTCTTTATGGGTGCGAGTTTCTAACCATTAGGTGTCATTGTGTTTTCGGTGATGAAACCCATGGTAGTAAAAGAGGACCCGAAACAAGGATCATCATTCTCGAAGATAGATAGGCAAGAGTAGAATTATTTGGTCTCTTCACCTATAATAGGCCTCAAACGTCTTATATCAATCATGGTAATCTCGCTAGATTGTCATCTACCACATCCTTAGTAAATGAACTACTCTGGTGTTATTTAAAATGACCTAATAAGTACATAATTACATTGATAAGATATGTGCATTGTCATAGAAATGGACTTGAGTGAGCCAAACTAAAATTTTGAAAGACTAAAAGTGAAACAAAATAGTTTTTTTTTTTGAAAATAAAGAAATAAAAAAAGGGGGGAAAGAAGAAAATAGTTTTTCGTGAAAAAAGATTTTCAGAAAGAAAGAGCAAAAAAAAAAGGAAATAAGGAAGAAGAAAAAAGACAATAGTTTTGGCGCCAACTCGAATGAGCACTTATCAACATTTAAAAAACTATACATTAAAAATAAAAATAAAAATCTATACATTAACGATACCACCTAAGTGGACAGACACCCCCGCGACCCTAATCCACAATGCCAATTTTCAAATTATTTTTCATTACTAACTACCATTGGTAACGTTAAGAGTTAACCGATTTTAAGTTATCATGATAAGGTGTTCTTGAGAAGTACAACAGTTGTCATAACAGAGAGAGGACGACAAAAAATTTCCTGTTATTTCAGCAGGAAATAGTAAAAGAGACAAAGCAAATTCTCTCTTAGAACCATAGGAACTTGCTTAGTCTGTGACTAGATGGTTTCGAGTTGGAAAGGAACATAATTGTTGGTGTGCAAGCAATAAATCACTTTAGAAATGCATTCGAGTCCAAAGAAATAACATTTTTGCTTCTCTAACAGCCTCTATCGATTACGTGATACATGTCAATGTGGTGCCGGAGACTCTAAGGGAAACAGGCCCTCACCTGAGCTTCTCTTCATCAAAACTGCTAAAGATTGAAATTCTACTCGATCCACTTTTTTTCTAGTTGTTGCTTGTTCTTAGCTCATTTTGATTTTTTTTTTTTTTTTTTGCATATTGATAACATCTTTGCTTCTCTAATAGAATCATCGACATCATCTAGTAAATGGTACTCAACTTGTTGGATATGCATCTGAAGTGGGTTTTGAGGGCACCGCCAAGATTCTCTTGTTCAATTAGTCCCCCGCCATCAACATTACCTTGATCAGCGCCATCATGCTCATTGTGGTGAATATTTATCTGAGTATCTTAGCGAAGAACTTGATAAGCTATTTAGGAGGAGTGCATCACAAATAGGCACCAAAGCTATTGCAGATGCCAGTGCTCAACATTACCAGGAATAAGTTGTCTACTGACCTCATATGGCTGCATAAGCCATTGCGAAAAGAGGTTTTCATCTGAACATCTCGACAATGTTGGCTTGAGGTTGCCCTTGCTGGAGGTGAGGGATAGGTGCTCTTCCTATTCCTGAGGATGGCGACAGGAATCGACCATCATTTTTCTTATATTGTGTGATAGAAGAAGAGGGGATTAAGCACTTATGAGTGTAGATGATCAGAGTTGCTGCTCAACACTACCACTTTTGTGAGGATTGCAGCTCCAAGTCCATTCATCTAATTGGCCACACTCTCTTGATAGTCCCCCAACTTTGATTGAGTCCTTTCTGTGAGTTAGCTTATTGTGGAATTGAGATGTGGGTATGGATTTGGAGATTTGAGAAATAGGCATTGAAAAGATAATTGAAGAAAAATAAGAATTTGGGTTTAGCAAATTAGAAAAGGAAATTATGCACAATAGAATGAGGATACGAGAGACCCATTTAAAGGATTAAGAGAATAAGATAGAGAGGAATAATCTCAACAATACTTACCTTGTTTGTTTGTTTATTGATCTCTCAACAACATACTAAATAAACTAATATTATATCTACTTTTACTAACCGTAACACTAATCTTAGTTGTTGTTTCACTAGGTCCAGGTGATGCTTGATGGATGTTGTTTTGTCCGAGTGGAGCCTGAAATCTCTTATCATCGTTTATCTTTTGTCAGACTTTTGCTCTCTTAATTTAATCTAGATGTCTAGATGCGAGGATGATGACATTCGTGCTTGTGTTCGGGTTTTTTTAACATTTTCTGCCTACATGCCCTTGCTAATTTGCTTCTCTTGTTATGTGTTTAGGACTTTAGGCTACTTTGCCTTTGGAGCTACTATGTTAGATACAAGTATTGTGTTATTATTATTATTATTATTATTATTATTATTATTATATGTTGTTTATAAATATTTTTTATTTGGATTGTTAATTAATTTTATATTTATTATTAGGTTTCCTCATCCCCACAAGGGACAATGAGATTGTCTACTTGCACTTGTTAGTCCAACATATATATATATATATATATATATATATATATATATAGGTGGTTACTTCGATACATTCAATTTTTTGGGTGCATTCAATGAACTCATCTCTAAAAGGTAAGTGACCATAATACATCAAATTATGAACTTTAGTTGGTATTATTCTAACCCCTTAACCTTCAATTTTGAATCCCAACCCAAAACCCCAAATTATAAACCCTAAATCCCTAAACCCTTAACCATTCAAATTAAAGTAAATTATGATTAATTTTGTGCAAATTCATGTGTTTACTTGTCCATCATTTCACAAGTTACAATTGACATCATCTTGACATGAATCGCATACTTAGAATGACGATTATAAGATGAGTACATTCAATGCACCTAACCTATCATATCCAACCTATCTAAGATGTCATTTTCAACATATCCTACCCAAAAAAATTCAACCTTTCATCACTCACTCAACTTCATAGTGTGTTCTTCATGTAGATCATTACAGAAAATACTCTTTCCACACTCACAGTACGACTGATAATAACAACGTCAAATATTTCCTACAGGCAATTTCCTTTGACTTAGTACGATGAGTAGGCCAACGGACACGGCCTCCCGTAATAGGACGGAAACCAACATGAATTGGAGTGGTGGGTGAGGGTTATTTTATTTACAGTAATCTGTGTTAACTCTTATTAATTAGATAAAGCGGCTACATTATCCATCTGAAGCTGATTAATAAGACATATCGATGGATCATCCATCCAAACCATTCTCTCGTCCCACCTTTTTTTTATGTGTGTCATTGCATGGGCAGCGCCGTTCGCCTCCCTGCTAATGTGTCACCACCGACCTGCTCTGGAACTTTTAACGTAGCGACTAATGCTTAGGACCCCCCTCTCATCCATCACTGTCTCTGCGTCATGCAACTTCTATATAAGTGACAGGTTGTTTCTTTCCAGCAATACATTTGGCAGCTGGCACTGGAAAGCCAGCTGCACCCTTAGCTCCGCCTCCATTGCTTCTGCTTCTTCTACTTCCCACTTGCCAAGGACCTTCTTTGTTGCTGTCATTAGGAACTTACCCTCCGAATCTCTAATAACCACTCCAACCCCTGCTCTGTCGTCCCCATACAAGCCAGCATCCGTGCAAACATATGTGGTTCCCACCGGTGGCTTCTTCTAAGCTTTCCTAATCAGTTCGGGCTCTCTGTCCACAACGGTTCTCTGCTGCTGATTCTTCTTGTAATCTTCCAAAAAGCTTTTTGCGTGGATTGGAATCTCCTCTTCGGGTAGTTTAGCTCCATTGAACAGATGAGCGTTTCTTTCCTTCCAGAAATACCATATATAGAAATACCCACCAAGCCTCCACTTCCTCATCCTTCCCTTGCTCGAAAACCGACGACACCCATGATAGGGTCGAACCATACATCTCCCCTCATCTCAAAATACTCAGCAACCTCCGTCTTTTGCCAGATCCACGATGTCCAGTCGCACTCAACAAAGAAATGGTATTGTGTCTCCCGTTGTTTACAGATGGGACAGCCATTGCCTCTTCGAGAGTCGTCCGGGTCCACCTGTCGGAAGAATCTCTCGTCTGAATTGCCACAAAAATTGTCACACTTTCTGTGGCACTTCCAATTGCCATAGTTTCTGCCATAATGATGTAGTTCCCACCGCCACCACTCCATGCTGAGCCATGAAGTCCTTCAACCATAAATAATACCCTTCTCTTATTGTATAGTTTCCCTTCTTGCTCGTATGCCATATCAGGGTGTCCACCTCTCCATTTCCTCTAAGTGGGATCTGCTTGATGGCCTTCGCAATATCATTGGGGAAACAGCTCTCCGCAACCTCTTCATCCCATGTTCCCGCTTCGGTGGGTGAGGGCTTGTGGCAGCAGAATTTGGTCTTGGAAGGAAAAATCAAAAGTTGCTGAATTATTAAGAATTTGGAATAAATAAATAGAAATAAGTTTTAATTGTTATTTGGTCGTAACATTTAGTTTTAAATAAGTTTTTAATTGTTATTTGGTCGTAACATTTAGTTTTAAATAAGTTTTAATTGTTATTTGGTTGTAACATTTAGTTTTAAATAATATAAAAGAGCCTATCAGTAACTTTACTAACTTGTAACTTCTCACTCCAGTGATCTGGGTTCTATTCTTGCAACCTTCAAGTGCTACTGATTTTTTGTATTGTTGTGGCCAATACACAAGGTGGGTCTAGTACCCAAGTAGTTGTTCACTGTCTTCGTCCATGTTGATAGGCGGTTTTAGCAGTATGAAGCGATTAAACCACGATTTCATTACAAAATAGTCTATCGCTAATTAGCTTTTTGGTATAATTTTCTGTACGATTTTATAATATTTGATTTAGGATGGACTTACTATTATAGCATTCTAAACAACAAGTTAAGGGTAATCGAGTGGAACAAAGCCAGGTGACGACAGCTGCTCGGACGGCACCATTGTTTAAGGCAAAGACTTCTCGTACGTCTTTTTTAAGATCAACTTGGCTGGATTGTATGACGTTGAGCATAGACTTCATCGTCGTCTTTCTTTAACATCAACTCGGCTGAACAAATGACTTTTCAACATGGAACTTCATCTGCGTCTTTCTTTGACACCAATCAACTTGATAATGATTGATATTATTATATTGTTAATTCACATGATCAGCAGCACATGGAGAAATATAATTTTCTCCAAAACGATATAATAGATCAAAGTTGGGAGCAGTTTTTCAGTATTTCAAATTTTCTGCAAAACGAGAGTGAAAGTAACGAGAGCAAATTTGTCTTCGCAGTTGGTTATTTCTTATTCATAGTAGAAAGAATACACCAATCGTGAGGATTGAACTACAATTCTCTTTAAGTGGGATCTGCTTGATGGCCTTCGCAATATCATTGGGGAAACAGCTCTCCGCAACCTCTTCATCCCATGTTCCCGCTTCGGTGGGTGAGGGCTTGTGGCAGCAGAATTTGGTCTTGGAAGGAAAAATCAAAAGTTGCTGAATTATTAAGAATTTGGAATAAATAAATAGAAATAAGTTTTAATTGTTATTTGGTCGTAACATTTAGTTTTAAATAAGTTTTTAATTGTTATTTGGTCGTAACATTTAGTTTTAAATAAGTTTTAATTGTTATTTGGTTGTAACATTTAGTTTTAAATAATATAAAAGAGCCTATCAGTAACTTTACTAACTTGTAACTTCTCACTCCAGTGATCTGGGTTCTATTCTTGCAACCTTCAAGTGCTACTGATTTTTTGTATTGTTGTGGCCAATACACAAGGTGGGTCTAGTACCCAAGTAGTTGTTCACTGTCTTCGTCCATGTTGATAGGCGGTTTTAGCAGTATGAAGCGATTAAACCACGATTTCATTACAAAATAGTCTATCGCTAATTAGCTTTTTGGTATAATTTTCTGTACGATTTTATAATATTTGATTTAGGATGGACTTACTATTATAGCATTCTAAACAACAAGTTAAGGGTAATCGAGTGGAACAAAGCCAGGTGACGACAGCTGCTCGGACGGCACCATTATTTAAGGCAAAGACTTCTCGTACGTCTTTTTTAAGATCAACTTGGCTGGATTGTATGACGTTGAGCATAGACTTCATCGTCGTCTTTCTTTAACATCAACTCGGCTGAACAAATGACTTTTCAACATGGAACTTCATCTGCGTCTTTCTTTGACACCAATCAACTTGATAATGATTGATATTATTATATTGTTAATTCACATGATCAGCAGCACATGGAGAAATATAATTTTCTCCAAAACGATATAATAGATCAAAGTTGGGAGCAGTTTTTCAGTATTTCAAATTTTCTGCAAAACGAGAGTGAAAGTAACGAGAGCAAATTTGTCTTCGCAGTTGGTTATTTCTTATTCATAGTAGAAAGAATACACCAATCGTGAGGATTGAACTACAATTCTCTTTAAGCAAAAGCAACAATCATTACCAATTACACTGAACAAATTTGTTGTATATTTCCAAACTAAAAACATGCAGAAATCTAAAATATGAGGATCAAAAAAAATTTCTACTACTGTTAGGCAGCCCATTAACTAACCCGTAATCATTTCTTTAGTATTTGATATTCTGATTTTCACATTTTGATTATTTAAATTTGAGTTTAATAATTAATTTAATTTCTATATGTCATATAAATAGAGAATAATTTAGAATTACAACTCGAATATCATCGGTTCGAATGTTGTATATTGAGTTGCAGTATTGAATGTGTAAAATTGATGTATAACTCTTAACTTAGTATTAATTATTAGAACTACAATAAAGCAACAATGTTTTTGTGCTCTTTGAAATGTTTAGTTCGGTTAACAATAAAATTTAAATTACTTTATAAGCCGGCAGGATTGAACTCATGAGTGAGATTAGAAAAAACACAATTTTTGAAAATAAATTTGGTAGACTATTCCACTTATTAAATTTTTTAAAGTAATTAAGCATATGTATCAGTAAGAATTTTTCGGTATAATATGAACTACTGTGATAAAAGGAAAATCACAAAGTCGGGAAGGAATTGTCATGGACACATTGATGAGGTTGTATGCATTAGCAGAGTGCGTACCGCAAGAGAGGTTTAGTTTAATTTGTTGAGGAATAAGATTGTCTTTCAACTAAACTTCGAGTATGTTGGTTGACATACATTTTTTATGAAAGAGTGTGGATGAGGAATGCTATTTTCTTATTGCTTTTTTATTTTATTGTTTAGAATACTAAAATTTTAGATATTAATATGTATATATAATGTTTTCAAGCAAGAGAAACAAACATGGTCTAAGTGTTATGGTTATGCTTTTTTATTTATACTACAATTTTTTAGATAATATTTTTTATCTCAATTCTCTTTCCAATCATAGACAGCTAAGTGACTGCATCATTAAAAAGACATGTATTAGTTTATATTAGGCAAAATACACTTGTATAGCCAAAACTTTCGCATTTTTACCAATAATAGCCAATTTTAGAGAAATACCACTTATAGCCACTTCCGTCCAATTCTTTAACGGTGTCAGCTAACAAGCTGACTGGACTAACGACTTTGCTGATTTGGCGGACATTTCATCAACAACACTGCCACGTAGATTATTAAAAAAAGAAATAAAACAAAAATAATTAAAGACCATTTAATAAAAAAAATTAATTTTCACCAAAAACAAAAAACAAAAACAAAAAAACCAACAGATCTCTCTCGTCTCCACCTACCTCTGCTCCATAACTCTCCCACCCCGCCCATTGGATGAATACTAATGTAAAAAATCCCCACCCATAACTCTCCCACCCCGCCGCTGCTGTCTACAAGAAAAACCAATTGCATACCCTCTGCAAATCATCATCCTCAATCACCACGTCATCAGTAACAATCAAGAAGCGGAGATGGAGAAGCAGGCGCTCTCGGGTCCAAATCGATGTCGCCAGTCCTCTTCTTCAACTCCTACTTCAAATCCATGTTCAATCGACGTCGCCTACTCCCATCCCTTCCGTCTCGCCGTCCAGATCTGCTTTCCAAGATGAAGAACTCGTCCTAGGGTTTCGATCCGGCGAGATTGCAGTGCAGGCTCATAGTCGGCAAGAAACAGGGGCGTGTCCGGGCGGAGGAAGTGGAAGCGACTTTTGGCTATGGCGATCTTGTCTTTTGGCTACGACGGTGGTGAGAAACATGGGCATTTCGGAATAGAGAGAGGTTGAAGACTTGACTTCGTCGATGGGGTTCTCAAACTGGGGTCCTTGACCGAGACAGGGGCGATAGATTCAGGGGCGAAGATAGCCAGATAGGATCGACTTTGACTGTTGATTTCGGCTTCAACAGGGGTGATGAATCGACGGCGACGGCGGTGCAGAGGACGCCGGAAGCAGTCAGATTCATGTCGCAAGAAGAAGAGAGATTAAATGAGATTCTGCATACAAAATATATATTTTTTAATTTTAAAATGTGACATGGCTGCCAAGTGGTATGGCGAGTCTATGTGGACATGATGTGTCGTCTAGGTGGCAGCCACATCAGCCTAACTTCTATATAACTGACGGAATCGTTAACGGTGTTAAAGTATTTGTCGAAAATGGCTATTTTTGTCAAACGAGTTTTAAAAAAGTGGCTATATCTGGTATTTTCTCAAAAGTGGCTATTATTGTCACAAACGTGAAAGTTTTGGTTATACAAGTGTATTTTGCCTTTATATTATAAGTCCTTTATAGTCATTTTACACAATCTCTCATATTACAAACCACTTCTATTAGTTTTTCAGACAAACACTCAACTGTTTTTTTTTAAAGTACTTCTCTAAAAGCTCAAGCCAGATGCTATTTCGGCAAAAGCTACAGCAGGGCCAAACTGAGCCAATGTTCACAATCTCATCAACTTGCATTTTGCAAAAATTCCAAAAAAGGTAAATTAACTTGTACATAGTATTTTTAATCGAATGTGACAATTTATTATGAACTACAATATTCGCCATCTTTATCAATTTGCATTACACAAAAGTCAAATAAGGTAATTTAAATTTTACCTAGTAGTTTAATATATTTTCCATAATTTGGTTTATTGTAAGACCCCACGTTACAGAAGATTTGCGTACCACTATTCTATAACGATTTCGTATATAAAGATACATTACGTAAATTAAAGCCTGCAGAGGAATAGCTATTCCTTATGTATCGATTAAACGCAACATATATATTACACAAATTTTCCATAATGAGTAAGACGCAGCGTAAAACTTATAAAGAGATAGTAATGTATTATAATCAAGCATCCCGGTGGGTGCCGCTTCTGCCTTGAACGACGGACATTAAGGCGGTAGTAACATTTCCGGTGCAACTCGTCCCCTCATCCCCACCGACGGTACATCCCGTAAAGTTCTTGAGCATCCCACAGAGTATACTGAAAACGGTGAAGAAGACGGCAATTGCCTCAACACTGTACAGTACAGCCAAGCCAGACACGTAGGCCAGCCTCACGAAACCACCGCGCGCCACAACACGAGGTCGGCTGTTGTAGTAACGTTTCACAGCATCGTACGGCGCCGCAGCACTACTGTTTCCGCCGCCTGCCGCTTCGTGGTTCTCGATGCGCAGCGAGCGAAAGAACCGCGCGAGGGAGCCTGCAGTGTCGTCGTCAAGCTGTTCCCTTCCAGTAGTGATCTCCACGACGCCGGCTTCGATCAGCAACTCCACGTCCCGGCGCGTGCCCGCCACCGCGTGGAGAAAGTGCGTGTAGTCTGCGAAGAGGGAGGCGCGGTCGCTGCTGCTGCAGCTGGCGGCTTCGTAGGCCAACAGGTTGCGCGTCAGCACGTTCGAGTAAGGGTGCCACCGGAAGACCGGCACGGTGATCGTCCGGGCTTCCTCGTTGAACTCGATCGCGGCGGTGGTGGTGCAGCCCCGGCATGTACTGCTTTTGGGCTCGAACCGAACCCCAATCCGGGCCAGTTGGGCCGCCGTGGGGTTCGACCTGGCTTCGTTTCTCGGCGTTCCGGGGATGAAGTAGTCCAGTAACCCAAAGGCCGATAGCTTCCCCACCGTGAACAGAGTTCCAGCCACTTTTCTTGCACCTGGAATTGAGATTAATATGTGGTAGAGAAATGATTTAATTTATTCCCTTTTTTTTTACTGTGACCATGAATTGAATCGCTAAAGTAGCCAAGTTGCTTACGTACATAACTTATAGAGAGCATAATATGGATAAAAACGGTGTGTCGTCTCGTCAAGGACGCCTCCATCTTGTACTGCAACAGCAATACTATCGCTATGTACTAAATCCACTTCTTGGTGGTGATCATCGGTTCCCGGTGGATCGCAGTCGCCGGTAGCGATGATCCTTAGGTACAAATACTCCAACAAATGCGCTGCATCAAGGCGAGCGCCGCTGAATCGTGCTGCTGCTGCTGCAGCAATTCATATTGATCGAGTTGATCGATCCAAAACAATAAAGGCTGTCACAAATCAGTTGGTCTCTGATGCTAAAAGTCCACGCAAAAAGTCCACTCAAAGCATCTCCATTGGCTCTATTTTCCCAATTTCATTCCGGTTTGGAATGGCAAACTTAATTTCATTGATGTGGGAAGTGATGTAACTGATGCAAGCTTTCGTATTATGAAACCCCATTTGCAATGCCAACGTGGTGCAAATGCAATAAAAATTAGTTGGATTGCATAAAATTTAAAAGAAAAAAAATCATAAAAACATCATATGCAATTGGATTTGCAATTGCATTGATGGAGATGCTCTTACTTTATTTGTGGAAATTTGAACACACAATTAGTTGGGGAAATCAACTTTGATATTTCAAATGGTTGAAAAAATGTGCCTCCCAGCTACCTAATCACTCCCTTGCAAAAAAACAAAAACAAAAAAAAAATGGAATTAGAAGAACTTTTTACCTAGTTGGACGGGGGAGATTAAAGTGAAGAGGGAGTGGAGATGGTCGGCGAGCAATTGGTGGACGTCGGGTCGGAACTGGGCCACCGCCTCGGCGAGAATTGAGATAGGGACTTGGTTCTCCAGCAGGACGGCGTCGTATAGGACGGCGGAAAGCAGATGAAGCTGCGAGAAGGTGGCCGGCGGGCCGTGCTCGTCAGTAGGAGGAGGAGGAAGAAGAACAGGGCGCCGGAGCGAATTGCGGAAGTCGTCAACGACCAGTAACAGCCTCCTCGCCACGGTCAGCTTCCTCCTAGCAGGCAAGAGAAACGCGGTCCCCGCCGACGCGACAAGACGGAGGAGATGCTCGCCGTCGCAGAGCAGGGACAGGAGGAAGAGGCCGTCGACGGCGATTGCCCAATCCAGCTCCGGGGAATACAGGCCGGCGGATACCGTTGCGCCGTCGTAGCAGGCTCGGATGCGAGGGATTAGGGGCCGGAGCTCCCGCAGAAAAGAAGGCAAGTCCGGGATGTTGAATCTCCGTAAACCGGATCTCGCGGCGGCCAGCTTGACTCCTTCCAACTTGTACAGCTGGGGGTGGAAGTGGTGGTAGGGCCCCATCCCGACCAGAAATGGGATGTAAGCAGCCGCTGCATCGACGTCGGTTTTCATGGATTCCGGCACCCGGCGGATCATGGACATCCTCGTCGTGTTTGAAAATATTAAACAAATTACGACTGGAAAACTTTTCTCGATAGTGCGTATATCAACAAAACCAGCTGGTCCCGATTGTTCAAGGAGAAGGGTTTCCTCGTGTCGTGCGTCTTTCTTAATTAGTTTCTTTAGTAATCAACTTGGCTGAATAATATATGACTTTAAATATGGAACAAATATTAAACAAAGACGGGACAATTAGATTCCCACTAATAGTTCTCGATAGTCGTACATCTCCCGTCCGTGATTGTTGTCAAACCGATTTCGTCTATTGATCCGGTCGAACAAATTGGTTAAAAGTTAATGATCGGGTCGATTTAGCATGGACTTAAGCAATCTCCGAGGCAGTGGTACAAGAGATTTGACAATTATATGCTTGAGCTGGGCTACAACAAAAGTCCATATGATTGTTGTGTGTATCACAGCAAGGCAGAGGATGGTTCGATGATATATCTAGTTCTGTATGTGGATGATATGCTCATAACTGCGAGGTCGAATTCTGATACCCAGAAGTTAAAGGGGCTTCTCAGTGCTGAGTTTGAGATGAAGGATTTGGGAGCTGCTCAGAAGATCTTGGGTATGGAGATTTACAGGGACATGTCGAAGAAGAAGCTTTTCTTGTCACAGAAGAGCTACATCCAGAAGATACTGTCGAGGTTTGGAATGTCTTCAGCAAAGCCCTTAAATACTCCTAGTGCCTCAAATATTGATCTATCCTCAGCTTATGCACCGCACTCAGAGGCTGAGAAGGAGTACATGTTGAGAGTCTCATATGCTAGTGCAGTAGGTATCTTGATGTACGTTATGGTATGCACTAGACCTGATCTTGCACATGCTGTTAGTGTTGTCAGCAGGTTCATGATATAACCTGGAAAGGAGCATTGGCAGGCTGTGAAGAGGATTCTCCGGTACCTTAAGGGTACACCTGATGTGGGGATTAGCTTCGGAAGTGATACAGAGTGCTTGGTGTCTGGGTATTCTGACTCGGACTATGCTGGAGATGTTGACACGAGGAGATCGATGACCGGTTATGTATTCACTCTTGGGAGTTCTGTAGTGAGCTTGAAGGCAACTTTGCAGTCGGCGGTGACATTGTCTACTACTGAGGCAGAGTATATGGCGTTGACAGAAGCTGCTAAGGAGGGAATATGGTTGAAGGGATTGGTTGGTGATCTGGGTCTACATCATGATCAGGCAGTGGTGTATTGCAACAGTTTGAGTGCAATATGTTTGGCCAAGGATCAAGTCCACCATGAGAGGACTAAGCACATCGACGTAAGGTATCATTTCTTGAGGACAGAGAAGAGGATTAAGGTGAAGAGGGTTGGCACCGCGGATAATCCTGGTGATATGTTCACGAAGCCGGTTCCACATGGCAAGTTCCCACACTGCTTGGACTTGCTGAATGTCTTGAGTGGGTGGCTCCGCCCTACGGGGCATTGATAGCGGGAGAGAGAGAAGGAGCAGAGTACATTAGAGATTTCAGAGAAAGAGGATTCAAGTCAAGGTGGAGATTTGTTGATGTGCTTGAATCGAACTATCAGCCGCTACGACTGGATTAGTCGGGGGTCTCGCCGTGTATGGGCTCAATGTTATTTGGGTTCGGCGACTGGGCCTGGTCTGTAACTGTTTCCTTTGCCATATTGGATTAGGTTTAGACCCACATGAAGAAGTTCTATAAATACTTCTCATACTCATCTGTAATCTGTAATCTCCTCGATATAGTGAAACTGGCTCTCTCTCGCCCGTGGACGTAAATAACACACATCGTGTTAGTGAACCACGTAAATCGTGTGTCGTGTTTTCGATTATATCTATCTATCTAGACCATAAATTAAACGAGTTTGGGGCATGAGACTATACTCTAACCTCGAATGGAGAAATCCTAGACCTCGATTCTCTCAAATCAAACCTGAAGTTCAATTTAAGAGAAAAAAACAATCGACCATTAAGATTGGTGGGAGCTCATTGAAATAGACGGCGAAAAAACTTGAAGCATACTATGCTCCAATCTTCAAAGAAGAGGCGGGAAAAACTCCAAAATGGAAACGCAGAGGAAAGGATGAAGAAAAGCAAAGCAAAGGAAAAAGGAAACAAACGGGCTACCGCCGACAGCTCAAAGGCGTCGATAGTAGCCCTAGAGAAGATCAGATTTAAAAGTTTTAGAGAACCTTCCTAATTCTAACCTGTAACACCAAATCCGGGTTAACCAACGGGTTGAGGTTTTCGACACGATTGTTCAAGGAAAAGGCTTCCTCGTACGTCTTTTCTTTAGTATCAACTTGGCTGAATAATAATATGACTTGTTGAATATGGAACTTGTGCGATAGTTTGTCAAAAAAAAAAAAAAAAAACTTGTGCGATAGTGAAGAAAGGGAGGCAGGGACAAGGGAGAAGATCGAGAGTGGGCAAGAATGGCATACAGTTCTGGAGATGAGTCGATCTTGAAATCTGCAGTGGCGGGGGGAGAGTGGGCGAAACAGATGAAAGAGCAGCTGGAAGATCTAGAGCCCCATCAACTGGTGCCATCAATTTTCCAGGTGCCGGGATACTTGAGAATTTGGGATCCCAAATCCTACACTCCACCGCTTGTGGGTCTGGGACCCTTTCACCATTTCCGGCCTCAGCTCTGGGATATGACCGCCGTCAAGCGCCGGTTCGTAGAACAAGGCATGCGGCGCCGGTTCAATTCCCCGGAAGGCGGGGGCGGCGACGACTTGATTGAAAACTTCAGGACCAAAGCGGTGACCCCCTTGCTCCCGGCAATCAGAGCACAGTACGATTCCCACCTCGACATCCTCGATTCGTCACTGGCATCGCTCGTAGCACTCGACTCCCTCTTCCTGGTCGAGCTGCTGCTCCTCCTCCTCGGGGGTTCTGGTGACGGAGATCATGATGAAGCTGCTGCTTATTGCGCTTCCATCCTGATGAACGACGCGGTGATGTTGGAGAACCAGATCCCTCTGTTTCTGCTGGAAGAACCCATATCCGCGCTGCTGCAGGGTTGGCACTCTGACGACGGCGAGGCAGGGCTGTTTCCCGCGGAGGATGAGTTGAGCCGCGTTTACCAACACCTTTCTCCCCTGCAATTCTCGCGTTTGCCTGGTGATAATCATCCTCGTCGGCATTTGTTGGAATGCTTCTACTTTCAAATCGTGGGGGGTGGTGGTGCTGTCCAGGACCAGGCTGCTGCCACCACAAGTTTCCTCCGCATATTGGAAATGGCGCCTCCTGGTTTGCTGAATAAAGTAGAGAGCACTGCCGTTGAGTTCAATGTATTCGATCTATTCTACGATGCTTTTGAAGCAGCAGGTAATTAAATTTCAACCACCAGAGTTGGGCTAGTCCCGAATTCGTATTCTTCATTCATTGCTGTCTACTTGATGTATCTTTTTCATCTCTAGGTGCCAAAATTCTCAAGCGCGCCGGGATGTTCTGGCTAGCCCGTATCGCGTTGGCAGCGATCGGAGCTATCAGGGCCCGCCTGCCATACGACGAGGCTTCGATTCCTGCTGCTTCGCTCCTTGCTCGACATCTAGACCTGAGAATACTCCCCGCCGAGGACGCCGTCAGTAGCAGCTTCAGAGCGATGGTCAGCTTCGACGAACAGAAAAGAACCCTCCGGCTTCCGGTGCTCACACTGAAACCAAACTGCGGGACGCTCCTCAGGAACCTGGTGGCGTACGAACACATGACGAGAACCGACGACGCCCGCGTCTTGATCGGCTACTTCAAGCTGATCGCCGGGTTGACCAGAACCTTGGAGGACATGCGGTTGCTCAGACGCGCTGGTGTAATTGTGGCGGGCGGCGGTGATTGGAGTGCTTTGAAACTCTTCTTCTCCCAAATGCCGCCGGTCGCTCTGGACATGGCAACATTGGAAGACCTGGCGCACGCGGACGTGATGGCGAAGATGGCGGCCGCCGAGGAGCTGGAGGCAGCGGTGAACGAGATGAAGGCGGCGACAATGGAGGCAGGGACGAAGCTCGGGGCAACAGCAGCTGCCAAAGGCGTGGCGTCGAGGACAGCTCTAGATCCACAGATTCAGGCCCTCGTCTGCTGCTATAACCGCGAACCGGGGGTTATTGCTCGTAACCGCAGGCTACGGTGGATGAAACTCGGGCTCAAGATTGCAGCCGTGGCATTACTGATTTACGTTGCAGTTGCGTGCGTCGCTGTGATCACAGAGACGGTGTATAAACTCGTGTCGCTAGATTGCCTGTACCAGTGGCCATGCTGTCCTGGAGGCCTGTTCTCGGCCCTCATCACACTGGTCACCGGTGGTTTTATTCTGAACCTAGTCCGGGCTCTGTTGTGACAAAGCTTGATTCCTGCTCCCATCGAGTGTATGCCGCTGTTTTACGGATGGAAAGAGTTGTTACTTGTTACTGAGATCTTAAGCATATGACCCTCTCTACTTCGAAGAATCCTGTGTTGTATTCTGTCTAGATTTACAGGACAAAGACAGAAGAAATATATTAGTCAAGTCAGCCCTACTTCAAAACTCCAGTCATTCCAGCGCCATCTGGTCGCTAAACTGTTCACGGAATCAAAAGCGCGCAGCATCAGCTCTCTTTGTCATTCAGCCGCTGGCGTCAATTCATACTATCAGCCGGTGAAGAATTCGGCAGTCTGCTGGCGCATTTCCATTCCCTTTTTCCAGCTCGAAACAGAGTAGGAAGAACACGAAATAAAAGGAAACCCAACGTGCAAAACCCTTGCGGTTGAGCCTGAACTGTGTTCTTATTTTCTGGGATTAAGATTGTAGGCCCTTTTTCTTACTTCACGAAACTCTACCCTGGTTTGAAATGCCAAAATCGGTCAATGAACTCATCAGTAGATCAAATCAGACATTGAACTCCTCTGGTGTAAAAGCTGTTGATATTACAGGTAGTAAACAGAACTCTTAAAAGGACAAAACTGCAGGGACCCAAAAATTTCCACAACATCAGCTCTTAGCGCAGTATGCTTCCTGTTGTAATCTGTCATATCGAACTCTTCCGTACACCATATCCCGAGTTTCATACAGCTATGCGGCAGAAAAAGCATGAAGGGTAACTCATTTCTGGAACACCGGCAAGGATCAGCAGCTCCCCCTTTGCCACTGAGCTTAATGAAGTATCGAGTCTGCATCCTTCTTCAAATTCTTAAGACTCTGCTCAGAATCGATACCCAACAGGTATTATATATGTCACTGTAGTTTCATTCATTTTGCCTTCTTTTCTTATCATTCAACTTGGTTGGTATTGAACCGAGGAGACACAAGCGTAGATCACCTTGAAGCAGTCGTGGGTGTATGTGGCCATTGTACAAATCCCAGAACTCGTCTCTGCCAAATGATGCAAATAGATGAGTGAGTGAGAGAGACGAATTTTTAAAGCGAGAAAGCATAAATCTACAAAGACAAAGGCAGTTCAGTTGATTTTCCGAGACTGACCTCACTTGTGGAAGTGAGAGCAAGGAATAAATAGCCCTTCACATCTTGTTGCAAATCCAGCACGACAACTTTCAACCGCGAAACCCCAATTGCTTCAATGTCGATCAATTTCTTTATTCTTGCAAGTTTCAATCAAAATCAATGGCCGGAATACAAATTAATGATCAAACTATCCAGTTAAACCATGCAAAAAGATTATATGAATTAAAGCCTAAACATACAGGGGTAAGGTGACAAGGGATGAAAAGTGCATGATCAGGCAGTGATCCTATTAAATTACTCACCTGCTCGGTGTACCACTAGCAAAATTAACACGATTCTTTAAGATGGCAACCTGCATTAAAGCACAACCGGATGTTAAGAAATTGGATGCAACAAATCAATAGAACATATGATGTCTGATATCACAAGGCAGTAAAGAATGAACATGTAGTCATGGACTCTAGCATTAAAACAATGGAACAGCATCACATAATATAATGCTAATCTGTGTTACTATATTACACCAATCCTGCATTAAAAGAAGACTAATCTACACTTCTTTAGGGATCAGACTGACGTGCAAATAATACAATCAGCAGAGCAGATGCTTCTGACAAAGTGTCGATTTTTCGCATCATCTCCATCGAAACATTTTGAAATTTCTAGTAACTGATTCTACAACAAAAGCCAAGTTCCATCACTGACATATAAGTACGTCTTTACAGGGGGGGAAATGAAAATGCAATGTTCCAGCCAAAAGAGAAGATTAACACACTTCTTTAGGGATCAGACTGACGTGCAAAAAAGTATAATCAGCAGAGCTTGCGCTTCTGACTAACGATCTTTCTCATCATCTCTCATGAAACATAATGAAAAATCTAGCCACCGATTCTAGAATTATATAGCACAACAGCAATGCACAATTAATCACCAAGAAGTGGCAGTAGGAAATGCAACAAAAATCCAGGTCTTGAGTAAGTTGGGATCAGACTGACGTGCAGATAACATACTCAGCACCGCTAGTTGCCTCTGATCTTTATAACCCATCATCATATCCCAGACAACATATGCGAAGACCAGGCAAAGTCCCACAACGATAAAGGACTCTGGCAGCAGGTGATGCAAATGCTGAAGATACAATTAGTAATAGCTAGAACGATGATATGCAACAATAGAGAGAAAGGCAGTTTGAACTCGAAAAAATGATATGGGATCAGACTGACGTGCAAAAAAAAACAAATTCAGCACTGCTAGTAATTCTGATCTTTATATCTCATCATCATATCCCAATGTCACAGCACATCAATAGTAAAAGGAAACAAAGTATCGGTTTTTCTAACTTTCACCAGGAAAATATCAAGGAAAGCCGATAAATCACCTGCTCCTCAACTTTCATGTGCTTCGAGAACAGCTTCCCAGCATGGCATTCTTTCGTCAATGACCGCACATCCCTATCAGAAAGTGATATAACACACAAAGTTAATCATACGAAGACCATTCAAAATAGTAAACAAACAACCCACCAAAAGACCAAATAATAGTGAAACGAACAAGAGTTGCAGCATCTTAATCCAAATGTTCAATTCAGCCATTACATCTACCTTAGAAGTTCTATTGCTCTCAATGCAGATGCAGAAATGAAAAGCACAGCAGGATTCCCCGCTTCAATCTTGCCATCCACTAGCTTCCCATCACAGAGTTACTCTTTCCATGACTTGCCGAACGCACCCTTCATACCTCTCCCTAGAGGCTCAACACCATGCGGCGGTTCATCAGATAGCTCCACAAAACATTCCTCTGCCTAGTCGAGAAATCCACCACATCATTAAAACACCATTTCCCACATTTTCGAAGTTCTACCAAACACTTCAACTTATCCAATCCCTAAAGCAAACACATAAACATGGAGAATGTAATGGTTTACCGTTAATCGATTCCAGCTCGAGAGACGAAAGCTGAATGCCATTAGCCGACTGGAACTCGCTCCGAAAGAAATCCAGTGGCGGGGAGCGGTGGAAGGAAGCTCGTCGACATTGGGTAGTTGTTGTTCTTCGACTGTGTCAGTGGGAATGTCGTGCTGCTGCCGTTTATTTGTCTTCTTCATCTTCTGGGTTATCTTCGTACTGCTTTCATGGTTGCTTCTCTTCTTTCTGATACCAAGCTTATTAGGGTTTCTGCGAGATTTGGAGGGTTTGCCGGCTTTACCGCTTCCCATATCTCTCTCCTATTTGCTTGCCAGTCTCTGCTACAACGGCGGTCTATGTTTTGGAGTGTGGGAATACTACGGCGGCAACCTCTTGTCGCAATGAAATTGAAATGGGTGTATATAGCAGCTAGGTTAACCCATTGTTAATTTGTTAAGGAGTAAAGTAATAGATAATTCAGTCACTTTACTATGAAATTTTAACGCATAAGTCCCACATAAGTTTTTCTGAGCAATTAAATCCTCGAACTATTGCATTTTTTAACAAAACAATCCTCTTAATTATTTTACCTTTATAATCGGTTTAAGTAAAGTGTAACATTCCCGATTTGTAATGTTCTAAACTTTTCTCCGACAAGAAAATTTGAATAGTCACTTAAGTTTTACACGTTCGCGACTTCTACTTTTGTTTATACATTAATGATTTCTGAACTTCTTTCTTCTCTTTCGTTTTTATATGAGAGTATTCAAAATTATTGGACTTATCCTGTGTCACTTTAATGTTGTTGAGTTGACGGTATTATTTTTTAGGATCTCCCTTCAAAAGAAAGGTTAACCTTTTCCCCTCCATTCCAATTATATTTCTCAAATATAACGCAAATATATCCATCAATTTATTATGAGGAGAAATCTAAGAGGTTAACATAAATAAACATTTATTTTCTTCTTTAACATAATTTTTTGATATTGCCCTAAGAAAATTCATTTTTGTTGCTTTCTCTCTTTTTCCTTTACCGGGAAGAAGAGAAAGAAGAACAAAAAAAAAAATTCACAAACATACTTTGATTTCACTCAAAATTTTATTCTTTAGTTTTGTTTTCTTTTAAATTTTACCATCCCTCTCGAGATTTTCTTTTCTAGAGAGAGGGAGGAGGTGTTTGCATCTTAGAATTGATAGGGTGGCTTTTTCATAATTATCCATGGCTTTATCATTCCCAATTGGTAGAGTAATTTTCTGCATTTTCTTCTGGTTCTCCCTTTTGGTGGGATGCTTTGGTGATGGGGGTAGCAACAAGGATCCCTCCAAGAGTGCACCTGGTTGTGACAATCCTTACAAATTGGTACTTGATCTTTTCAAGCTTTACATCTATCTCCCCCCAATTTCTAATCTTTCTGACCTCATTCTTAGGTTAAAGTTTGTGATTTATGGAAGAATGATGTGAAGTTGCAACCTAATGTGTCAATTACTCTTACGTTGGTTTTATCTACAAGAAAAATCATATGGTTAGGGTTGAATGGCTAATGAGAGTTATGTTCATTAGATTGATTTGTATTTTTATCGAACTTTGTTCATATAGGAGGGATGTTAACTTAAACACCATAATGGATTGAGTTAATCGAATGGAGTCAACGATGCGTGAATTTCTCGTAGCTTAAGACTTTTACTTTCTTTTGGTATGAAAAAGACTAAAAACATCAGGAGGATAATGCTCTCATTGAAAATAAATATTTTTTAATATATTAACAAATTGTTATGATAACATGCATGATCACAGTGACATATGGAAGCATCATGTCTCATAACACTTTTGTATGATGTACTCTATTTTTATTTTTGCTCTTATATAAATATTTTGGATTTAAATTTTCAGGTAAAGGTTGATAATTGGGTTAATGGTGTCGCGGGTGAAACTTACACTGGTGTTACTGCAAGATTCGGTGCAATACTACCCCTTGAGGTGGATAAAAGTGTCAAATTACCTGCGGTTGTGGCAAATCCATTGACATGCTGCTCTGCACCGTCTACAAAGGTTTGACAATTATCATGCATACTAAATTATTATTAGAACAAATTTATTACCGAACTTCACACTCAGACTTACACAAAATTTGATCGTACCATGTACCACTTTTCTCCAGTGTTATTTATTTGCAAATCACACAATCATTTTCTTTGTAGTTATCTAACTCAGTTGCCCTAGTTGCTCGTGGCGATTGTTCCTTCAATGCTAAAGCAAATATTGCACAGTCAAATGGTGCCAAAGCTTTATTAGTGATAAATGACGATGAAGGTTGGAATTTTTATAATTAAGATTCTTGAAATATTTTATTAAAAAGGTTACAGAAAATTATATTTACACATAATAATTAACTTAGTTTTGGTTATGTTGGTCACATGTTAATCTCCTTATAATCAAGGGACTAACGAGATGGGTTGTGACGATGATACCCCTGCTACGAATATTACCATTCCTATCGTGATGGTTCCCAAGTCAACCGGTGAAAGCTTCAGGAAAGCAATGCAGGAGGGACATAAAGGTGATTAAGATTTTTTGTAATGTGTTTTTCCTCCCAAATTTTATCCATTAATATGGAAAATTTCATTATGATGTAATTTTATCTCAATGAGATCATTTCATGTTTACATTGTAGTGGAAATTGGATTGTGGGCACCTGATCGTCCAGTCGTGTCGCTCTCAGTTGCATTCTTATGGTTGATGGCTGTATCAACGGTTGCTACTGCCTCACTTTGGCCAGAAATAGCTAAAACAAAAGATACAGAGCCGCGTTATGATGATTTTTCTCCAAAGGTATGGTCACTCAGTTAATAATCTATCCACATTAGTCAGAGTTAGGATTGACCCATGCTTAATTAGTAAGTACATTTTGGATGACTCACATTGTCACCTATATTGAAAATTCATGTTGTACCCCAATTTGATAGTCACATTTTCCATATCCCCTCTCAATTTGATTATGAATATGCTATACACAATCTATTGAATTATCCGAGATTGATCAACTGAGTTGAAATAAGCTGTAAAATGATCAATTTATAGCATACATTGACCATGAACGCTCTTCGATGATCAAATCGCATTGATGGTTTTCTAGAGAGGAGCAAGAGAGATAGAGAGTAAATGCCAAGCAAACTCATGAATATGTGATGCTTGTTGTTTCATCTCCCAAAAGTTGCTCATCACAGGTATAGGAGGAAATAAGTAAAATTTCATAACTTCAATTTCATAAATTGGCTTTTTAGATTAAGAGAGAACGAGAAAGGCTTTTGATCTTGGTCATAGTTTTCCCAAATCTATCTCGATGGTGATTATCATCAGCGAATCCGATCATATAATAATGTTGAACGATTTTTCATGTGCATGATCATCTACATTAGTCGACCTGGGTTGGAGTGTATAACCTATATATTAATCTTTGCCCCTACTAAACAATATTTGACTATCTCTCAATATTACATTGTCTTGCCATTAGAGTGCTTCCAATGGTGCAGAGGGTAATAAAGAGAACACCGAAGAGATCATTAACATCGATGTGAAGAGTGCAATAATATTTGTGATAAGCGCATCCACATTTTTGGTTCTGCTCTTCTTCTTCATGTCGAGCTGGTTTGTGTGGCTCTTAATTGTACTCTTCTGTATTGGTGGAGTTGAGGTAAATAGTTTCTTTTACCTTTTTATTTTTTTTACATTCAGTAAATGCGTTGGAATTAGTTTTTACTTTTACCCACTATATTTTTTAGGGCAATGTCTATTTTTTACCCAAACCTTTTTCAGATTCTTTTATTTTAACCAAACCTATAGAAATTCTATTTATTATCCAAACGTATTATAATTTATCAAAGTCTGGGCATTTATTATGTTACCGTTACTTATTTCGTCCACGTGAGAGGTGGGATTTTGTTTTGTTTTTTGATAATTTTTTTATTAAAAATAGTAAATGATGGTATTCTGACCGCCACGTAGAAAGTCAACTCATTATGGTCATACTTAGTCAGCATTACTAAAAGAAAAGTTGACGGAGAATTAACGTTTGGATAATTTTTAGGAATTCAATAGGTTTGGTTAAAATAAAAGAATCTGAAAAAGATTTGGATAAAACATAGACATTGCCCTATTTTTTATTCAATAACTATGATTTCCTTTGTACTGTTTTTGTAGGGTATGCATACTCTTATAGTAACTCTCATTTCAAGGTACAGTAAAATCCATCTTACATGCTTCCTTTTGAAATGCACACAGATTAGATTTGGGATTCCAAAGTGGGTGTATTCTCATAGCTTCCTTAACTGAGCAGGGGATGCACAAATCAAAAGAAAGTGACCTTACCTTATTTTGGGGAAACAACCATTGTTTCCCTAATTGTGCTGATCTTCTGTTTAGCATTCGCCATTGCTTGGGCTATCACTCGAAAGGCCTCATTTTCATGGATCGGCCAAGATGTTCTTGTAAGTCTTACTGGGCTTACCTACAAATTATAACAATAACATCAAAAAAATATGTTTAATTATCACATATTAATAACCATAATGTAGTTCTAATATTCGCTTTCTTATTAGGGCATTTGCTTGATGATATCAATTCTGCAAGTGGCTCGATTACCTAACATTAAGGTTGCAACTGTGCTTCTTTGTTGTGCATTTGTTTATGACATCTTTTGGGTGTTTCTATCGCCAATTATATTCCACCAAAGCGTCATGATTGCGGTAAGTACTATCGATTTTTAGCGGATTGGATAATGATGGATTTTTCATATATGTTCTATATATGTTTCGTATAAATAATAACTCGTATTTGTTATTAACGACATAGGTTGCTAAAGGAAACAATAGTGGCGGAGAATCGATTCCCATGCTCCTTAGATTTCCTCGATTGACTGACCCATGGGGTGGCTACGATATGATCGGATTTGGGGACATCCTTTTCCCAGGATTGCTTGTGGGTTTTTCTCTAAGGTAATTTCTTTAAAATCATGAGTTATTTCTTGTGTTAATTTAGGTACCATATCATAATATTTTCCTCAAACGAAAAAGAGATGTGTTGTCTTGTTTATCTCGTATCTCTAACATTATGTTTGTGTTATTCCGTTCTGATGAAAATATATATCGCTTAGATTTGACAAAGAAAACAAGAAGAGCGGAGCAAGTGGATATTTCATCTGGTTAATGGTTGGCTATGCATTTGGTAATAGAGCATTTTCACAACCCTAATTTACTATACTTACATTTCATTAAATCCTTTTCCTATAATCTTTGAATTCTTAATACTTATTACGTCCTATTTTTTCGTTCCGTTTTAGGCCTGTTTTTCACGTACCTCGGCTTGTATCTAATGCATGGGCATGGCCAACCGGCACTACTATACTTGGTTCCTTGTACATTAGGTAACACGCCAATATATTTTGCCCTAATCATACATATATTTTCACATTTAGTAGTGATCAAGCCAAATAGTATACGGTTCATAATCAAACATCTCTCAACAACTCGAGTTATTGAGTCCAACTATCAAAACTAATCTAGCCAAGTGGTCGTGTATCTGTTGGTAAATAGTATAAAATTTGTAATTAAAACTTATGTTATTGGCTTCAACAGGTTCTTGACAAATTTACATTTTGTTTTCGTTATAGGGGTTTGCGTGGTGTTGGGGCTTATCAGAGGTGAGTTGAAAGACTTGTGGAATCATGGGTCTACCTCTACCCCAACGGCATCTCTTGGAGGTGCATGATTAATGAAGGTGTAATTAAACTTAAATCGGTTTTTTTGACATAATGTGAATCCTAATGTAAGATTAGCCACTTAAGCAAATCTTATAGGGTGTTTTGATAACCTTCTTGTAAGTCTATAGTGGTGACATTCTTTTGAGTAGACAAATTTTTGTGTTCTTTTCTTTTTGTATATGTATATATGTAGTATCAAACAAAGCAAATAGGATGGTGATTTTGAGACAATGAATGGTGAAGTGATATAATTAGCACCACGATTTGTACAATGTGATACTCCAACTTCATATTTGATCCAAACCAAACGTGTTACTCGACTATAGGAGTCAATTCTGACCCACTATCACTCGAAGTCACTCAACTCATAGACGTGGATGCAACCTTTTCATTTACTATTGTTATAATCGAGTCTGGTAAACTGCGACGCTGTTAATCTGCGTCTGGACAATTTTAACGAAGTACTTTAATAGAAATAAACAGACTCACCAATTCGGTGACCGGCTGGCAAATAACTCTAAAAACGGGTGATCATTTAAGCAATTCACCAATTCCAAAGATGGAGCAAACAAATCTAGATAATAAATAAAAGCCGAATGATGAAAACCGTTGCTCCATTTCAAATTTCCTGCAACGAGAGTGATTATAGGAAGGACATTTTGGTCTTCACAATTACTTATTTTCTTATTTATTTATTCATAAAAAAGGTATGCACTGGGATTTGAACCTTGGTCTCTTTAAAGGCAAGCAAGGATCATAACCAATCACACTAAGTATATTTGTTGTATCTATTTAAATTCAAACATACACGAACCTAAATTATGAAAATCATATGACTTTTTTAACAATTAGTTGGCCACTGAATCTCCCGTAAGTACTTATTTGGTGTTTTAATACTTTGATTATTTTAGTTGTAGTTTAATACTTAATTTAAATTTCTATCTATTTTATAAATATACAATAACCCTAAAATTGCAGCCCAAATATTACTGGTTCGAATATTGCATATCGAATTGCAATATTAAACATGTAGAAGCAATATCGACTTCTTAAATTAGTATTATTTTTCAGAATTACTATGGAGAAATTATATCTTTGTGCAAACTATATGAGACTGGTTCTTTTAATGTTTTAGTCGGGATGACCGCTACATTTTAAACTTCTTCATAATCTGGCATGATTGGATCCAATGATCATTATACAAGATTGTGTTTAATAGGGTGGCTCATTTCACCACTTTTTTTGGCGTGTTAATGAATTTGTAGGACAATGACAGGTCTACATCTACACTCATCACAATCTACACATCATATAAATGTGAAATGAGAAAAGAGGGATTCCATTTCAAATTTGATGCGTACAGAGCAATTTTTTAGGGGTAAATTTAGAAGATGCCAGTGCGGTCGGTCTGTTGAGCACGAAAGTAAAAATATGTTTTCATTTAAACGGGCCCAAACTGTTATTTGGCCCACTAATCCTGCAGCCATCGCCAATGCAGTCAAATTCGGGATTTTGATCGTAAAATCGTAGGATTTTACTTAGGGATTCCGATCTTGATTTTACTATAAAATCGGTGGACCTTAAAATCGTTTAAAATCGGGACTAAAATCGTTAAAATCGTAAAATAGTACCCAAATCGGGATTTTGATCTTAAGAGAACAAAATAGGTGGTTTGAGCCAATTTAAAATAAGTATAACTATTTCAGCGGAAAGGGCAATGGAATCTTCTCAGATATTTTTTCTATTAGAAAAATATTCAAAAATAATAAAAATAACCAAATTAGGGTTCGGTTAATCTCTTTCCCTTCACCCCATTTAACTTATTGGTAAAACACCTGTCCTAATATTGGAAGTATGTAAGAACTAACATCATTATTACCTAATTAATTTATTAATGAATATACCAAGCCACTAACATTACTTATTTTATTGGATTTCAATTATTTTTAGTTTTAAATCATACTTAGTAGACGATGTCGAAATATTACTTTGAGTTAAACAACCTAAACATAACATGAAAATAAGAGCCAAACCCATGAATTATATCCCTTCATCATGAATTATTTTGAGTTACACAATAAATAACAATTAATATAGTGATTTTGGAACATTAATCTTGAGAATTATCTTATGGAAAAAAAATCTTATGAATTATCATTTTAAATGCTATGTGTCTTTGTGATATTAATAATTTACCTTATTAATATTCTTATATGCTATGTTCTATATGGTACTTAAAATCCTACGATTTTACGATTCGATTATACGATTTTGATTTTACCCCAGTTTTCGATTTTAGGTAAAATCCCAATTTTAACTGCTTTGCCCATCGCAGCCTCTCCAAATCTTCCTATTCTACTCGCCGGGTCATCTCCTCCACTACAAAATATCTCCTCATGCACTCAAAGTTCTCACTGAAACCTAATATCTACAACTTAGGCCAAGAGGGAGCAACCGATAGATTGTAGCGACCCCCACTATTTTGATAGCTAATCAAGAAGAGCGCGTTTGTTTAGTTGTATGGTGATTCACTTAATTAACAATTTTTATTCCGTTGACAGCCTCCTCTCCGCAATTGTATTGTGTTCACGAAGATCTGAAGGTGCAAGTGCAACAGGTCCAGGGGTAAACAATATGTATAAAGCGTTGGCCAAATTGAATTGAGTCATTCTACTTGGAATATGAAGATTTTTGCTTAATTGCTTTGGTTCGTGATGCAACTATGTTATGTTTGAAGGTAGACCAACGCAAACAACAGCACGGCTCCAGGGCTATTCTGCACATTAGGTAGTTGGGGCATTAATTGATAATTATTTGGGATTATTCCTACAAGTACATAATTTGGAACGTGCCTTTATATTGCATTGATTAATAGTTGTTTGAGATTTTTCAAATGAGTGATTTGACATGTTAAACTCTCTTATTTTTGAAAATGGAGTCTTCGAAGTGGAATATGAAGATTTTGGATTAAGCTTGGTTTCGTAACGCCCTTATGGGTGTTTATTCTCTAAAATGCAGCTGTCTTTCAAAGTGCCCGTTGCAAATGGCAAGTCAGGATACAACGATGGTACCGGCACACGTTTATATCATTAGTAGGTAGCAGATTGTGTCCATTCTACTATATCATTTAGCTAAATACTTAGTTGTTCTTTTCAACTAAAAATTGTGCTTAAATGCTGTGATTGGCCTCAGAAATGTATGTATTTGCATTAACTGTTAATGATTGTGAGTTTTGGTTTAATGGTGAAAAGTCCATTTATTTAGAAGTCTAAATTGGGCAAACCTATTGGACAATAGGAATGCCATACATTAGTGTCGTGGGAGGTTTGTTTGATGTCTCAGGGTGTTAGATTTTTTAGAAGGTTGTTTGTTGTGGCAGAGAGTCCCTAAAGCTAGAGAGGTATTCCTATGTAGGCTTTTTCTTTGTTTGACTTTTTCTCGCCTTTTTTCTTATCTCTTTTTCTATTTTTGGTTTTTGTGTGCTACCTTCAGTTGCTACGTCTTTATTTGTGAGCCATCTATACTTTTCTTATTCAGTGCCTAAAAATCATATATACTCGATTGCATAGTAGTTACTAATAGATACATTTATACCAATAGAGAGATTTTAAGTTTTATCAGTTGTTAGTTTTAATATTTACTTACATTGGTTGTTTATGTAGTTTTCTTTGTAATATTTCTCATTATACAACTAATTACTATGGCTATGTAGTTGTATAAGTGGGGGTTGGACATGATAGTTCTTAGAAGCATCAATACTTGAAGGTTATTATAATGACCAAATTCTAAAGTTATGGTTTGCCTTCAACTTGCTTGGAGCATTTCAATTATGCATCAATTGTTCTCTCTGTGTAGTTAACTCTCAGACAAATCGAAAATCTTGCTGATATGTGCTTGATTGTAGTTAAATTTAGGGTTCTACTGCATTGTTGCTTTACTCTTTTTTCGTGGTTGAGTCTGCTTCAAAAAATTTAGTTTGATTTTAGAAAATTTTGCTTCTGCAGTCCTGTCTTGCCACCAACGCGTTCAATAGATGGAGACGGCAGAGGCGAAGGCTATTTTTGTGTTGTTGTTGCTGGTTTAGGGATCGGTTTGTGAAGAAGAGGGAGAAGAGAGGGGGAAAGGGAAATGCAGGAGAGGGGGATAACTCTTTTCTCCGACAAAAATGGAGTGAAGAAAGGAATTATGATCAGTAAGAATATGGTTATCTTACATAACGGTCTCTATTCTGTTTGAATTGAGCTTGAGAGGCAGTGATAAGGACGAGCTGCAACCAATTCATAGTGAGAAGAGAGCTATGAACTGTGACCATGTCTTATTTCAAGTTAGAAGGTAGTTTCAGTATAAGGATTATTTAATTTGACAAGTTGTTTCGTCCATGATTCTTGGTAGTTTCAGTGCCATTCTAGCCAATGTTTAGTCTGTAATTTTTGAGAATTGATGTGCGAGTAATGACTTTCACTTAGCTTCAACTATTATGTGTGTATTTATTGGCATGTGATAGAATTCTATTTTCCTTTTCATTGAATTCATTTTCATACTCTAATATTATTTGTACATAGGCAAATCATGCTTGAGATGGCAACTCGCTGATATGGCTGGTGCAAGGAATGAAGCCATCATTAGAATTCAGACCGACAACGGGGAGGGATGCCCAGGACTAATTCAATGATGATTGATGATGGTATAATAAAAACTGCAGTCTGCATCAGCACCAATTTCTAGGCCTAAGTAAAGGTATTCAACCCAGAACTCTGCTTAGCGCTAAAAATTGCCCTCACCCAACCTTGATCCTGTTTGACCCACTTCTGAAGAGTCAAGATATGTGACTAATCCTCCCCGTTCGTATTTTCTTATTGACTCTTTCTGACCCTGTAGGTTGGGGCGGGTCGGGAAGAATTGGATTAGTGGGTCGGTCCTAATCAAGTGGAATCCCAATCCCTTCACTCTCACTTGCTTTCTCTCCCATTCCACAAGTGGGTAACATACAATAATCCGGCCAACGGGCCGGGTAATAAGCTAGTTAGTTTAAAATTTGAAAGGTCGGTATGAGCCCGTGGACGTGGAGTGGATAGCCATTCGCCACGTGCCAACCACCATTCGTAAACGGCGTCGTATTATTGTTGCCGCCGGATCTATATTTTCCCTCCACAAAAAAAAAAAAAAAAAAAGAACTACCCGCCGGCCGCATCAAATATTATATATATATGACATCCAATTTCCAAAGTCAAAAATCAAAATCGATTCCTCTCCGCCGGCGACCTCCAAAAAATGGGCAGCGAAGACCACATAGTGATGCTCCCTTTCATGGCGCACGGCCACCTGATTCCCTTCCTCGCTCTGGCGAAACAGATCCGCGGCCGAACTGGGTTCATCGTCACCATCGCCACCACCGGGCTCAACGCCCAATACCTCCGATCAAGCCTCGCCTCCTCCCACTCCGACAACGACACCATCCGCCTCGTCGAGCTCCCTTTCTCCGGTGCCGACCACGGCCTCCCCCCTGGAGCCGAGAACTCCGAGAATCTCCCCTTGGACTTGATCGTCAACCTCTTCCACGCCTCAACCGCCCTCCAAACCCCAACCCACGACCTCGTGTCGAAAATCACGGCGGAACAGGGCGGCCGGCCGCCGCTCTGCATAGTCTCCGACGTCTTCTTCGGATGGGCGAACGACGTCGCGGAGGCAACCGGGACCAGGAATTTCACTTTCTCCACCGGCGGAGCTTACGGCACCCTGGCCTACGTCTCCATCTGGACGAATCTGCCTCACCGGAATCTCACCGACTCGGGGGAATTTGCGGTGCCCGGATTCCCCGATAATCGCCGATTCCACATCACCCAGCTGCATCAATTTCTGAGGAAGGCCGATGGGGAAGATCCGTGGTCGAAATTCTTCCAGCCCCAAATTTCCAAATCCCTAGAAAAATCGTACGGATGGCTCTGCAATTCCGTGGACGAAATCGAACCCCTAGGATTCGAACTCCTCGGGAAGTATTCAAATCGTCAGATCTGGGGGATCGGCCCTCTGTTGCCTCCAGAAATTCTTCGGAAATCGGGTACTACTACCAAAGTCCGGCGGCAATCGGGAAAGACGCCGGGGGTTTCTGCGGAGAAGTGTATCGAATGGCTCGAATCCCACGAACCGGGTTCGGTTCTGTACATCTCGTTCGGATCCCAGAACAGCATCAACCCACAGCAGATGATGGAGCTCGCGGCGGGGCTAGAAGAACAGAGCGCCGTGTCTTTCCTATGGGTGATCCGGCCGCCGATCGGGTTCGACCGGAGATCCTAGTTCCGATCCGAGTGGCTGCCCGATGGGTTCGAGCGGCGGATGGAGGAAACCAACAGGGGTCTGCTTGTACGGAACTGGGCGCCGCAGCTGGAGATTCTTTCCCACGATTCGATCGGCGGGTTTCTGAGCCACTGCGGGTGGAACTCTGTTCTCGAGAGCTTGAGCCAGGGGGTTCCGATCATCGGATGGCCGCTGGCGGCGGAACAGGCGTTCAATTCGAAGCTGCTGGTGGAGGAAATGGGCGTCGCGGTCGAGCTGACGAGAGGAGCTGGGGGAGAATTGGGGAGGGAGAGAGTGAAGGAAGTTGTTGAGATGGTGATGGGGAAGAATGAGAAAGCAGAGGAAATGAAGAGGAAAGTTGTTGATCTTTCTGAACACATGCGGGCGGCGATTAGAGATGATGGTGAGAAGAAGAAGAAGGAGGAGGAGAAGGGTTCTTCTGTCAGAGCTATGGATGATTTCGTGGCGACCATTTTCAGAAAGTTGTAAGCTTTTCTAATGGGTTGATTGAAGAAAGTGATGATATGTTCCCGCTACAGGCACCATGTTCAAACTCTGGCATTCAAGTTCAATCTCGTTAGTTAAAATTTATCAGTTAACCAACTAGCTCTGAGCTTGTTGGTTCATTCCCCTGTTGGGCTGTTCCTCCCTCCCACCACAAGTCTTATTTCATTACGGACAAAAATAAGATATTGCCAAAAAAAAAAAAAATTGGTTTGAAAATGTCAATTGTAAAAAATGCATAAGTTTGATAGGAGAAAGTTTAAATGGAGATTTGAATCGAAGAACAAGGGGTTAAATCTTACCAATTAAGTGATTCCTTCAACTAATAGTTAGCCTTTTTTTTTTTAATAAGGGTAACCAGTGGTAGCTAGTACGCTAGTGAATTGTATGGTTTAACCTTTACATGTTAAGGGCGGTAAACTATTTGAAGGAGTGTGGTGTTTCGGATTGATAAATTATTGTTGACACTAAACTTAAGAAGGAGTGGGTGTCGTCCATTTATCTGTCTCTCCAACTAATATTAATTGTCGAGTGCACACATTTGAAACGGTGGTCATTTGAGTTGGCGCCAAAGCTTTTTTTAGCTCTTTTACTTTTCATCTTTCAAGTTTTAGTTTGTATAAGTCAAGTAAAATGTGTAGGAAAGTAGGAAGTGAAGGTGTTATCTAACGTAGTTTCACATAAAGTGGTTGATTATGGTCGTAACTAACAATATATCTAGTTAAGATTGGTTAGTTTGGATTTATCCTCCTTGAGTTGGCGCCAAAGCTCTTTTTTAGTTCTTTCACTTTTAATCCTCCAAGTTTTAGTTTATTTCAGTCAAGTGAAAGGTGTAGGAAAGCCGGATGTAAAGGTGTTGTCTAACTTTTTTTTTGGTAGGAAGACGGACGACAATGCGTCCTAATTCATTAAATTAATAGAGCGATCCATGGAGATGGCCATGGAGTCATACAATAACCATTTACAAAGATTGGGATCGTACACATCGAAGAAATGTGTACCAAAAGGGGCCAAGTGACCCTTGCTCGCCAAGAAATCGGCAGCGAAGTTTCCCTCTCTATAGACATGGGATAAGATAACCTCCCAGTTGAGGTTCAAAAGCTTCCCAATCCGCGTTGCAATGAGACCGTGACGGTGGTCCGTATCGTCGATATTTTTCATGATGGTGATTGCTGTCGAAGAGTCGAGGTTCAACTCCACCTTACGAAATCCTCTTTCCCACGCTCTCTGCAATCCAATTTCTGCTCCTCTAAGCTCGGCTGTGGTGATTGTGCAGCTTCCCAAATTGCAAGTGAAGGCATCGAGACATCTTCCAAGGTGGTCTCGAAGGAGGCCCCCTGCTGCTGCTTTTCCTGAGTTTTGCAGCACTGATCCGTCGGTTTGGATTTGAATCCAACCCTCTCTAGGTGGCTTCCAAGCAACGGACGTTTGAATGTGTTGGTTCCGAGGTGCCACGATGCTCTTTTCCTCGTTAATCCTTGCTTGCTTGTACACCTGAATCCAAGACATGATTTTACTAATCAGCCCTGCCTCCGAGTACGTTTTCCAATCCATAATTTCTTCGTTCCTCTGTTTCCAAATCATCCAGCAGGTGATGCCAAAGTCAGTTCCCCTGTCTGAATCATTGATGTTGTCGATGATCCATTGCTGGAAGCTTCTGTTTTCCCCTGGTGAATGTCCCATCTTGAAGAATTTTCGGACTCCCTCTGTTTTCCTACATTTTCGTAGGATGTGCTCGATCGTCTCCAGCTCCTCATTGCAGGCCTTGCAGCTTCCATCTGTAGTTAGCTTCCTTTTCGTTCTTTCATGATTTGTAAGAAGCCGGTTATGTAGGACTAGCCATAGGAAATGCTTCACTCTATTTGGCCCTTTCCACTCCCAGAGCTTCTTCCACACTGCTTGAGCTTCCTCTCCAACCTCGTTTGCAGCCAGCAGGTAAGCTGATTTAAGTCTGAACCTTCCATCTTTTTCCAGCCCCCAGATCGTGGTATCCTCTCCCATTCCTTGCACAGGTGCTTCCATCCCTGCAATGCGCATGAGACAATCATTAGGGAGAAGTGAATTAAGCTTACTCCACTCCCACTCACCTTGGTCATTAGCCATCTCAGCCACGGAGCAACATCTTTCATCATCAGTGAGAGATCTCAGGCTGAAATCTTTAAGCAAGGTATCTTGATCGATCCAGGGGTGGTTCCAGAAATCGGTTGTTCTTCCATCCCTAATGCTCCAAACAGTGGCTCTCTGCATCAAAGGGTAAGATTTAAGGATTCCTTTCCAAAGGCTTGAGTGATTGCTCCTCTTCATGCCAATGATTCTTCCTTCTCGCTGGTGAAAGTACTTCCCCTGCATTACTTTCACCCAGAGATCATCCTTGTTGTTCAGAATTGACCATGCCAGCTTGATCATATAAGCCAGGTTGAGACTTCGAGCTGATCTAAGTCCCAATCCTCCTTGCTGCTTTGCGGTGCACACCTTCTCCCATGACACCAGATGCACTTTTCTTTTTCCTTCTTGTGATCCCCAGACGAACCGTCTAATCCTGCGATCAATATCATCACAGATGGAAACAGGAAGCATTGATGTTTGCATAGCATAGGTAGGAATTGCATTAAGGACAGACTGTGCAAGTGTAACTCGTCCTGCCAGGGAAAGTGTTTTAGCCTTCCAGGCTGTGAGCTTCCGATCAATCTTCTCCAGGATGTATTTGAAGGTGGTTTTGGAGATTATTCCATGAAGAACAGGAACTCCCAGGTACCTCCCCAGGTCATCAGTCTCCTGAATCCCCAACCTGTTGCAGATATCCCTTCGATTAGAGCACTTTGTGTTCTTGGAGAAAAGGACTCTGGACTTCTCTTTGCTGATTTGTTCTCCTGAGGCAGAACAGAAGGCTTCAATGCAGTCCATCACCACCTCTGCCTGTCTCGGGCTGGCTTCAGCAAACAGCACCAGGTCATCATCAAAGAAAAGGTGAGATAAGGGAGGTTCTCCTGGAGACAAATTCACAGGCTTCCATCTCTTTTCCTTCACAGCATTCTCAATACAATGGCTGAGTCTCTCCACACATAAAGTAAACAGGTAGGGTGACAGAGGGCATCCTTGACGGAGTCCCCTACTTGGAGAGAAGCTTTCAGATTCTCCCCCATTCCAGAGCACCTGCATTTGGGTGGAAGAAACACACTGCATCACAATAGCAACAAAGTTGGGGGGAAAACCAGCAAGGTACAAGGTTTGCTCAAGGAATTTCCACTCAATTCGATCGTAGGCTTTTGCCAGATCAATCTTCATGAGCATCATTCCTTTCTTTCCTGATTTTCTGGCCATAGAGTGGACAGTTTCCTGCAAAATCAGAATATTGTCAGTGATATGGCGTTTAGGTACAAAGCTAGTCTGGTTCTGCTTCACAAGGATTGGCATAAGTCCTTTGATCCTGTTAGCCAAGCATTTGGCTATCGTTTTATAGCCAACATTGCAAAGGCTAATTGGCCTAAACTCCTTCATGGAAACAGGGGCTTCTGTCTTAGGGATTAAGACCAGCAGAGTCTCATTGGTCCTGCTTATCAGATTATGGCAGATAAAGCATTCCTGAATGAACTTGCAGAAGTCCTCCCCAACGCTTTCCCAACATTTTTGGAAGAAAAGAGCGTGAAATCCGTCCTTTCCAGGCGCCTTAAGCCCATTAATGTCATTGATGATGGCTTTGATTTCCTCATTGGAAGGAGGAGCACTGATTCTAGCAAAGCGAGCTTGACTGATCTCGGGGAAGAGACATGGAAGTGGAGGCTGAAGCGGTTGATCATCACTTCTGAACAGGTTGCAATAATACTGTCTTCCCATATCCAGGAGGGCGTCCGGATCAGTAACCCAGTTGCCATCCTCCGCTTTAAGGCAAGTAATCATGTTTCTCCTTCTTCTGGTCAAGGTACTTGTGTGAAAAAACGTGTGTTAAGGTCTCCAAACAACATCCAGTTGGCACGCGATTTCTGCATCCAGAGGATCTGTTCTTGCCAGACCGTTTCTTCCAACTCTTCTCGAATCCTTTTGATAGACCGTCATTTACACATGTTTTTACCCTCATACTTACACCGTTTGAGGTGTTGATTCTCGTGTTTTAGGCCGATTTCACGCTAGGTTGTGCTTGTTTGTGTCATTTCAGGTCCTAGTATGTGAATGAAGGCTTAGGAGCGAGTCTGGGGTCGATTGAACGAAGAACGGACGAAGGGCGAGATTTTTGGGGAGTGCACGGGCAGACCAGGAGGCTGCACGGCCGTGCACTTGAGCCATTTGGCTGTGCGCCTCACGCCGAGGCCATGCACAGGCAAGCCCTGAAGCTTGCACGGCCGTGCGCCTGGCCGTGCAAGATGGCTGAAGGTCGAATTTAATTGATACGGTGCGTTTCATGGTGCACGGCCAGAATGGTGTTGTGCACGGCCGTGCACCTGGCCGTGCAACTCGGGGAAGCCTGTTTTTAAGCCTAATCCGAGCCAGAAGTGGGAGAATCGTGTTTTCAGAGCAAAAACAGAGCCCTAGAGAGAGAAAGTGCGAAGAACACATCCTAGAAGCTGTCTTAGAGCTGGATTTCATCGAATCGAGCCTGGAGATCATCATAAGAGTGAAAATCATCATCCCGGAGCAGATTATCCTCATCGTTATGAGTATGACTAATCCGTTTCTTGTTTTCTCTTCTCTCTCTATGGAGTAGAACCCTTCTCTCACTTGGGTATGAAGAACCCTAGTTCCTTGTGTTAGGGATTTGATTGTAATGACTTGGGATGATATTACTGTTTGATTTTAATCGAATGACGCATGTTTATTGAATTGATTTGAGTCTGATCAGCTTGTCTCAATTTCTGCTTCAACCTGAGATAGATAGAATCTGATTAGGTTGTTAGAGCCTCTTCATTCGATAGTAGGAGATTGGCTATACGAGAGTTAGCCAGTTTACTGCTTTGTACTGGTGTTCTTGGCGCCTGTAGTGGAGTTCTGTGTTCATAGCCTCAGCTTTCTATCCCGGTGAAGGCTAGTCGTCTGCCGGGTAGTTAGATTGAGAGGGCTTGGTCAGCTTAAGAGATTCCAAGCTACTGTCGGATCTTCCGCAGTCTAATCAACAGTAAATCAACCCAGGGAATTGCAATTGAACCTAACTAAGGGGCTAGGGGGACTCAATCCCGAGTGACTCTTGCCTGCTTTAGAAACCCGAACAATTTACTGCTTTCTTGTTGCTTTTACTTTTCACAACAATCACTCGACTTAGTTTGCTAGATAATAGAGAATCACGGAGTAAGCAGTAGATCTAGACCCCGGGTTGATAATTAAACTTGCCTATACTGCAGTCCCTTTCATTGGTTACACTTGGCCATTGTTAGGTGTTGTGTCATAGCGTGTCAAGTTTTTGGCGCCGTTGCCGGGGACCCTCTAGATTATTGGGGAAACGTGAGACTTTGTTACTCTAGCTTTTTATTTATTGCACTTTCTTTTCTTTTCCACCCTTGCTTTTCACTTGGGTGTTTTGTTTTTGTTGGTGCAGCTCTGAAACATGGATCCTCATGGCTTCTACAACCATTGGGGGTATCAACCACCATCCGTGTGGTATTACCCCGAGACCTCCTGGAGCAATCAAGGAGGAGAAGGCTATGGATTCGGATGTCAGTACCAACCCCCCTACTATGGAGAACAATCAGACCCCTGGGTATTTCAAGAACAATCTCCTTATCAAGAAGAATTCCTCCATCAGCCAGATCCAAACTATCACTTGAGGCTTCTCGTGGAGCAGATTGCTCGAGTACCTGAGACATCCTTTCCAAAGATGGATATCCCAGACAATGCCTGTAGACACCAGTTTTTGTCCGGGTTAAAACATATTTAACTAAATAAAATTTAATTTTTTGATTGGGATTTGCAATAGCAAATTTCTAACTAAAACGAATTGTAGTGCTTGGATTGGGTCTTGTCTGCCATAAGTCAATAAGATTAGCAATAGCAAATCTCAATTGATACAATCTATCAGTGGCGAATTGACGTGTTTAAATGAATTAGGCTTAAGTTCGATGTTGGGTGTCATGTGAGTAAATTGATTCTTAACACATTAGGTCTTGTGAGAATTGGATCGCAATTTCAAAATAATAAAATCAAAGTCATAACAATTTTATTAAAATAAATACAATGCTAAACAACTAAATTTTTTATTACAATACATAATATTTGTAATTAATTACACTGCTAATTGCTATTACACAACACTAATCACAACAATAAAATAAATTTAGGCCCAAGCACAAGTCGTCAAAGTCCATAGTCTGCCAAATCAAGACCAACTTAGGCCCAGTGTTTAAGCCCAACTCAACACCAGGTCGGACCAATCAGGTCGGACCCAACTCGAACCGATTCAACCCAATCCACAAGCTACTACAGTCTACAAGTAGAGGGCGGCAGCTACATAGCAGCCAGCCTATCAGAATGTGCCAAAACAATGAATGAACAGTACCCTTTTTGCTATAAAAAGAACTATTCTTCTGCTCTGAAAAGGGGGGACCTGAACTTTCTTTTCTCACCGCCATTTTCTTCCTTCTGCTCCTTCCTCTTCCTCAAAATTCCCAAACAAAAAGAAACAGGAGAACAAAAAAACATTCCCTGGAACCTTTTCTTCTCTGTCACTTCCTTCCTTCTGCTGATCGGCTCCTTCTGCTGATCGGCTCCTTTACTTGACACCTTCTTCTTCCTTCTTTTTCTTTTTTGATCAAAAGACAAGACAACGAAAATTCTGCAAAAAAACACTCCCTTCTTTCTTCATCTCTTGATCACTCACAAACATCCTCCCCTGCCGCCAACATCAGCAAAAGCACAAAGGAGGTAGCGGACAAAGAAGCTCAGAGAATCAAGGAGAGGCAGAATCATCACCCAAACAACAAAAAAGGTCAAAAAGGTTGGTAGTCACTAAAAATCATAAATCATCATCCAGTATCCATATAATGCTTAATCCAAGCAGTACAAGTCGACTTAGATCTCTAAAAGCAATCTAGCTAAAATTAACTCCAACCAAATTACAAGATGGTTAATCTCACCACCATGATAACAAAATAAACAAACAAATCGGATTTTTGCCTGCTTTCTTTACAAGTTCATTATAGTTCTTTATATACCTATATTAGCTTTTGTCATCTACTTCATTGTTTCCACTTATCAGTATTTCCATTGATCAATCATATCACATGTTAGAAGCTACACGTTTCCTATATGTGTTTCGTTTTAGTAGTTTTACTTAGCTTTCCACCGCATATACAACTAAGCTAACATCAAAACACATAAGCTACAATAAACTTATAGAAATCTCATATTTGAAAGATACCGTGTTCGCACAAAATTCCAGTTATAAACACAAAATTTCCATCTGATTTTTCAAGCCATAAACTTCAAAAACCCAAAAATTATTATGAACACCACAAAACAGACTCCCAGATTCAAGCACCACGAGCACAAAGATTGCAGATTTACATACATAAAAAAAAACCACTAATTTGACAACTTAATCAATCCCAAAGTTTATACCTACATCAGCCCAACATCGTAAGAATAGAAATCATTCATGAGAAATGACACAAAGCTCCTAAGGATCTCACGCAATAGTAATGACTTCAGGTAGCTATCAAGTTTATGAACTATTGTCATTTTAACACAAATCTGGGTTTTCAAATCATAAACCTAAAACAATCAAACATTAAAACTCAGCATACCAAAATAATAGCTAAAGAACATACCAAACATCATTTTCTAATGCACAATAGCATTCATTTCCAACCTTGAGAACTCCTACCCACATCAATTTAGGATAGAAGTCAGAACCCTTCAAGTAGAGTCAAAATCAAAGGCATAAAACGAGCCCTTACCTCATCCCGTCACCGGCGCTACTATCCTCGGCGGCGGCGCAGTCTCGGTACTCGCCTTTTCCTATAGTTTACGAGGCCATAAAATCAAAACCCAAAAAGAAGCAAATCAGAAATCCAAACCCAGAAATCTAAAGCCAAACCAAATTCAGTAAAACCTAAAAAACTTACCACAGGGACACCACCCTGCCGTCGTCACTTTCGTCGCCGGCGAGATCCTAAAATGGCGCCGGCGAATCCCTTTCTTCCATTTCCTTCGACCAAAACCAGAACCAAAGCCCCAGAGATAATAAAACACAGTCAGAACCCCAAACCCGCAAAGATCGAATCACCAAATAAATTGAAATCGCCAAAGGAACCCCCAAACTCGAGTTGCAGGCCAAAAACTCACCTGAAACTTCCTGTCGGAAGTTGATCCCTCCTCGTCGCCGGTCGGAAGCTGCTTCATTTCCACCGCCGGAGACTACCATCTTTCCACTTCTCGGCTGCAACTTCCACCAAGAACCCAAAAAAAAAAAAAATCAGATACCGAATTGAACTCAAAACCCACCAGAAATCGAAACACAGAGAGAGGTCAGAACCTGAAAAATCACCGAAAATCCCAAACAAAACCCTAAAAATCGACATGCAATGGTCAGGTACTTTACCTCTGGCCGTCGGAGTCAATGTCGTCAATATCTTTGTCGCCGAACCTCGCCGATCTTGCTGCCGCCGTCGCCTTCGTCGACGAGGAAGGGGTCACTTCCATCTCATCGTTATAGAGGGCGAGAGAAGGAAGGAGGTGGATCGAGATGGAGAAAGAGAGGGTCGTTTTTAGAAAGGAAGGCTAGGGTTTTCATTTTGTTCGTCGTGAGAAGAAAACAAGAATGGGGTGATTGGGATTGGTTTGCTTTTGTTTCTCTGTTTTGTTTGTGTTCCAGAGAAAACGAGAAGAAAAGAACGAGAGAGAGGATTGAGAGGTGAGCGGCTGCAAGTGGAAGAAAACTGGTTAGGGTTTTCATTTCAGCTTAAAAGAGGCCTTATACCTCACCTTGAGAAATGACTAAACTACCCTCCTAGTTTTCGACTAATTACCCGCTACCACTCTCGGAACGCTTCTGTGAAATCCAAAAAAAAAAACAAGAGTGTGAAGTCTCGAACCATAGACCATGACATCACTAATCGCTTCACGTAAGGGTAACCAACCACTAAGCCAGGTTATGATATTCGAAACTTTGATCTCCTTGTCTTCTTTTTTCCGTCTTTAACCTTAATACGTAGTATTCGTATCTACTAATCGTGCTAGGGTTTTGCTTTAACCAAATTATGTATTTATGTATACCTCTAAACATTTCAAAATATTAAAAACCTTCGTTACCACATTCAATTTGGCTTCATTATTCATACCCATGCTCGTTTTACTTAGAAAATATCTTAATACGAAATCATGATAAATAAACCGTAATAGTTACTCTTGATGGAATCATTTGAAAGATGGTTTTACCATTCAACTACTAAGTTGAAACATCATAAATACATCGCCTAACAACTCAAATTATCATCTTAGCCACGATCAATAGAACGTGTTAAGATCGCTTCTTAAAAAAACCACTCATTTTTAATCGAACTACGTGGACTTTGATCCCGACTACTCGGGTACGTAGGCAACCAATAGGTTCGAGTCCAACTAACCAAAAACTCTTTCTTTAATTTTGAGAATTATGTCAATAGACGTATGATCAAATATTAATAACTAACTAATTAACCAGATCATAAAATTAAATACATTAATATAGCCGCAAATAATAATACACCCAACCCTTAAAAACTTATCGATTCACGTAGTACCCACTTGGGGCGTGGTGGGGTGTGAATATATTTCCCCACACGTAACCGTACTCCCGAACTTAGAAAAATCTAAAATTCGCAGACCAGATTTCTGGTTTTAACCTAAATAACAAAACCAGAAAAGGGTGTTCGACCCACCCCAAAGCGCGGTCGATGGCGACTCCGAGCATTTCGCGACAGATCCCCCGATCCAGAGGGGCGGTTGTGACAATGCCCAAACTGGGTTCTCCTACCGTGAAACAGAGGAGACCCTCCTGAGCATAAAGAAGAGCCTCGAGGATCTTGAGAAAGCTTATGCACAACCTGCTCAAGATCACCTTTCTGCTACTTCGCTAGAAGAGGCGGAGGATGACAAGGGCAGCGGGGGCGTTGAGGAGCCTACAGAAGTTATCACAGAGAACTTCCATGATAATCATGATCATGAAAGTCCTCTGGTGGCAGATCACACCGTTCCTCATTTTTGCTCTAACATGCTGGACCTGTGCGAGGAGATGCAAGATGATTCCCTTGAAGAAATTGCTTGGCGACTTGCTCTCCAATATGTTCTAGAAGAAGAAGAGCGAGCAAGGATGAGGAAGAAAGTTGTGGAGGATGAGGAAGAAAGTAAAGAAGAGGTAGTTCTTGATCTTTTCCAAGGGGAGAGACCACATTGTGAAGAAGGTAGGGGGTTGTGGAAGCAATTGGCGTCCAGGCTGAGGATGAAGTTGAGGTGGAAGAGGCTTGCACCGAGCCTATGTTACACTTGATATCTCCACCAAACTTCGAGGAGCTGCTTGGCAAGGACCCATTTGCAGTGTCTCTTTGCCCAACTAAGACCACATCAACATCAATCCCTCTTGGTGGATACGATGGTGGTCAATCGAATATATCTTATCTGGTTTGGGGCAGTGAGACAAGAGCAGATGCGAAGGAGAGGTCTCGTGAGTGGAGACTTCATCTTCCTCAAGGTCACGAGCCGTCTTCATCACCTAGCACTTCACCTGCTTGTGACTTGAGACTCCACATTATCGACGAGAACCTCAACTTCAAGGAGGTTTTGGGGTGGACCGAAACTTAGGAGCCACCGTCTAGCTAAGACGTAAAAGAAGCGCTTGTGGGGAGGCAACCCCACCGAGGTTTGCATTTTCTTACTCTTTTTCCTTTGATTTTGTGTGTTTTTGAGTCTTGAGACGTTGATCCGGAGTTACGTGTCGTTTTTGAGTGAAAACAGGTTGATTTCGGGACCCCAGCAAGTCGCACGGCCAGAAAATTAACTTGCACGGCCGTGCGCCTAGCCTGGCCTGGCCGTGCGAGCTCTCGGCCAGGAGTGCACGGCCAAAAGTGCCCAACGCACGGCCGTGCAGCATCCTCGGCCAGGCCGTGCGCCTTGCACGGGCAACATAATGCCTCGCACGGCCGTGCGGGTACCACCACCTGGCCGTGCGAACTCTCGGTGATAGTTGCACGGCCAAATGTGCCTTGTGCACGGCCGTGCAACATCCTCGGCCAGGCCGTGCCGGCCTGCACGGGCAAAAACCCAAGGTGCACGGCCGTGCGTGCCTGCCCGTGCGGCCGGGGCTGCTTCAGCTGACGGTGATGATGGAGCTGCTGGCGCTGCTGATGATGATGCGTTCAGGATCGACATCGACCTCGACGATCTTGGCGACGAGTAGGCTGTACTCGTTGCCCGTCTCAGTGTGTTTGTTTTTCTTTTTAGACTTTTGTGTGTTTGCTCCATGTGTGCGGAGCTTGAACTTGGTGTCGTTTGTTTTTGTTTTTTGGTTTTTCCCTTGTGGTTTGATGTAGCCGTCTGGGCTAACACTTATCCCTAACGCACAGTGTGCTAGTGGTTTCTGGTGTTCGATTTGTGCAGCATTGTCCACTCCCCCGTTCGTTTCTCGCTGACTGGTCCACTTCCAGTCCCCCAGCAGTGTTCTTACCCGGTAACATCGTTCCCCTTATCTTTCCCTCTACTCCATTGAGGGCAATGTCGTGCTTAAGTGTGGGGGATGTTTTGTATCGGTTGGAATATTTATGATGGTGCTTGGAGCCTAGTCCACTGTCCGAATCTTACGATTTGAGGGCTCCAAGTAATGTTGTTTGATCATATTGGCACTGTGTTTTGATGGATGAATTGATTGGTTTTCGGATTAATGCATGACAACTTGTTTGCGACTAGGACAACCTATGATGAGGACTGAGATGTGCAGTAGAACGATGTAGGGGTTCAGTTTTTCAACTGTTGGCTTGCCAACTGTGACTTGATCTGACTTGATCTGACTACTTGCTCTTGACAGTCGTTTATGCATCTAGTTCAGGGTATCAGAATGTGAGATAGAGCATATAGGTAGCCATGTGAGATTTGAGCCTGCTCGTTTCTTTCTTGTGCGATAGATCCCTCTTCCATGATGTGTAGCATTCACGTTGTCACTAGCTAAAATGATGGGGGCATAGGATTAGCCCACGCCCAAAACTGACTGTCCTGATGTGTCATATCCCCTAGTCAGCCCCTTTGAGCCGTGTGTTATCCTTTCTTTTGGTCTATAATGGAAAAAATCACCCTTTTTGCATCTTTTAGAAGGTTCCACAGAGTGGTTTTTATATATTCTCTGCTGTTTCTGCTAAAGTCTATGTGAGTGTTGGAGGTAGTGCTTAAAAGTTGGGCAGGTGTTTGAAATTTATGCAGAAGTGGTGGCTCTCTTAGGAAATGAAAATAAAAATGAAACAAAGAAAAAAAATTGAAAGCAAAAGAGAGCCAGAGAGCCACTACCAAAAATCTGAATAATGCCCAGTAAGTAGTGTTTCTTAGCAGTCTGGCTTGGAAATGCTGATGTTTATGCCTCCTTCGCTCTTGTGCTCTTAAGATATTGAGTAATGCAGGATAGCAGAAAGAAAATACCGGGTTGTTGACTGTGTTTGTGTGTTTGGGAAATGTGGAACCTTTTGCTATGAATACTTCCACCACCTAAAAGGCCTTTTCCCCATGTCCAAGACCCTAGCCAGTCATTTGAACATGTGTCTAAGACCTCCTGATTAGTTAGTGGTGACACCCCATATGTGAACTCTAGCATTTAGAGGCTGCCATCATGGTGAAGAGATGATAGGTATTGAGAGAAATAGCATGCGCATCTTTCGCATCAAATTGTCCTGACCCCACTGGTCGAGAGTGAGTAATTCATTTTCATTTTCTATATGCTCTTATACCCCGGTGAGGACCTAGATTGCTCGGTCTCTATTCTGATGTCTTGAGTTGGATGCATGAGTTGACTGTTTTGAGTAAGTGGTTGAATCAAGTCTAGGTTGGCCAGTGAACAGAAGGGAGACTCTTCCTTTACTCGATTTGCTGCACTCGAATGTCCTTTGTGGTGGTTGTCCAGGTTGTTATTGAGGTTGTGCATGTATTGATGTTTGAAAACCAGTGCGATTCACGTGTCTGTGCCTTTATGACTTGTCCCCAATGTTGGTTGATTGAAATATGTAAGCTTACCTAGTGTCCGACTTGGTTTGCTTGGGGACAAGCAAACGGTTAAGTGTGGGGGAGTTTGATAGACCGTCATTTACACATGTTTTTACCCTCATACTTACACCGTTTGAGGTGTTGATTCTCGTGTTTTAGGCCGATTTCACGCTAGGTTGTGCTTGTTTGTGTCATTTCAGGTCCTAGTACGTGAATGAAGGCTTAGGAGCGAGTCTGGGGTCGATTGAACGAAGAACGGACGAAGGGCGAGCTTTTTGGGGAGTGCACGGGCAGACCAGGAGGCTGCACGGCCGTGCACTTGAGCCATTTGGCCGTGCGCCTCACGCCGAGGCCATGCACGGGCAAGCCCTGAAGCTTGCACGGCCGTGCGCCTGGCCGTGCAAGATGGCTGAAGGTCGAATTTAATTGATACGGTGCGTTTCATGGTGCACGGCCAGAATGGTGTTGTGCACGGCCGTGCACCTGGCCGTGCAACTCGGGGAAGCCTGTTTTTAAGCCTAATCCGAGCCAGAAGTGGGAGAATCGTGTTTTCAGAGCAAAAACAGAGCCCTAGAGAGAGAAAGTGCGAAGAACACATCCTAGAAGCTGTCTTAGAGCTGGATTTCATCGAATCGAGCCTGGAGATCGTCATAGGAGTGAAAATCATCATCCCGGAGCAGATTATCCTCATCGTTATGAGTATGACTAATCCGTTTCTTGTTTTCTCTTCTCTCTCTATGGAGTAGAACCCTTCTCTCACTTGGGTATGAAGAACCCTAGTTCCTTGTGTTAGGGATTTGATTGTAATGACTTGGGATGATATTACTGTTTGATTTTAATCGAATGACGCATGTTTATTGAATTGATTTGAGTCTGATCAGCTTGTCTCAATTTCTGCTTCAACCTGAGATAGATAGAATCTGATTAGGTTGTTAGAGCCTCTTCATTCGATAGTAGGAGATTGGCTATACGAGAGTTAGCCAGTTTACTGCTTTGTACTGGTGTTCTTGGCGCCAGTAGTGGAGTTCTGTGTTCATAGCCTCAGCTTTCTATCCCGGTGAAGGCTAGTCGTCTGCCGGGTAGTTAGATTGAGAGGGCTTGGTCAGCTTAAGAGATTCCAAGCTACTGTCGGATCTTCCGCTGTCTAATCAACAGTAAATCAACCCAGGGAATTGCAATTGAACCTAACTAAGGGGCTAGGGGGACTCAATTCCGAGTGACTCTTGCCTGCTTTAGAAACCCGAACAATTTACTGCTTTCTTGTTGCTTTTACTTTTCACAACAATCACTCGACTTAGTTTGCTAGATAATAGAGAATCACGGAGTAAGCAGTAGATCTAGACCCCGGGTTGATAATTAAACTTGCCTATACTGCAGTCCCTTTCATTGTTTACACTTGGCCATTGTTAGGTGTTGTGTCATAGCGTGTCACCTTTGTTCCATTTCTAGGGAGCTTCTGCTTTGAGAGGTTTCATTGAACTTCTCAATTTTTTGGAGCCGATTGGAAAGCTGCCTCTTTCTTTTGAAGATGTTTCCGAAAGTCTCCTTATTCCAGGTTTGTAACTTGTCAGCAAGAGCCTGCAATGACACAGGGAAATCAAAGCCACCATTCCAGGAACTAGACATGAAGGAGAAGAAGTCAGGGTGAGCAAGCCAAGGTGCCAGGAACTGGAAACGTCTCACCCTCTTAGTCTTGCTTTGTTGAACTTTGTTACAGGTAAGGATGGGTCTGTGGTCAGACTTGAGCTTAATCAAATGCAAGGTCGAGGTAGAGGGGAATTGTTGGATCCACTCCAGGTTGCAAAGGCTGCGATCAAGTCTTTCTCGAATTCTTGATTCCTTGGTGAACCATGTGAACTTTGGCCCTGAGAATCCAGTATCCACTAGGCCACAGTCGCTAATGCATTCATTGAACTCCCTGACTTTGCCTTGGTTGAAAGGTGCACCCCCCATCTTTTCAGATGGTCCTGTAATTGAGTTGAAGTCACCCGTCAAGAGCCATGGTATTCTAGTTCTTCTTCCAATAATTCTGAGCTCCTGCCAGAGCTCTTTCCGGTCATGCTCATTCGGGCTAGCGTAAACTGCTGTGATCACTCCCACTTCCTGGTTATCAATCCAGTAGCGTAGGTGAATAAGCTGCTTCTGGCAGTCAATGAGCTCCAAGGTAAGCTGTTTGCTATCCCAGAGAACCCAAATGCCTCCACTGAAGCCAGAAGCTTCTGAGATTTCCCACGAATCAAAACCTAAAGTTTTGATAACATCAAGAGCGTCTTTGCCACTAATTCTCGGTTCGAGGATACAGACCACGTTTGGAGAGTTAGCAGCATTATACAGATCAAAGGTAGGCTTAAACTTCTGGTGCTTGGCACCCCTACAATTCCAGGAGAAGATCTTTATCATTATACTTGACAAAGAGAGGCTCCTGTAACTCCCAGGAGGAGGGAATCATTTGGAATCAACGGCCATAGCCGTTGCTCCAGTTTCTTTCTTGCTCTCCACCTTTTCAAAAGGTTTTGAGTTTGAGCTTTTTTCCTTCTCTGCACCCTCTTTCTCCAGGCCAAAGATGATTTTCCTGGAAGAGGAAATGTCCTCCTTTTGGCTTTCCTGAGCAGCCCCGCCACTCTTACGTTCCTGGTTCATGTCCGGTGAGCTCTGCTTGGCTTTACTACCTCTGCTTGCCCCGTCCGGTGGTTTTTTCTCTTTTGGCTCACCTTTTTGCTTAGGTGGGTTGCCCGACACCCTCCCCTGAAGTTTGTCATTGCTAGTCTCCCCTTTTTTCAATTTGTCAGCCACCCCCTGGAAATCATTCACTGCAAAGGAGGAAGCCTGCTGAGATGGTGCCATATTTCCCGTGGTCTTGGCCAAAGGCATAGGAGTTTCTGGGGAGGCCTTTTGGTTTTCCTTCCTTAATTTGTTGCTCTGTTTTTGCTTGTTTTCCTGTGTTGTCTTATTCTGCTTCGTTTGCTCAACTGCTTTGCCTTTCTTTGAACTCTCATTTTGTTGCTCTTTCGATTTTGTCTTGTTTTCTCCTTTGGTCTTTAGCTCAGGGCTTTTTCCTTGTGTGTTTCTTTCTGGGTTGGCTTCCTCCGTTGCTGGGTCTTCCACCTCTGCGTCAGTCTCTGTTTCCTCTTCCTGCAGAGAATTGAACCGAGAACCGCTAGCAAGGTTGTTGGTGTTGTTTTCCCCCCCTCCCTCTTTATCCTCCTTGATCTGTTGTTTCTTCTGAGGTGGTTTCCGCCTTCTTGTTCTAGTTGCAAGCATCCAGGGCCCAAAATCTTGGAGAATCTCTGGCCGGATTTCTGAGTCCTTGGCTTGTTCCTCTGTTTTTTCTTTTTGGCATTCTTCAACAGTTTTGTTCTCCGGGCACGTCTCTTCCAGATGGCCAAACTTCCCACAAAGAAAGCAAACTGTGTGCAATCCTTCGTCTTCAATTCTTCTCACCCTTCTTTTGATTCTGTATTTGGACACCAGTTTCTTCCGGAGATCGATTTCAACACAGATACGTGCGTAGTTTCCTCTCACACCGTTAGCTGTGTTAAAATCGATCTTCTCCATTCTTCCAATCTTGTTCCCAATATCAGTGAGGATTTCGTGATCAAAATAAGCAAGTGGAAGTCTCGGAAGTCTAACCCAAACAGCAGTCCTGCTAATTGTGTCAAAGTCCGGGTCGAAGTCGATTCTCCATGGCTCCGAGACTAACTTAGTTTCACTTAAAGTGGTCGATTTTGGTTGTAACTAACAATATATCTAGTTAAGATTACTTAGTTTGTATGTATACTATTTCAATCTTCTAAGTACATACTCCTATTTACGTGGTCTTGTTTGCAATAGTTGCAATTGAATTGACTTGTGTGATGTCTCGTCATACACAAGTAGCAGTAGGGCTGATGAACTCAAATAGTATCCTAAAAATCTTTAATATTATTAAAGATACTCGAAATATAAAATATATGAAAGAGAACTTTTTGCTAATATATTTAAGCATACTCCTCAAAAAGAATATACAAAAAGTATATATATTTAAGCATCAACTAAAAATAGTAAAAAAGGAATTTCAAAGTGACATTATTCAAAGACCGAGTTTAAGACTGGTATCCTAAAGAGAAACATTTTTGTAGTGTAAAGATAAATGTTAACATGAGTGGACAAAGTTATTGAAAAATGGAGAAAGAAACTGCCTTTGTGAAAAAGATGAAAAAACATAGGGGTCGTTTGGATTGAGTATTTGGGGGTGTTATTTGGGGTCAAATAACACAAAATCTGTTATTTGACCCCAAATAACATGTTTGGCTGACAAAAAGTGGGATGTGTTATTTGGATGTAGTGTTTTGCCAAATAACAGATTTGAGACCAAATAACACAAAAAGTGTTGATTGCCAAATACTTGGGAGGGGCAGGTATTTGCCAAATAACAAGTTTGAGACCAAATATCACATACCAAATAACAGGTTTTATATTATGTGGTATTTGTGTGGTAATTGGCCCCAAACAACAAGTTTGTCAAATACTCAATCCAAACGACCCAATAAAGTAAAATATCTCAGATAGTTTTGATACAGGTTTCACCGAGAAACCCCTTTATATTATATAAGAAACGACGCTTACTTATCTAGTTGGCGGCGAAGCGTATCAATTGCCAAATATCATTCTTCGAAGACATCAAAAGAGAGATCTATTGTATTGTGGGGCACTCTTATTCACCAACGAAATAAGGGCAATGATCGAAGCGTTGCCGCCGGAGCTGCAGGTAGACCTACCGATGCCCTCAGTCGAATTCCATCTCGAGAAGACCGGTAATAATCCCCTAAACCCTAACACCGGCCCCGCACCCAAGCGTATCTGTGTTTTATGCGTAGTATTTGATTTTGCTCCCGTACTAATTAAACACGTGTAGAATTCCTTTAACATGTTTAATATTAATATATTTAATAACTTAAATAGATAATTTTCAAGAATTTAGTCTAGTGGTAGTATCAGTGATCTTAAATATGAGATTTACAAGGTTCGAAACGCTAACCACTCTCATGCGCTCGATTCTCCTTGTATTTGGAACCTGATTTTTTTTTTTTTTTGCGTGTGCTTCTGTGTTGACCGAACATATCAGGAGAAGGACCGAAAAGATGCCGAAGCCAGAGGTATTAGATGCCTCGGTATCCCATCCAGAAGATATTGGTATTAAAATCTCGTTAACCTTATCAAGAAGTATTATAGTTGATCTCAATAATTCGAGTTGTTTGAAAGCAGGTTCAATAATGGGTCATAATATCCATTTTGCGTATATGTGATTTCAGATTACCTGCTTCTCAAGGAGAACGTTGTTGCTATGGTCTCCTGCTTCTGGAGCATGTACAACAAATTGGAATCCATCCAGGAAAACCCTGCAGGCGGGAAGACGAGCTCGCAGCTGAAAGGCCTGTCGGAGGAGCACAAAGAGGAATTGGTTGTCTTCGAAACCATCAAGGGCGAGATCGCCCAAGCGCTGCACGACATCAGCGACGCCTTGATCAAAGAGATCGAGCTGCACTGGCAACATGTGGAGCTGGTGCAGGAGCAGCTCGATGTGCCTTCCAAAGAGATTCCTCATGATCTCCCCCTGATGGTCGCTTAGTGGAGCTCAGGATGCCTGATCTATAAGTATGGGCCTCAGTTGTCTTAGAAGTATGGGCCTATTAAGCATTAGCCCGCGATCAATGGGTTATTGAATACTTAAAACAACTGGCCCATCACGAATTAGTGTGCTGAAATTTTCTGCTTACGCAACTTTTTGTTACGTTATAATATGATGTTTGTGTGACCTTTTTGTTACGTTTTTAAACGTTTATGATCGTTTTGTTATTTGATCAAACTTGTGTGAACATTTTGATCAATTACCCATTAAACGTATTATACGTGTTTAGTACGGGAGCCATCAAATGAAAAAGAAAAATATATCTTAACAATAATACAGATAATAAAATTTTAAAAGAATAAAATATACATATACATATACATGTATCAAACAGGAGTATTTACTAAATTTGCGTACGGAGGCCCAATCCAAACTTAATAAACTTTTTAAACTTATCTCTCCCCGTCCACAAACCCTAATCATCAATCTTTGTTCGCCCCTTCTTCTCCCATTCCTCCCTCCCACCACAATGACTGAACTTCTACAGCGTGCCGCGGAAGACCTGATCGATGTAAGGCAGAGGATTTCCACCGACGTGAACTCGCTTTCTGCTTACATTACTAGCATGAATCTGGAAGCACGCATCGGCGGCTCCGCATGGAAGTTGCGCAAGTTGCAGATGATTATCCGTATGCTGGCAAGGAGCATCAATCACGACATACTATACTTCGAAGGCCTCAAAAGGCAGATCTGTAAAGGGTTACTCATCTGCGCCGACTACGCGAGGACAAGGATTGAAGCGATGCCCGATGATCTGGAGGTAGACCTGCCGATGGCCTCATCCCAACTCCGTCTCGAGACCGGTAAGATACCCTAGATTAACCCTACTCCGAATATTGCTGGTAATGGGTGAGCATGGTTTTCTCACTATTCCAATCCGAACCCGCACGTACGATTATATACATGCATATATATTTTGTTTACAAATGATCATGAATTTTTATCCATGGATAGCCGAAACCCGAACGGGTATGGGGCATGGTTTTAATTTTCTTCCCAATTTTCGTGTGGGTATGGGTAAAACCCGAACTATTATGTGTAGAGTAACGTATATGCACTATCTGTCGCCGACCCGACCCCGTTGTCATCCCTTGTATTTGGGAGCTGATTCTGTGTGTGAATATGCAGATGACCGGCTTCCCGTGTTGACCGACCATGTGAGAAGAGGGATTGAAGAGATGCTGAAGCTGGAGGCAGAGGCAGAGGACCGGCTTGTCAATGACATGGCCTCTGCGATCTCCCACTTCAAGAACATGGACAGTATACTGATCTACATCGAGGAATATGCTACAGCAGGGGAGACCAGCTCACTGAAAGGCTCGGAGGAGTCATACAAAGAGGAACTGGTTGCCTTCGAAGCCATCAAGTTCAGGATCGTCCAAACAATGCTTAACATCAGCGATGCCTTGATCAAAGATATCGAGCCCCAGCGGAAGCATGTGGAGCGGGCGCAGGGGATGCTCGACTTGCCTTCCAAAGAGATCCCTCATAACCTTCCCCCGAATGGTTACGCTGAGCTCTTCTGATCAGCACACTGTTTGATCTAATGATTATATCTAAGTACTACTTAGATACTTCCCAAGAACATGTGATGTTATGTTGGTCATCAGGATCTCTTTGAAAGGCAAGTCATCAGTGACATTGTGATGTGACGAATGAAAATTGTTTAGAACTTCAATTTTCATCTAATCTCGACAAAATGGGACGGAAAAATATCATGTTTATACCTTCATTTATTTCTTTAAATCTCAACAAATTTAAATTATTAAGGATATTGATTATACAATAGAAACCAAACAAAATATTAAACATGAAAAACAGCTGATTCTCATCTCTTCATGACGGCAGTGCTTTTCTGCTCAATCGGTGTTTGGTTAGCCTTTATCATGTTAGAGTGTGCAATTTTTTTAAATTAATTTGGGTGCCTTGGTAAGTTGATGTGGCTAATCGAATGGAAAACTTGAACAACTTGAATAATCTAAGATTATGCACCCTTCCATAATTAAATCTCGATCCTTAAATTAAAATGGACTAAAATGAATTATTGTGTACCACCCTGGTATAAGGGTGGATTGTTAACTAGTGGTACACAATGATAAATGTGATAAATAACAGTTCGTATATTCATATTATCATGTATTTCAACTATCATGTACTATGTTATGTTCATACCACCATGATACACTTTCGTACCACGTGGTATGATCTTATGTACTACCAAACAGTACCACTATGGTATATACAGGTACTTCGTAGTATTTCTCATAATTCGAATAGGGGATCGGAATAATCTGAAATTCGTGAGTCATTAGAATGGCTCGACGCACAATTCATGTACGTAAAATGGATTCATCCACCGTTGCAAGTTACACACGCATGCACAAACAAACCCTATCATCTTTCGTTCGCTTCTAATTCTCCTCCCATTCCTCCCTCCCACCACAAACCCTATTCCCCCAACCCCGTCGCTACAACAATGGCTGAGCTTCTACAGACTGCCGTGGAAGGTCTGATCGGTGAGAGGAAGAGGATTTCCACCAGGGTGAACTCGCTTTCTACTTACCGTACTAGCGTCATGAATCTGGAAGCAGGCATCGGCTCCGCATCGAAGTTGTGCGAGTTGCAGATGTGTATCGCTATGGTTGCAAGGGACATCAATGTCGACATAGAATCCTTCGAAGGCTACAAAAGGTTTATCTGCACAGGGTTAATCAACTGCACCCGCTTTGCGAGGAGTTTGTTTGAATTGATGCCCGATGATCTGGAGCTAGACCTACCGATGGCCTCGTCCGAATTCCTTTTGGGGACCGGTAATACGATACCCGAAACTCTAAATCCTAAACCCTGCCGCTTGTTTCCCCGCTGATTTTGGCGTAATTGTGAATGCAGATGACCGGCTCCCCGTGTTGACCGACCTTGCGAGAAGAGGAATTGAAGAGATGCCGAAGCTGGAGGCAGAGGAGGCGGAGCCAGAGGACCGGCTTGTCAAGGACACGGCCTCTTTGATCACCCACTTCAAGAACATGAACAGTATACTGATGTCCATCAAGAAAAACGCTGCAGCAGGGGAGACCAGCTCACAGAAAGGCTTGGAGGAGTCGTACAAAGGGGAATTGTTTGCCTTTGAAGCCGGAAAGGTCAGGATCGTCCAGACAATGCTTAAACTGAGCGATGCCTTGATCAAAGAGATCGAGCCCCAGCGGGAGTTGTCACGAGCCGAAAGGTCTATGTCCGTGACAGAGTTTATGGAGCCGTTGAAGGAGATGCTCGACCTTCCTTCCAAAGAGATCCCTCTTGACCTTCCCCCTTTGTAAAGAGCTCAGGGTTGCGTGCCCTGAGCTTTTCTGATCAGCACACCGTTTGATCGAATGATGATCTGTAAGTACTACTTAGCCACTTCCCATTCCCAATAACATGTGATGTGATGTGATGTGATGAGTGATGATTTCGATCGAGTATGTTGAATTTTATTGAACCTTAGTTGGATTGTTGTTGAACATAACCTCTCGCGGCTGAAGGCTTTGATACCATGCATTTTTTTAGCCAACCGGTAGAATGAAGGGAACAAGTTGCTGCAGCACTGTACAACTTGCTGAGTTTCTGAAAGTTGTAAGCTTTTTTTAATGCGTTGAATGCTTGAATGAGGAAAGTCTGCTCCCGCCGTAGACACCATGTTTTGCACACTTTGCACAAACCTTAATGAAGTAAAGAGGTCTATCTACTCCCCTCACGCTCGCGCCGAAGGATTCGATTGTGTTTGTGTACACTTCTACTGATCATCATGCTTACCCTTCTAAGGGCCATTATGTGGTTCAATCATAACATATAATCTAGATATTAATTAATATATAAAAGCCTTGGATGTGTCCACTGTTCATTAGTGGCCTCCACTTTCCTTGCTGTGACTGGTGCTTCTCCAAATATTTCTCCCTCATTTGCTCACATACCCAACTTCTCCTCTCTCAAAAACTTTAGCCCATCCTATTACCCCACTCTCCACTGAAAGACCTTTGTATCTTCCTTTTCTTCATTGGTCGCACGGCTGATCAGACTCTACTTTTTATCATTCTTCCAATATCTCTTCTCTTTTCCACAAGCAAGAATTTTATTACTTCCAATCCTTTGTTTGCATTACTTCCCTTACCCACACAACTCTTGATTTTCTTTCTCTTTCTTGCTTGGTCCTTTTCGGCGGAATCCCAAATCGGATCTCTCTCTTTCTTCCCCTGTTGACGAAGAAAATAAGAAGAAGACGAGGGGGATCATTGATGCAAGGAGGAAGAAGAAGAAAAGATGCTTCTAGGTTGTCTTTTTCTAGAAGAAGAGGGGGATCATTGGTGCAGGGAGGAAGAAGAAGAGGAGATGCTTCTAGGTTGTCTTTTTTGAGAAGAAGAAGAAGAGGGGGATCGTTGATGCTGAGAGAAACAAGAAGAGGAGATGCTTCTGGGTTCTCCTTTTTTCTCGGGCCCTTTTCGGCTGAATCCCAAATCCCGATCTCTCCCTTTCTCATGCTTTTAGATCGATTTGACCTTTCTCACCAGTCTGCGTTCATCTTCATCTACATCGATTCAATCTTTCTCATCCGTTGGCGTTCGTCTTCTTCTATCAATCCATCACCAACCTCTTCTCTTACCCCAGTGAAGAGGGCGAACCCGGTATGCCGTTAGTCAGGGCGCCGTCCTCCCCATTGCCAAAATGCCCTGGCCGCCATCACGCGGGCAGTGCAATCGAACCCGCCAATCCTCGCATGAAAGGTCACTACCCGTAACGAAGAAGAAGAGAGAAGTTGTTGGAGAAAAGGAAGAATATAAAGAGGAAATGGTCACAAAGTCAGCAACAGAGTGAGAAGAACGTCAAATGAATTGGTGGGTCTGCAGGCAAAAGAGGACGCCGGTCGATGGCAAAATGAAGGGTGGCTGGGAAGGAACTGGGTTCGTCAAGAACGAACGAATAAAGCAGAAAGGAAAGGCCACAAAACTCCAGATCGATCCCGTTACCTACTGCGAACATAGTGGGCGAGCCTTCCCCTGGCTTCCCGTCCCCTCGGATTTGCCGGCTTGACCCCAAGTTCCTCCTTTTGCTTATGTTGCTGGTTGGTATCCCTCTCTTTTCAATTCCTGTTGACGGTAATTTTCTGCTATTTTTTCCCCATTCGAAGTACCTTTTAGCGAGGCAATGGAAAAGGATAGGAGAAGGATAGAGACGTGAATACTAGCATAGTCAATGGAGAGGCATGGTGAGTTGCAGCCCACGAGGGTCTAAGTTTCTTAGTTGAAAAGTGGGATTCTGAATTCAGGGGAACAATTACAGAACAATGAAACTACCGCCATCATGATCTTTTCGTAGGATGCAGCAAAAACCAGCCCTCAGTTTTAATAACCTGGAATGTGAGGAAACATGATAATATATTTGGGAAAGAAAGAGAACTTTGGTGACGATCGATCGTTCTTCAACACATATGTTAGCATTTTCTATCCCGTAAACAGCTTCATGAGTCATATAGAAGAAGCTAGCATATATATAAATACACCCTGCACACGTTCCTCATACTTCTGCAGCCTTGGAAACAAATAAGCTTATGATCAGTAAGGATGTTGTTATATTTAATTGTAGTCTTGATTCTGTTTAACTTGATCTCGGTAAGCCGTCATAGGGACGAGCTGCACCCAGTTCATTGTGAGAAGTGACCCATGACCTGTGATGGTTTCTTATTTTAGGTTAGGTGGAAGTTTCATAATAATGATTAGTTAGTTTAACAAACTGCTTCGTTCATGATTGTAGTTAGTTCCAACGTCATTCTAGCCATTGTTTCGTTTGTAATTTCGACCATTGAAGGTGTGACCGTGTGAGGAATGGCTTTACATGAGCTTTTACAGTTATTTCTGTTCTTATGGCTTTCGGTGCCCTTTGTTATGTATTCAGTTTCATACTCTAATTGTATATTTGTACATTAGGCAAATCATGCTCGAGATAACAGCTCGCTGGTGACGCTGCTGCAAGAAAGGAAGCCATCAATGAAATTCAGACCGACAACGGGAGGGATGCTGAGGACCAGTTCAATGATGATGTTTGGTTGGCAGTAGACAATTGTTCTTTGCTTTTCCCTCTACATGACAAGTTAATTATTTCTGGTTTATTTGTTGGTTTGTGAAGAAGGATAAGATGGGGGAACAGGCAGGAGATATGGAGAGAACTTCTTGCCGCTATTACGATGGATTGAAGAAAGAACTTGGAGCACTGAAAGTAAACTTTCTTTAGTTTATTCTTCTGCTCTCTTATCATGTCCATTGCTATTGTCACCACCCTTGAAAGTAAACTTTCTTTAGTTTATTCTTCTGCTCTCTTATATTATGTTTGTTGCTTTCCATATAAACTGCCATATTTATTTTCTTTAAGTAACCTAAACTTCCATTCAACTTCATGTTAGAAGGCTGCTATTGTAATGTGTTTCTTTTGGTTAGCTTTAGACTGCTATTTAATTAAATATGATATTGACCATTATCACCTCTCTTCTGATTGTCTTTGTTTTTTAAACCCATAGTGTCTCATTAGGGATTTCCTTTGTAATTACTTCTGCATGAAAGATTGACAAGAAAATGGGGTTAAGATTGACACGTCATGAACTTAACTCGCTAAATATAACAATTGAGACTAAAAGTCAAACTCATTTGGTGATTTAAACGTCACCGAATAAAGTGGTCACTTGCAGGTACTACTGTATGCTGAAAAACGTTTTAGACTTAACTTTTTCAGGCCTTGATGGTTTTAAGTTTGATATGCACACGCGATGTAGCATGTATGTCAAATGTCTGTGAATACCACAATTAGAAAAACTAACCTATGTCAGATGCTTGAGAATACTGCTTTGATTGCACATGTTAATCTATAATAAATCCTCACATCTTCATGATGATGTTCCCTAACCCGTGCCTTTTACCATTGTCATTGTTTTCTTTTCTTTTACCTGCCAGGTCATGCTCAATATGAGAATTCTGACCTGTCAATAACATATAATTTCCTTTTCAGTTGATTCATTTATCTGTGACCATCGGCAGCATCTTACATCCATTGGTTGAAATATTTGTTTGCCTTGCCATTGAAGTATAGATGATGGACCTGAATGAGTTTTACTTGGTTGTCTGTTTTAATTTATTATTTGCTTTCTGAAGCTAATAACCATACTCATTGCAAGTATAGTTTTAGTGTTCCGACTGCATTAATTGTTTAACAGGTTGCTTTTTTTACTTGCTGTTCTGATTGCAAGTCTTTGTGTTCTTGGGATCTGATTTATTGTCAATTGCAGCTTTCAGCATTACCATTATAACTACCACAAGCTCTGTAATGAGGAAAGTTTGCAGATTATCCAGCAAGGGAAAAGGAAGGTAAGTAGCTGTATTTTCTTTATTTGTTATGGTTAAATATATCTCTCTCTTCCATATCTCTTGAATTTAAAAAAAAAAACTGGATTCACCAGTGGTTCAGAGGAGTTTTATGATGCTTGCTTAGCTCTTCATTTGCCTTTTCAAAGTGAACAGAATGGCAATTGTTAGGGAAGGATTGAGTACTAACTTCTTTTCAGTGTTTATTCTTTGTTGTGCATTCAGGAACGAGTGATGTTGGGAGGAGTGCCTCTCCCTAAAATGAAAGTAGTCAACTTCTTTAGTTCGTGTATGTTATTACCTATGATTATAGCTATCAATAGCGGTGATGGTACACTAATTTGTTTATGTTATGTTAATAATTATGATATAATAGTTATCGTCATCTATTCAGTATTTATAGTAAATTAGAGTACATAATTACTATTAGTAATTATGTACTCTTTTCAGCTCAACCTTTTATTTCTTTTTTCATGCGCGAAGCGTAGCGAGCGGGTCATTGCTAGTATACCTCTATTTGTGATTTACATATGAAGTACATAATTTACATTCGAGAAATAATGTTTATGTGTTAACTGCTGTAAGTTATGTAGATTTACCGACTGTAACTACCTATATAAGATTGATCCCTCTTCGACGAGTTTCCTGATCCGTTCTTTGTTGTTGTTGTTGCTGCTGTTATTGTTTCACCAGGTGACGGTGATGCAACCGCTACTTGTGGGATGCTGGCTTGCTGAAGTGGAGGCAAAAATATATAGTCGTTTTTTTGTTTTGTCGCACTTTCTGGATTTGGTACTTATGTTTGCTCCTCTAATCAGGATGGTGGAGATGACATTTGTGTTTGTTGGTGGTTATGTTTGCTCCTCTAATCAGGATGGTGGAGATGACATTTGTGTTTGTTGGTGGTTGGATTATGGAAATCTTTGAATTGTCGGCAGTTGGGTTTTGTTTAACACTACATTTGGTTGTGATCTTGGTTTGCTTTTCTCGGGCTTTCAAGTTTTTGTTCTTTTTTAAGATTGAGTGGCTAGATCAATGGGAAAGCATTCTCTTGGTACGAGTTATTCCAAGATGTAAGCATGTTGTGAAATGAACAGGAGAACAATTGTCTGAGGGGGTTGGGGTTTGACTTTGATCCATGGTTATATTTCTGGTTTGTTCATGGATGTGAATGAATAAGAGCTCGGATATGCTGCAAAGGACTTGCTCTTGCAGTTTGAAGCCTGTGCCTGCAGATTAACTCAACCTTCAAAGTTAAACAGTGAAGCAAGTGATGGGATAGGAAAACTATCCTATTAGAATGAGTCAATACAATATCCTTCTCTCTACTATCGGTCTGCTTTCGTTTCATGATGATTCTTCCCTTGATAAACTATTCCGATTAGGAGTGTCTGTTCGGTTACCCGAACCGAAACCCGATGAAAATTCAAACTCGAAATAATTGAAAACGAACCCAAAACTGATGAGGACTTTCGGTTTTCGTTGACCCGAAATCTGAAAAATCCTTATCTTGTTCGGGTTCGGTTAAAGTAAAATCGAAACCCTAAGAATACGGACCAAGTGCTATTCATTGAAGGTTTTCAGCCGAAACTTGAAAAATCGATAAGCAAAACCGAATCCGAAACCAAAAAACCTGAACCTGAAACAAACACGAACCCGAAAACCAACAATGTATCTAATCGGTTCGGTTTTGGTAAAAATAAAAACCAATCCCGAATGGACACCCCTAATTCCGATTAGACGACCAAAGCTTTTCCGGCAGGATGGACATGCCTCGACAAAGGATGGTGTTAATGATCTTTTCAGGAGTCCATCTCCAAAGATAGCAGGGGCTTGAAATCTTGCCTTTGATAAGCGAGGACTAGCTAGGTGTAGATCTTTTCTCTTCCTTTGATATTCGATAAACCGTCATCATGACCTCCTCCTTCCCGCACTCCATGATAAATAATCTTATCCGAATTGAACATTCTATAGTTCGAATATGAATGTCGAGATACCCGCGCTCCGACCTACCCTTGCCATTCCTAGTAATCAGTATACTTTGTCATGATATTTGTTTTTTTATGTAAACTTTGTCATGATGTTAAAGGCTTACAAAGTTACAAATATGTTTTTTTATATGCACCTAATTATTGTTCCATTTTCTTTCACGGGTTTTTGTGTAAACCGTTATATGAAGCATCATCTCCCCACGTACGACTTAAATCATGTCACCACTCACCATGATCGTAAACCATGCGATCTCGTCATGGCGAAAGTTTCGATAAGGTAAAAATGCATTTCCCCTTTCCCACACTTTAATTAGTGAACAAACTAGAGAGCCATGGAAGAGGTGACACACTTGGCTAGGATCCAAAAACGACATGTACCATAAAGGAAGACGACGAAGGACGACTAATTGCTGACCACAAAAACGTGGCAGTAGACAAAGCCCCACAATTATAAGACCCATCATCAATATAAGTTTGATGGATAATGGAAAGCCCGGCCCACAGAAACTTGACTTCGATACACACAATTCTCCTTCTTCCAAGAGTTACAGTAAATGGATGATATAGGGCAGCCTCTTAATTTGTGTGGCTCGACATTAGTCGGTTAGTACTTCTAATCACTTGTACTAATCAACCGCATGCATGCAATTTACATGTATATCCTCCCAACTAATAATTGATTACGTGACCAAAAATTTCTATGGAGTTTATTAGTGAATCATGATGTGTATCCAGCAGCTGATTATCATGGTATTTAACTAACTTTTTTATGCCATAAATACACTACACAAAAAAAAATACGATGATAATGATCTCCATTTCTCATTCACTTAATTTTCCATAACATCTTAGGGGCTACTAAACTAATAGGGTGACGGATGATCGATGAAGGGTCGTCGGCCACTAGCTAACTAAGCTAGAGCTAATCTCGTGGCTGTTGTTTATAGCTAGGAGATCATCATCCTCACATAATTAAGTATGGTTTTGAAGCTAGATAGCAAAGCTAATTAATGGTGATTGGGACATGAAAACACACACACAAAATGATACTTAATATCAAATTCTTTATCTTATCCGATCCATAACAAAAAGGTTCCTTTTTTTCTCCATGAATACACACAACTGACAGGTTTAGAAATCTAAATCGCCTGCTGCGTTCGAATATTCAGTGGCGAAGCTGTGTGTAAACGACGGGAACTCATTCGCGCCTCCTCCGCTCATTTTATCGACGTTGTAAAATCAGAATCATGTATGTGATATGCTAATAGAGTTTTTCGATCAATATCGACATATATATGCCTCGCGTGTTCGAATTCTGATAGCTCTAGTGTCAACCAGTTGATTGAAACACAAGATAGGACTTACCTGTACAAACTTTTAAGTGTTCAGGAATTGATTTTCGTTTGAGCCGGTGTGAGATCAACCTATACTTAACAAGCTACCACAAACGTTGACGTTGCATGGTGCTAAAAATTGGTTGCTACTAAAGACACTAAACAGAAGACGTGAAATATGGGCAGCTGGCAGCCACAAACCTACTCTGAAACTACTTATCAGTTGGCGTAAGAGGATAAAGAACACAAGAAAGGAGGACTTCCTTGTCCTTATAACAAGTCTTTTTTCTCTTTGGCTTTGCACTTTGTCTTTGAATACTGAACCCTTCAAAGTACAGGGATACATAAGAGAGAATCCCATCGTCATCTCATAGAAGATGAAGTTGACACATAACAGTAATAGTTTCTATTTCTCATTAAGTTCTTCCATTTGTGGATGACAAGTTGCTCATCACAAAAATAGCAATTTGCAAACCTAAAGTAGTGTCTCACGTAAGAATCGATTCTTCTGTCAAAATTTCGAAAAAGCACCTCTTGATTAATAGGGGGGGAAGGCGTAGACTTTTGAATATGACACGAGTGATTTTAGTAGCGGAATATGCAGATCAAATAGTTCGTGCTGACATATTAATGGAATTATGTGTTTGCACGTTCTATTCTTTTTATTAGGTTTAAGTCTACACTAATTAACACCGTAGATTATCAAAGTCTATTTTATTTTTATATATGCAGCACAAAAGAAAATGTGACTATTAAAAGAACATGGCTATCATCTCGACGTTATTGAAACCTACAAATTAAAACTACGTAAATTCTTTATATGCCTTATATGATTACTAGCTCTTTTATCTTACCGATACACATCTAGAACCAAAATCTAGATACATCAATACCGAACTTTGGATATTGAAAAATCTATCTTCACTATTTTTTTACTTAATTTGCGACTTAAAAAATTATATAAGACCGATATTTGTACTTTACAAGTTCTTTTAACAACTAGTGAGATATTAAGCAAACACTAGTGTATTCCTAATAGATGATAGACCGTGATACGTACTCATATATGTACACGATCATATCCCTGCCGTGGAGTATATTCCAATTGAAAACCCAAGTGCATGGCACTTCTATAAATAGCCACCAAGCCCACTACCGTTTCATGCACACTCAAAACTTCAATTCATCTCCTTAAGCTTTCTTTCAACATTCAACCAATCACATAACACCATCTTCTCCCAAAGGAAAAAAAGTATGTCGACCTTTTACCACCATGCAACCACCACTATTCTCATCATCCTCCTCATCCTAGCCACAACCACATCATCAACAAACCCAACCTCCTCCCCACTCCACTTCTCCAAGTCATCTAGATCCTCATCCTCATCATCATCACCATCCCGGTCATCGCCATCAGTCTCGAACCCTGAGAAACTGTTCGACGACACGATCCAGTCCATTCTAACTCAGGCTCAGTCAACCAGCACCATGGCCTCCCTACTCACCACCACTTCCTCAACATCGTCTCAGGGTTTCACTGAGGACCCTGGAGCGACCACGGTCACCACCACGGGCCCCGTGGGGGACTGCATGGACCTGCTGGACGACACGTTGGACCAGCTGTCCAACGTGGCCCACCGTCGTGATCACAACCCGGCCCACACCCACGACGACGTCCAGACGTGGCTCAGCGCCGCCCTCACCAACCAAGAGACGTGCAAAGAGAGCCTCCAAACCCCGCCGTTGAAAAATCCCCACCGCCACCACGAACCGGCGATGAAAGCGATCCTCCTTCAGGCGTTGGCTCGAAACATGACCGCCACCGTGGAAGCTTCGCTAGCACTATACGTGAACCACATCCGTAGTAACAACAACCCACGCCACGTCATGAGCCCTAAATACCGTAAATACCCTTCTAATTACATCCCCGGCGGCAGGAAGCTGTTGTCGGCGGCCTCGTCGTCCTTCCCCGGGTGGCTGCCCGCCGCCAAGAGGAAGCTTCTCGAAGCTTCCATGGGCGAGCTGGAGGTCCATGCCGTGGTGGCGAAGGACGGAAGTGGGACCCACACAACCATAGCGGCGGCGCTTAGGGCGGTGACGATGAGTGGTGGCGCCACCGTGGCGTCCGGCGGCGGGGGTAGTTCGGTGATTTACATCAAGGCCGGTACTTATAAGGAGACGTTGAACATTCCGACGAAGCAGAAGAACGTGGTGTTGATGGGGGACGGGAAGGGCAAGACCGTCATTGTGGGGAGCAAGAACGCCGACGATGGGTCGACCACTTACCAAACCGCCACCGTTGGTACGTAAGAGACACGATATATAATTTGAATTTTGATATTCACGTTTTTTTTTTCTTCTTTATTGTCAACGTTTAATTAATTTGATTCATCATTATCTACAAACTATGCGATGCAGAATTGAGATTAGATTGATATTAAGTTGATTGAAATCGGAACGTATTTTTTCTTAATTAATAAATTACATCAATAATTCATCCACAATGAAGAGTCTAGCTAGCTAATTATATGATGTATATGCATGGGTCCATCTATATATATATGTGACTTCCTTGATAGAAATAGTCATTAATTTCAAATTAGCGTAGAACATAACAAATCATTATAATTCGTAAGTACTAGATTCAAGTCGTATACATACTTGATTTTTTACTGGTTACTTCTCTCGTTCATTCTCATGTGGATGTAAATTCTCTTAAATAAAAAAGAAACTACGTGCATGTATGAATTACGATACGTATATGCATGTAAGTCGTAAGAATTTAGAGTTGCATGTTGATTCAAAAATACGTTCAATACTTGGGCAAAATTAGTGCATGTGATATTATCAATATTCAGACGGGAAAAATAAAATATGATTTAACTATAGAATGAAAAAATAATTGCCACTATCCCATAAAAAAAAAAAACAATTGCCACTAGATAGTGTATTCTAGTTCCAAACCTAGTAAATCCAAGAAATTTATATACGTACATACATGACCTAGAAAATGACTTATATTTTGTTCTTATTAGCAAGACCATTAATCAGAAAATGACATCTTACAAAAAGACCGCTTTACTTTTCCTTCACTTTGTCAATCTTTTCAATTACTTTTTTTTTTCCCCACCTTCCAGCTGCGATGGGAGATGGGTTCATGGCCCGTGACATCACGATCATAAACGACGCCGGTCCAACCAAGCACCAGGCCGTGGCGCTCCGGGTCGGGTCGGACCGGTCCGTCATCTTCCGGTGCTCCATCCAGGGCTACCAGGACACACTCTACGCGCTGTCCAAGCGCCAGTTCTACCGCGAGACCAACGTCTACGGCACCATCGACTTCATCTTCGGCAACGCCGCGGCCGTGTTCCAGAGCTGCAGCCTGTACTCCCGCAAGGGCGGTTCGTACCCGAACAACTTCGTGACCGCCCAGGGCCGGTCCAGCGAGTACCAGAACACGGGGTTCTCGATCCACAACTGCCGGGTCGAGGCCGCCCCGGACCTCCCCGCGGGGTCCGGGTCCACGTACCTGGGCCGGCCCTGGAAGGAGTACTCGAGGACCGTGGTCATGCAGTCCCAGCTGGGGGGACACATCAACCCGGCCGGGTGGTCCGCCTGGTCCGGTGGGTTCGCGCTCAAGACCCTTTACTACGCGGAGTACCTGAACTCCGGACCAGGGGCTGGGACTTCCGGCCGCGTCGGATGGCCCGGGTACCACTCTGCCCTGGCACCTGCCGATGCGGGGAAGTTCACCGTCGGGCAGTTAATCACGGGGAACTCCTGGCTGCCGTCGACCGGAGTCTCGTTCGACTCCGGTTTGATTGGTTAAGCAAACAATGGGACCATAGTTTAGGGTATATTTTCTTTCATGGATTGGTTTTTTTTTTTTTTTTACATTTCTAACCCTGTATTTTTACTTCCTTGTCTAAAGGGATTATTTGAGCATGAATATATATGTTCATATGTAACTGTACATATATTATATATTTCGTGCTTATCATTTACAAACGATTAGAAGAATAATAGCTCGCGGGAACGACAAACCTTTATGTCATTCGTCTTCTATTCTTGTTGTGGAACACCAAAGTCAACAAGGTCTTCTCCAATACTAAGGGCATTGATAAAATTTAATATTCACAAGTTATGTATATTGTCTATTTCGTTCATATATGGTCCCTATATATATTATATGCAGCCTCTATTTAGTGACAAGAAATTGTCCTCTAAGCATTATTACGAAGCGAAAGCGACCAAATGTCCAGAGGATTAATTCTCCCCTATCGACTCCACAAATGAATCTCGCCTGGAAGATACATGGTTACGTTAAATAACATCCATGCACCCAACCAAACCAACCAATCGATCACTCATAAAGTACGAAAGGTAAGTCCAGAAGGGTGCCTAGGAAGTCAAATACCTACGGTCCCATAAAAAGATGGTTCTCTTGATCAAGACATTAGCAACCAGAAAACGAAACTAGGCATTATTCAAACATAATGAGAGGGGGGGAAAAGGGTAAAAAGTGATGTGATGATAGGTTTGTAGAATGATAAATGTACATTATAATTGATGTTGTTAGGCAGAGAAGTGACTTTTCGAAATAATAATAATAATAATAATAATATATTCGTAAAGGATAATTACGATGGAGGAAGTCTGTGATCATATGGGTAGTACGGTGTCAAGATGTCATTATCTTTCATAATCCATATAGAGTCCTCCTAATTAATGGGTAGTTATAACTTATATATGTATAGGTGGACTGCTACTCACATAGGTTTCATACTTTTCTTTTCTTTGCCATATATTCGTGAAATTTATTATTATTTCGACAAGGTATCGCGTTACAGAATTATAACAAACTTCGGTCACTATGACTATGGTTGATCGGTTTTGAAGGTTAAAACAAAATGAAAGGATGTTGTTGATAGGGGGTTTACAATTCTTATCATTTCAAAATTATCTTAATCGCAAAACGTTTGGAAGAAAATAACTTTATACCATAGTGTATTTAACACAAAATTCAATTGGGGTTTATCGTTACGGTATAATACCAATGGGCTTCTTGCACGAGCAGACTTTCGGATCAGACCTGTACCAAGCTCCATATTTCTGGATTCAATTTCATAGAGACCGGGCTTGGAAGGCCCACAAAAGAACTTCTTAGTAAATTACAGGGCCTAACTGCGTTGGCGGAAACCATCATAGCAAAAAGGCCCACACAATTTTCTGAGTAAACGATCCTCTTCGAAGAAAACCCGGCTCTTCACCAAAAAGAATCATCAATGTAAAAAAACATACCAACCCCTATACAGAAGAACTGTTTCTGCATTCACAGTTCCCACTCTCATCTCAAATCGTACAGTTTTGCAAATAAGCAGCAGCAGCAGCTGAACCGGAAAGGCAGCCGAGAACCCCAAACATCCAAATGCCGAAAGGCCTTTCGCACATTCTTCCTTCATATTGCCCTCGCGGCTTTTCTTCTTTAAATATGGCTATACTTCAATACAAAATCAACCAACGATCACAACAACCGGAAAAAGAATATGGACTAAACCCTAAACACCAAAATTATCGGGACAAGCACTGGCCAATCTGCAACTGGAATCGTCGAGATGTGTATGGCCATGCCGCACCTCAAACATCTGACAACGAACGAACACTTTCACCCCCCCTTTTCCTCACCAAACTCACATCCATCTCTGTTCCCTAGAAACGGCAAGACGCTGCCAGAATTCTTGTGCTCACTCTCCAGAAAACAGAACAAAACAAGATGGCAAAAGAGGCCTTCAGACGTAGAAGCACCCCACATTTGCCAGGACCCAAAATGACTCGACCTGCACACGACTGAGTCGCTAGCTCCCTACCCTTGATATCAACAAAGTCGCTCAACTGCTGGGGGAACTCAAACCCTAGCGACGACCCCACAATGGCTTTTTCTCGACCGGCTGAACCACACAAATGGTTCAATCAGACTGACCGACTCCTCTGCTTTTACTGGACATGGACCCAATGCAATGCAATGCACCTAAGCGACAAACTGTGGGAGGGGGAATAGCAATGCAAGACTAACATGAAATCGGAGCAATTGCCTTTACGATGCAGCTGAGGCAGCCGATGCCTTCTCCAGTTTTTCCTTCTCAATCTCCACTCTCCTCTGATCAGCATGCTGGGCAACACCGTTTGCTAGAGCTTGATGATGGAAGTCGAGAGTCTGCTTGAGGCTATGGAACCTTGCTGGATCAGATGCTTGCATGGCTTTCGTGATCACAAAAAGATAAAATTGGAAGAAATTCATAAGCTTCCACAGCAGAAACTGTCATTGTGGAGCTAATAAGAATTGTGGAAAATTAATTATTACCTTGGACTGCATCCATGAAGAAAACAAAGGGGTCCACCTCGTCAATTGGTGATTGCAACTCTTCATCATCACTGAAGTCATCATCAGAGTCATCGTCGTCCTCATCATGAGGGCGGAAGGCCTTCGCCTGCAATATATAGATTGCAGACGAGAATCAAGACAAGTGGTAAAATATGTAAATTGCAGGTAAATAACTATGGCATCTTAGGAAAAATTGTCCCTAACAAACCCACCTGTGCAGCCAACTTCTGCAGCTTGATGCTGTCAGCTTCATCACCATCCTCAGCATCAACTCCCATTTCCTTATCAGAACCATCAGCATCTTCATCATCGTCGTCATCGGTCTGGAAACCATCCATATCATCGTCATCTTCAGCTTCTTCTTCCTTTGCAGCTTCTATCACCATTCACACAGCACCATCAAATGCTAAACCAGAAAATGTAAAGATGAGGCACCAATTACCAAAGCAGAGGACCGACCAATTACCTGCAACCTGTTCCTTGTATGCAACTAGGAGGCCAAGTGTGGCAGTAAAAATACGCTGCAAAGCATCTGCAGGTAATTGATCCGCGGGAAGGGCCAGCAATGATGTCAATCCTAGGCAACATACTTTCTTATCGTGTTCCCTGCTCCAAAGATAACATAAATCAGAGGACAACTATAGATGGCAAACAAAGGTTTTGAAGACATAAGAGGATTGGGATCATCTTTGTATTCCAAGTCCCAAGCATCCATTTAGTACAGTTGATGATACCTCTTGAAATTGGTCATTTGGCCACTCTTTTTCTTTTGCTGCAACATCTGAAACCAAAGGCCAAAAACCTCTGTAGCAACACCAAGTCTAGTCAAGATACTCAACGTCAAAGGTGCATTGTAGTAAAGTGCATCTGCAATCTGCACCAAAATCACAAACAATTCTTCCATATGACTTCAAACTTGAATAATATGAACATCAGAAACACTTCTAATCCATCTGGGGCAGTTATAAACATGCGGAGAATGTTACTAAATAGGAAGAAGTATCTCACAAAACAGAATCCAGTATTGTGGAGCTACAGATTCAGACCCTAAGTCCCTCTGAAAATTCTTCTTAGAAAGTACCAAACGCTCAAGTTTGACAAAATACACAATATACTTATACGGAAACGAAACCATACAAGACAATTCATCTAGCCAGATCACTGAAAATCAAAATGTCTCAATCCACCCATATTGTAAGTAGCTTTAGAACACTCACCACTTGCACAAGGAGGCACTTTAAGTACGGCCTCTCAGATCGACGCAATCTTTCCACAGTGATTCTTAGATATGGCTCTAACCAATGATCCACTTGTCCTCTGCAATTCTGGAAGACTACTTCAATAAGCTTTGGGGCAGGTTCTATATCACTGTCCTCCAAATTCGGATCAGCCATGATCTGAAACATAACCATGAATGGGGGGCATATCATGACACTATCAGGCGGAAGAAGAATAGAACCAACCAACAGCAAAAAAAATAAGCTCAGGGTAACACATATTCACTCACTGATGAAAGCATTTTAAATAAGCTTTGCTGGTAATCTGGTTCTTTGCACGTTAGAAAATGTGCATTCCCCCGGGAAACGTAGTTGTCCAAGGGAACAAGAATATCTGAATGACAAAAGAAACAGAAAGGAAATAAAGGAGCCACCTTTGGAACATGGTGTATATAAAAACATCAAATTAGTCATCATATATATTCTGCAACCAAGTTCTCTTCCGAAAAACTTAGCTCTCATTCTTGGCTTAAAAACTACAGTATCACGATAGACATAACGTAATACCCGAAAATCAACCAAGATTAGGATGATACAATTCCCCTCGATAATTGCAGCAATTAAGATATAAGATCCTAGTACTCAATAGAAATACATACTTGGAAAGAAATCAATAGCCCAATCAGCAAGTGCTTCAATCATCAATGGCCAAAGTGTCCACATCTCCAAAGATATTGTGGGCGCGAAAAATGTCATATAAGAAACAATTTCCAATACTTCTTCAAACACCTCTGCATAAATATAAGAAACAATCCTTTAATGATAGGAGTTTAATCAAACAAAGCTAAAATACAAAAGAAGTAGTATAGTCAGCTTGTAGCAGGGTTGAGAAGTGCATGGATCTTCAGCTATGTAAAACATCAACGGAGATATTAACCATGTTCTAGTTTGTATGTACAAGACATATCAAAATTGAGTACCTTACTATCATAAACAAAACATATAATTAATACGAATCTGATTCCTCAGCAAACAGAATAAAAACTGGAGTTGCAAGTGATCATAGATCAAACTAGGAGCAAAGAAAGATATGGAAATAAAGTCTGTATACCTTGGCCATCAGTTGTCAACATTCTCCGCATTATGGGAAGCAGAGTCGGTTCGACTTCAACAAAAAGGTGAGGAAGCCGGCTCACAGACTCTAGAATAGTGCTTATAGCTCGCAAACAACCAACTGCTGCCAAGGCACCAGGATCATCAGCTTCATCCTCAGCTTCGGCAGTGTTCATACACCTCCAAAACGCAGCTGCCTGCAATTAAGATGCATATATAGTCTTGTAACTCAAGTTGGTTTAACCATGCATCAATGACTTGGAGAAACTATTACCAGATTTGTGCATAAACCCAGAGCATAGGGAGCCATCTCCTCTCCAAATTTATCCACAATAGTCTCCAAGGTAAATACTAAGTCTTCATTCTCTACCTCATTCATGAGCTTAAAAAACTCTGCATTGGAAAAGAAGAAGTTAGTTAGTTATAC